GATGATTTTATGACTTTTTATGACTTACTATACTATGACGTTTTTATGACTTTTTATGACTTACTATACTATGTTATTTTTATGACTTTTTATGCCTTACTATACTATGACGTTCTTATGACTTTTCATACCTTACAATACCATGTCGTTTTTATGCCTTACTATACTATGTTTTTTTTATGACTTTTTATGCCTCACTATACTATGTCGTTTTTATGCCTTATTATACTATGTTATTTTTATGTCTTTTTATGCCTTACTATATTATGACGTTTTTATGACTTTTCATGCCTTACTATACTATGACGATTCTAAGACTTTTTTTGCCTTACTATACTATGACGATTCTAAGACTTTTTTTGCCTTACTATACTATGACGATTCTAAGACTTTTTTTGCCTTACTATACTATGACGATTCTAAGACTTTTTTTGCCTTACTATACTATGACGATTCTAAGACTTTTTTTGCCTTACTATACTATGACGATTCTAAGACTTTTTTTGCCTTACTATACTATGACGATTCTAAGACTTTTTTTGCCTTACTATACTATGACGATTCTAAGACTTTTTTTGCCTTACTATACTATGACGATTCTAAGACTTTTTTTGCCTTACTATACTATGACGATTCTAAGACTTTTTTTGCCTTACTATACTATGACGATTCTAAGACTTTTTTTGCCTTACTATACTATGACGATTCTAAGACTTTTTTTGCCTTACTATACTATGACGATTCTAAGACTTTTTTTGCCTTACTATACTATGACGATTCTAAGACTTTTTTTGCCTTACTATACTATGACGATTCTAAGACTTTTTTTGCCTTACTATACTATGACGATTCTAAGACTTTTTTTGCCTTACTATACTATGACGATTCTAAGACTTTTTTTGCCTTACTATACTATGACGATTCTAAGACTTTTTTTGCCTTACTATACTATGACGATTCTAAGACTTTTTTTGCCTTACTATACTATGACGATTCTAAGACTTTTTTTGCCTTACTATACTATGACGATTCTAAGACTTTTTTTGCCTTACTATACTATGACGATTCTAAGACTTTTTTTGCCTTACTATACTATGACGATTCTAAGACTTTTTTTGCCTTACTATACTATGACGATTCTAAGACTTTTTTTGCCTTACTATACTATGACGATTCTAAGACTTTTTTTGCCTTACTATACTATGACGATTCTAAGACTTTTTTTGCCTTACTATACTATGACGATTCTAAGACTTTTTTTGCCTTACTATACTATGACGATTCTAAGACTTTTTTTGCCTTACTATACTATGACGATTCTAAGACTTTTTTTGCCTTACTATACTATGACGATTCTAAGACTTTTTTTGCCTTACTATACTATGACGATTCTAAGACTTTTTTTGCCTTACTATACTATGACGATTCTAAGACTTTTTTTGCCTTACTATACTATGACGATTCTAAGACTTTTTTTGCCTTACTATACTATGACGATTCTAAGACTTTTTTTGCCTTACTATACTATGACGATTCTAAGACTTTTTTTGCCTTACTATACTATGACGATTCTAAGACTTTTTTTGCCTTACTATACTATGACGATTCTAAGACTTTTTTTGCCTTACTATACTATGACGATTCTAAGACTTTTTTTGCCTTACTATACTATGACGATTCTAAGACTTTTTTTGCCTTACTATACTATGACGATTCTAAGACTTTTTTTGCCTTACTATACTATGACGATTCTAAGACTTTTTTTGCCTTACTATACTATGACGATTCTAAGACTTTTTTTGCCTTACTATACTATGACGATTCTAAGACTTTTTTTGCCTTACTATACTATGACGATTCTAAGACTTTTTTTGCCTTACTATACTATGACGATTCTAAGACTTTTTTTGCCTTACTATACTATGACGATTCTAAGACTTTTTTTGCCTTACTATACTATGACGATTCTAAGACTTTTTTTGCCTTACTATACTATGACGATTCTAAGACTTTTTTTGCCTTACTATACTATGACGATTCTAAGACTTTTTTTGCCTTACTATACTATGACGATTCTAAGACTTTTTTTGCCTTACTATACTATGACGATTCTAAGACTTTTTTTGCCTTACTATACTATGACGATTCTAAGACTTTTTTTGCCTTACTATACTATGACGATTCTAAGACTTTTTTTGCCTTACTATACTATGACGATTCTAAGACTTTTTTTGCCTTACTATACTATGACGATTCTAAGACTTTTTTTGCCTTACTATACTATGACGATTCTAAGACTTTTTTTGCCTTACTATACTATGACGATTCTAAGACTTTTTTTGCCTTACTATACTATGACGATTCTAAGACTTTTTTTGCCTTACTATACTATGACGATTCTAAGACTTTTTTTGCCTTACTATACTATGACGATTCTAAGACTTTTTTTGCCTTACTATACTATGACGTTTTATGACTTTTTATGCCTTACTATATTATGACATTTTATGACTTTTTATGACTTACTATACTATGTTTTATGACTTTTTATGCCTTATTATCCTATGTCGTTTTTATGCCTTACTATACTATGTTATTTTTATGACTTTTTATGCCTTACTATATTATGACATTTTATGACTTTTTATGACTTACTATACTATGTTTTATGACTTTTTATGCCTTATTATCCTATGTCGTTTTTATGCCTTACTATACTATGTTATTTTTATGACTTTTTATGCCTTACTATATTATGACATTTTATGACTTTTTATGACTTACTATACTATGTTTTATGACTTTTTATGCCTTATTATCCTATGTCGTTTTTATGCCTTACTATACTATGTTATTTTTATGACTTTTTATGCCTTACTATATTATGACATTTTATGACTTTTTATGACTTACTATACTATGTTTTATGACTTTTTATGCCTTATTATCCTATGTCGTTTTTATGCCTTACTATACTATGTTATTTTTATGACTTTTTATGCCTTACTATACTATTTTATTTTCATGAGTTTTTATGCCTTATTATACTGTTACGTTTTTATGACTTTTTATGACTTACTTCTATGATGTTTCTTTGCTTTACTATACTATGTCGTGTAAATGATTTTTTATGCCACACTATCCTAGGACATTTTTATTCCTGACTATACTATGTCATTTTAATGACTTTTATGCCTCATTCTTCTATGACAATTTAATCACTTTTTATGCCTTGCTATAGTACAATGGTTTTAGGGTCAAAATACTATGACGTTTATATGACTTTCTTACTATACTATGAAGTTTTCATGACTTTTCATGTCTTCCTGAAAAGATGATTTCTTATGACAGGAAAATGAAAAAGTGAACACAATCAGACCAACAAGTCAACACTTCAATGTGGCTGGTTTTATTTGTGCATGGAGGACAGGTCTGGTACAAGGCACACCAAGGTCTCTCTCTCTGAGTAACAAAAGTTTGACTGCTTGTTCGGTCTTTTGCATGCCGATGTGCGTGACAAGCTGATGATGATCTGGAGATGTTTGCGTCGGTGGGGCCTCTTAGTTGTTGCACGTTCTTCTTTAGACCTCCTGATCATTCTCCATCTGTGGGGTTCTAACCATATAAGCAAACACCAACATTCATCAATTTAACAAGGACCTCCAGATATGTCCTAAATACCTTGTTGTCCTACACATATATACAGTCAAGTATCACTTATATTCTAAAGTCAAAGTTATATGCATGTAAATACCTTACACTTTTCTGTGTTACTATACAATGACATTTTTATCACTGTTTATGCCTTACTATACTATGACTTTTATTTTGCCTTCTCATGCCTTATTATACTATGACTTTTATTTTGACTTTTCTTGCCTTACTATACTATGATGTTTTTATGCCTTTTTATGCCTTAGTATACTATGACGTTTTTTTGTCTTTTTATGCCTTACTATACTATGACATTTCTATGCCTTACTATACTATGTTATGTTAATGACTGTTTATGCCTTACTATACTATGTTATGTTAATGACTGTTTATGCCTTACTATACTATGATGGTTTTTGGGTTAATATACTATGACATTTTTATGCCTTACTATACTATGACTACAATGACTACTATGATACAATCCCAAAAGAGCAACCAGTCAGCACACATTCACACCTATGAGCACCTTAGATTCGCCAATTAACTTATTTTGCATGTCTTTGGACTGTGGGAGGAAGCTGGATTCCCTGGAGAGAACCCATGCAGACATAGGGAGACATGCAAACTCCACACAGAAAGGCCCCAGGCCCGAGGTTCAAACCCAGAACCTTCTCTCTGTGAGGCGACAGTACTATCCACTGCATCACTGTGCCACCCTATATCTTTTTCATGCCAATACTTTGACTTTTTTATGTCTTAGTATACTATGACATTTTTATGCCTTAGCATATGATTTATGATATATATATATGACATATATGTCCCTATACCAAGAGTGATGTTAACATATGTGTCACCTATAAGAGGATATATTATTATGACATACAGTATATAAATCGTCTGGATGTATATATTTTATAACATATGTGAAATACTTATCGTAAAATGCAACTTTATTAAAACAACATCCTTATTCAAATTTTATGTTTGTATATGACATTCTCAGTATTTTCTTATTCAATTAAAACATACATGTCTATTTTTTATATTTACATATATAATCTGAACATACTGATAGGCTTTGGGATGGGTATATATTTATGTAAAATATATCTATAATAGTAAATATAAATATATATATAAGTTTATATAAAAGTGTCATATGTAATTTCTACATATGTAATTTCTACATACATTGGCTATACATACATACATATATGATTTTACTTCATATGTACACATATTTCATGTATGTAAATTCAACACATGTACACATATTACATTTGGATATGTGAATTCCTGAATGTAAATTTAGATTTTATAAACCGTTTGGCTGACGGCATTAAAAAGCCAATCTCTTTGTTTTGGAGGGGTGGCGGGGTTGTTGCGTCCCTATGTTCAGACCAAACCTACGCCCTTGTGTTGCAGTATTCCTCCGCTGTGATGGATTATCTGTGATTTAGTTTTGTCTTGTTGTGTTGGATATATACAGCCAAGGTAAATGCAATAGAGGCCAAATCAGTTGTTACTATAATGGTTTTCCAGTGTTACTGAAAAGTTACAGAAACTATAAGTATTTAAAATATTTCTAATGGTGTAAAAGTAAATTATAGGCCGCACCTTTACTTTTATTTATTTATTTTGGCTTGTGTTGACAATCATAACTGATGTAAGGAAACCTCGTACAGAATCAATGACTACATTTAGCTGTTTTTTTGTTCTAGCTCTTGTTCAAATACTTGTCAAACAGTCAACATAGGAGGAAAGACAATCATTTTAATATTCGTTATTTGGCCACCCGTTTTGTTTACACTGGGACTAGATTACGCATTCAGATCATAATTCAAGGACGAGATACACACTGAAATGTGCTGAATATATTTACCCCAAAACCCCCCCTCACAAAGGGAAACCAAATATATCACCGGAGTCGGGGTGTTTCCCCCTTTGCGGTTTCCGATCCTATGAAGCTTTGTTAATCGTCTGTGGTGTGTGTTACTAAAATAAGATTAAACGATGAACACGTTGCTAGAATTAGCAATCACTGCATGACTCTTTGAACCACACACGAGCCTGACAATCGTTCCCATGTGAACGGACCAGCGGCATGTAAATAAGACAGACATGTTTGCGCTTCCAAATCAGTGGTAACTCAGACAGAAACGTTTTTCTGACAAACTGACAGCATGACAGGAGCAACGGGGGACAGCAAGTCACATTTGACGAAATTCCACGTCACCTGAGATCTCGCAACCAAACTACCCCTCTCTTCCACCGCAGGTTTTCAGCTTAAAATTTCCGCCTTCTACCAGGAGTGGGGTTCGAACCCACGAGGACTATTGTCCATTGGATCTTAAGTCCAACGCCTTAACCACTCGGCCATCCTGGTCGGTACACTAGTCCTCCCAGAGATTGCGAGGATCATTAAAAGACAAGACTGACATAATGATCTCAGGTATGTCTACCTGAACAAAGCCACGACGCTACAGTGCAAATAAAGCCAGTCATGCTTCCAGTAAATGCCCCCACAGACCGCACAGCTCTGCTGAGGAAGTGCAATCATTGCACACCCGTTTCAACACTGAGCAGAGGCAGTTATGTCTCAGCAGTGTCCTTCTTTACTGTATAATGGTCTCAGTCACAGAGCCTCTCAGCTTCAGTTTACCAGACGTTAACTGGGATTCCCCCAGTATCACACACAGGAAAATAAAGGTCTTTTTGATTTGACTATCATTACAGGACAAGAGAGCGAAGCCTGCTGTGCAAACAGAAGGTCCTCTGACCTGATTAGTTTCCCATTCTCCCTGTTGTTGTCACACTGCCTGAATGAACAAATATGTACATGTGGAAAAATCAGAAACCTGCCCTATAATGCAAATATGATTGACTTTGGGTGTGTGTGCCAGTGTGTGATCATTAACAGCTACAGGGAAACATGGGATTAACGCTCAGTCAGTTTCATCACTGAAAACAGGAGGCGAGTCTTGAGAAAGCCCTGGCTTATAGCTGGTGATAACTCTACACGGGGGAGGCCAGAATGAAGTTGTACGGTCCACACCTATCTATCTTGCCTCCCAAGCTGAACGCAATCGAAAGCTGTGTGTGTGTGTGTGTGTGTGTTGTATTTACTGTATTTCTAAAGAGGTGTTAAGCAATGGCTGTAATAAGAAAAAGTCCTGCTTTCAGTTCCAGTTTCAAGCTTAGCTATAGACTTACATTCAGGCTGTCAAAACTAGCCACTCTAAGGCATTTATTTCTAAGTAAATTATACTTTACATCACTTAAATATTTCATAGAACAACTTACAAACGTACAAAGCTGAAAGTTTAAGAACAAGAAGGCTTGGAGTTATGCATAAAATAATAGCCTAGATGTCTTTACAGTTATCTTGCAAAGGCTGGTCTCAGTAACAATCAGGAAACATAACACCCATATCGCACTGTGCATATTTGCATACGAATGTGTGGTTTCAAAATACACCAGACCTTTTTCTCAGACCAGTTCAGTAGAGAAAATAATAATAACTGGGCACTTCTGCTGCTTAATTTAAAATTGACTCACTGCTTCATTAGAGCTCAATAAATACACAAACTAAAACAAAATATTACAGGCATCTTTGCGTAGGAAGCTGATTTGAATCTAATCTCAGTATTTTGATGTCACTGAGAAAAAAAAAAGACTGATGATGTCTCAATTGCAGCAAGGGAAGCAACAGCAAAAGAGTTTCTTGCATGGATTGTTTTCCTTGTATTTCACAGCCTTCTTGATCTGAGTTGAAGCCTTGATGACGTAGTCCTGAGTTGCACTGACATTTGCTTCTATGTTATCCAGCATGCAGCCCTGCTCCTCCACCAGCGTGGCCATCTGGAAGAAAAGCTCATGAATGTCTCTGATGCGGCCCTCCAGCTCCAGGAGTTCCTTGTGCCGGTTCTCGATCTCGCTGAGAGCAGACCTGGCAGTCTTTCCTTCCTGGAGAAGATTATCCGAGAAGACGTTCCACTTGCCCGTCTCGATCATCTCGTCTATCTGCTCCCTGCTCACCTCCTTGCCCATGATCTCCGCTTGTCTCTGGATGCGGGTCTTGCAGTTCTCCCTCTGGACCATCTCAGTCTCGTTGTACTCAGACATGGCATCGTGGAAGGCCCTGGTCAGAGACACATACTGTGAACGCACCATGCGGGCTACAGCTGAGGTAGGCCCGTGCTCCTCTTCCAGGTCCTTGGTCAGCTTCCCCAGTTTCTCCAACCGTGCATAAATGGCCTCCCCTCTGGCCTTGATGTCCCGTCCCAGAGCGCTGGAGTCCCGTTTGATGCTGCTTATCCTCCTGACGGACGTGAGGAACCTGGTGTTTTGCTTCCCAAGACGCTTCACGTCCATTTTGAGCAGCAGCATCTCCTTCCTCATCGCCTGGGCCTCCTTGTAGATGCCATCCATCATGTCTTCTCCCTCAAACACGATGGCATGTTGCTCCAGATACTCCTCATCGTCAGCGGTGTGGTTGTGGTTCTCCGCGGGCCTGCGCTCCTCCTCTGCAGGCATGGGGGTGAAGGTCTGCAGCTCACACAGTCGGTCCCTCATCTCACCTGCAAGAGGAGTCAGGAGCTTTTTACTGACCATCTCAAAAAATAAGTGTATTTGCCATCTGGCAGAGAGATAGATGAAAGGATCGGTGACACTTTGACACTTGAATCTTTTTGTTAAATATGAAGCTACAGCCAGAGAATGGTTAGCTTAGCTTAGCATAAAGACTGGAAACAGGGAAAATGGTAGCCTGGCTCTGTCCAAAAATTTAAAAAAATCCATCTACCAGTTGTAACAATTAAACATGTTAATTTGTCAGCTTTACAGTTGGTGGTAGATTTTATTACCCTCAGACTGAGCCAGTCCACCTGTTTCCCTGTTTCTTTCTTTATGCTAAGCTATGCTAAATGGCTCCTGGCAGCTTCACTACAGAGTAGAAACAGGAGGAAACAGCAAGTAACGAAGTTACTAATGTTATATCTCATTTGTTTTATCTGTAACAAAACCAGTGGAAAAACAACATCCTGTCATTTTATGGGGGCTTATGTACTGGACCATTTCTTGCTTCTGAGCAGTTACCAGGTCACCAGCAGAGACCTCAGGAAGTGGTTCCAACTAAGAAAATAGTCACCCCATAAAAAAATGTCAAGATGTAAAAAGAAAACCCAATAAAAATTGTATAACAGAACTTTGTTTTTTATTCTGTCCAGGCATATTCATCTAATTAACCCCTCAGATTTATTTTGTGCCCCTTTGGAGGGGCTCAACCCTTAGATCTTGAACCACTGGACTGAACAAACTGTAGAAAGGGTAGTGAAACTAACTCTAACCCTCAACCAGCTGCAACAGTTTTTTTAAACTTTAATAATTCTGGTGTTGTAGTACTTCTACTTAAGTAAAAGATATTAATACATATTCTACCTCTGGTCTCATCCTACATAAAAATCCAAACCCTTCTTCTCATGCCAGTAAAACTAGAGAAATTAGCAACACAATGAGAAAATCTACTAATTTCAGCAAGATATGGACACAAGAATTTTACATGTTGTGAATGAGTTGTATCAGCAGAGGATCATAGTAAAAGTATATTGTAATTAATATGGGGTTACTATTTTACAGAAATATCATGTAACTATATCATGTGTGCATGTTTTTGTGCATGTCAGGATACTTTTTGTCTGTGCAGTGTAACTTGGAAAGTTCAATATAGAGACTTTTTTGAAAAGAAGCATAAAAGCTGCTCTATAGGAAGCTGATGGGCTACTTCCTCAGCTGTGACGTTCTCATCGCAGATAGAAATTAATTACAGGGCGTCGACTTAGACTCGCTTATTTCCTAGTGAGAGAACCTGTTACATATCGTTAGTGTGATACTTAATGTTAAGAAAGTGTTTCACAAAACGAAATAAATCACACTAACAAACCTGAAAGCATCATTGGCCATGACAAGCCAGGAGGATGGGGGAAAAAGAGAAACTAGACAACACTAAGAAGCTGTGACAGAGATCAGCGTGTGGGTCAGTCCCGAGTTAAGACCCCAGAAATGATTTAATCGATTATTTGAACCATTATATCGACCGGATAAGAGAAAACAGAGCTCACATACCTCGTTGTGTTGTCCTCCAGCGGTGCTATGCTAGAAAACTCACTAAAACAGGAGACGCGACATCGGAAAGACTCATTTCCTCTTTTTCTCTTCGTTCTGTCACCAAATTTCAACATGTACAAGAGTCAACTGTCTCCCAGTGTTTTGAGCAGGTCTCTCAGTCACACACTCACAGTACACTGCCACAGTGATGCAGCCTGCAGCAGGTACTAATGCGGAAGATCACGCCTTCTCCTCTACATTTCACACACTTCACCGTTTCTCTGGTTTGAGTCAGTTTCATGTTTTTTTTTTGTTTTGTCTGTTTTGTTTTGTTTTTGTTTAATGTGTAATTTTAGATTTTTGATGATTTGTGAGGCGTCCAGTTTACTGTCAGGATGACACAAGACAGACATTACATTTTAAAAACTTTTTCTTTATTAACAAAGTCTTCCATTAAATTAATGTGAAACAATAAAACATAATTTGACCTTATTATACTAAGGTCTATATATAAGATCTATACTTATAAAAGTGTACAGGAAAAAAACAGAAGTTGGCTAATAGTTTCACCACAAAGTAAATTTAGTTGCTGTTGCATGGAACTTCCATGCTGTCCACAGTGGTGAAGTATATTTAGATCATTTACTTAGTAAAAGTACAAATGCCACATTGTAAAAATACTCCATCACTGACACTGCTGCTGGATACATGATGTTACTCCAGTATAAAGGTCCATAGGTCACTTGCAAAATGTATTAGAAGTATCAAAGGAACAGAATTAGTAGTACCATTGTATATTATATTATTGGATCAATATTACTGATGCATTAAGTAGCATTTTACTGTTGTGGTTAGGACATAGATCATTTCTGCTGCTTTATATAAAGGTGGGAGAAGTATTCAGACCCTTTAGTGACGTAAAAGTAGCACGACTGTTAACATATTCTATTACAAGTAAAAGTCCTGCATCGAAAATGTTACTTAACCACAGTAGTTGAATGTAACTAAGTACATTTACTCAAGGACTGTACTTAAGGTACTACACTCCACCACTGGCTTTCAATCATACATGACTATGTTATATAATTGAAAGTTATGTCTGATTCCCTATTGATTTATATTATTTGCTGATATGGCTGTTTGCAAATTATGCTGATCATTAGTTTGATAAATCTCATATATATATATATTGATCTCTCGTTTGTTTGATGTATGTTTGCTCTCTTTTTATCCAGATAAAAACAGTATAAGTTCACCTCATCATCATCAGTGTTTAAAGCGTTCAATGAATTGTCCACAGTGTTTCTCCTCACCCTGGAAACCGGTGCAGCTCAGTTACAGTCTCACAATATTTTACGATCATCAAAGGCTCCAGATACGGCTTAAAGGGTTGCTCATTTATTTTGTAGTGCAGTTTTGACCACATGGACCAGTGGACCTGATCCAAACCCAGTGGCCCCTCATCAGACCTAATTGTAATAACATGGGAAGCAGCCACAGAACAGTTTCTTGAAGGGGTTGCTCTTATCGGATGCAGTGGCTCTCTCCAGCTGGACTATTCCTTCCTGAACGGCCACTTCAGCATTTTGGACATTTTTCTGGATGTTTTGGACGGCGACCCCCTGCTCCTCTACGAGCACGGCCACATCCAGGAACAGCTCCTGGATCCCCTCGATCCTCTTCTCCAGCTCCACCAGCTCCTTTTGACGACTCTCGATCTGGAGGAAAGCGGAACGGGCCGTTTTGCCCTCCAGCTGGACGCTGAACACAGTCAACTCCTTGCCCTCCATCATCTCCTCCAGCTCCTCCTCGCTGACCTCCCTGCCCACCACCTCCATCTGCCTCTGGATCTGACGTTTACAAGCCTCCCTGTGACTCATCTCTGTTTCATTGTAGCTGAACATCACCTCCTGCAGAGCATTGCTCAGACACTGGTACTGTGTCTGAGCTATACGTGCTGTGGGGTCAGCGCTGCCACGCTGGGCCTCCAGTTCCCCTCTGAGAGCGTTCATTGTGTGCAGCCGCTGCAGCACACCTTCTGCCCTGCTTTTAATATCTGCCCCGATTGCATTGGAGTCCCGCTTTGTTGCTGAGGCGTATGTGGTCTTGTTTAAGGCCTGGTAGTTGACATCTTTCAACTCGCTGATGTTGTTCTGGATCTGCTGGATCTGCAGACGAATCTGCTGGGCCTCCTGTAGGACACCATCCATGTCCTGGTGTGAATGTGACGCTGCTGCTGCTGCTGCTGCTGCTGCTGCATGCTCTGACAGGTCGTCCAGCTCCACTGTGCTGAAACCCTCTGAGTCAGTCTGCACCTGCTGTAGGTTGCTCAGTCTGTCTCTCATGTCTGAAAGGAAGATGACACAGAAAGAGAAAAGATTTTGATCTATTCAGCTGGATGTGACAATTTGTCTGTTGGGTCCAATCTCTTACAAGGGATCACAAGATAATTAAACCTGCTATAACGGGTTTTTTGGCCACTGCTGGACAGCAGAAACAAGCTGTAATCTGAGAATTTACAAGGTGAAAATTACTTGGTGATGGAACAATGTCAAACACATAAACAAATGCAACCTTTAACAAGGGGGCACAGTAGACACTTTCATTTTAAAGCGTCACAACCGACATAAGTTGAGAACCATTGAGAAAAATTAGTGTATTATAGATCTGGGTGTAAGAATTCTCTTTTTGTTTTGTTGTAAAAACTGGGAAGAAAAACACACTAAATGACAGACGCCACAAGATCAGGACTCATTAGTAGCAACAAAGAAGCGAGTACTTGTTGTTGTGTTAAATGTCTCCCTGAGCGCAGCTGAAGGCGTCTAACAGGCCGGGGTTCAGTCGAGCAGGAAAATATAAAGCTTCTGTAATCAATATCCACAGCAGGCGCGAGCATCTACTTCTCACTCTTCTGTATCATGTTATCTTAGAAGAGCATACTTGAGCTGCCAGGTCATTCAGTCTCATTCATGACTCGGCAAACGAGTTTTCAAGCAGAAAAGTACAGCGTAGAAGGATTTCAGCTGGTTTCAACTAAGGGGATGTACAGTTCTTACTTAATGTCAGTGTTTTAAAAGTGGGATTCATCAAAAACAGAGGAAACATCAGTAATTCTTAACAGCCTGACAAAAAGCAGTTACCAACCAGCAGCACGAGGAAGTCTGGTCGGCATTAGTTGATGTTTACAAAAGAAAAATGCAAATTTTTCAATATTCTTGACATATTTTTCTCCAAGAGCCAGAGTTAAGAGGCCACAGATGTCAAACTGAGGTTTCTCGTCTGTCAATTCAGATGTATAAAGATTTGACCTAAAAGACCACTGTAGGTAAACCTCAAACACATTGAATACGTCAAACTATACTGATACCTTACTTGTTCAGCTGTTATCTATAGAGGGTTTCTTCACTTTCTGTAGCACAAGCTGATCATATAGAAATCCAATCGCTCAATGGATCCGAAGTGACGGCTGAAGAAAGAGTGAGAGCTTTTTTTAAAAAATGTTAACCATCATCACTGATACACCTGCTTAAGAGGAAACAGAAACAAAACGGTCTGCATTCCTCTCGTGTCACATGGAGGCACAAGGAGTGACGTGCAGTAAGGTAAAGCCAAGCCTCTCGAGGCTCCATCATAAGGACGATCACTGATATACCTGTGTTTACATTCTTCTATCTTGGGTCAGCTGTGAATCAAGTATTTTTGTGTTTACTGATAGATGTCTAAGTTGTGTTTAATGTCTAATGAAGTGACAAAGGGTTGTGAAAAGAAACTGATGTTAAGCTATGACCTTGAAGGGGGGGGAAAGAAAACCAAATATGTTAGATAACATCAAAGACAGAAGTCATCACACACTGACATTGGATGCCGAAAGCCGACAGATATAAAGAGGAAGTATTTCAGATATGCTATCTTCCAAAAGGGGGAGGAGGGACTGAGGCCTTAAGTTGTGATAAGAAATGATCAAGTCTTGCAGAAGTCAGTCTGTCTTGCCACTTGTGCAGGCAATAAACGTAACCTTTCCTTTCAGTGTGATGAAAAAGCAATCTGACCGAGGCCTCGTTCTCACATTGCACACGGGGAAACCACCAACCGTCAAGTGACTATCAATCATGCTGCCAGAAAGAGAAGCTCAACTATATTTGAACAAAGCAGATGGATGGCTGAGGTGATGTGTAGGACGCTGTGTGACACAGTCATTTCCACAGCCAGCAGTGGATTGTATGTGATTAGTAATTTCCATCAGCCTCCATGGGCCTGAGTCATACTGGCTTCGTTTCTCAAAGGGGTTTTTAAGTAAAGTTAATCTGTCGGCACACACTCCTCCAGTGTTCAACTCTGACACTCGATTCTTAAGAAGAGAAGCATGAATGGAACCAGTTGAGGCTAAAAGATCCCCCCAAGAAAACCACGATGCAAGCAGCAATTTCTCTGTTTCACTGTTTCGTCTCTTGTTTCATTCACTTGGTCAAAACCTGGCGTGTTCACACATTCATACAGTTTATCTGGTTTGTACTTTACTCTAGAGAAGGGATTTTGAACGCAGGACTTTTACTTTTGTAACATCAGTAAAGAGCCTGGTTCCTTTTTCACCACTGTGTATCTTTGACTGAGGACTGTGCTTTTTTGGTGGAGTATTTATTTTGCCCAGCAGATGTCAGTAGTACAGCAGTACCTGCACTCGTGGTTTAGGTTAACAAAGCCTGAGTAACAGGTTTGTTTGGGATGAAATGCAATTTGTATTAGTTACGGCTGTATTTTATGTAATGACAAAGCAATAAAAATCTGACATCCATTAAGATCAAATTTGATACAGCTTTATGTATCCCCGTCAGAGCAATTTGTCTGTATGCAGCAGCTCACCAGCCACATCAACAGATACACACACCACCGGAGGAAAAACACTATTAATCAAATAACTGAATACAATCAATTAGCCCATCAATTAAACTATAAATCATATTGGTAATACTAACTAACTAAAGAACAAGCTAATCACTGTTTTAAATAAGAGAAAGTCCCAAAACATGAATTCATTACTTGGTTTTAAATAATTTTTTTTTTTTATGTGGATTTTGGTCAAAGCATTACACCAGTTTTGATTTAAATTTTTAGGACCGAAATCAGCCCAAAAAAAAAAAAAAAACTGAGCAAGTTGAAAGAGTTGTGGTTTAAATCTAGTTATTTCTTTTCAGTCACCTGGTTCTGATTTGAGCAGCATGTTTTTTATCAATACGCTGTGTTGCATGAGTTTCAGACGTAGACTCCCCTGGTCACCGGTCAGCAACCGAGCATGTGATCAGGTGAAATCTAACTTGGCCTTGTATACACTCCTCAGTGCTGCTGCGAGGTCAGAGCGAGCAGACAGGGGTCCACAAATACTAACAGCCAAGAATGTATTCTTAATTAAAGGCCGTAAATCTGCTAAACTCCAGGACAAAGGTCTATTTTGTGCACTTGGAAACCTTAAAGTAGCACAGTTCCCCCCCCCCTCACCATGTCACCCTGCCAGATTCCTGTAGTAGACCCTTTCTTGGAAATAAAAAGTTTTATCTACAGTATGTGTGTCACCAAAAACTGAGTGGGTCAGAGGAACACAATCGCCTTTATATCTTCTTTCTTTGGTTCAACTATGACTCTATACTTCTCTCTTTCCGACTGTCCTAAAACATTATTCCAAATCCTGTTGGAGTATTTAAAAATTAAGATTTTTGGGTTGTCAAGGGAAAAATAAATCAACGTCTCTATGTCAGTGGTGTTACTTTAAGAATTAAATTGATAAAATGCTCCCAACTCTAACTTTGAGATGCTAATCTCTGTAAAACAGCACATTTAGTCTAATTTTAAAGCTTTCTTGGTTCTTTTTTTTTTTTTTGCTGAAACAAAAATACACTGATGCTAATATTTAATGCAAAGTCCGGGGCAAAAGCAGAAATCACAATATCAAAGCTCTGCTGAACCCTCATGGTCTTTAATCCAGTTTCATGCACAGAGCAAAAGATTTCAGCTCAGCATAAAAAAAGGACACATTCATCAGGTTTAAATTTTAGCTGTAAACTTATTTCTGATGCCCTCAAATGCCCAGAAAAAAAATACACAGATGACTGTGACTGACTCACCAAGAACCCCTGCGTTTTATTTCATTATATTGCATCAGGCCACTGGGGTTAGGTTGCTGTAATCAGTGGAGAAAACATCAGCTGTTTTCAGTTAACCAAAGCTGTGACTCTAATTAATTAAACTTATTAGTGTCCTATCAAGGTTCACATAACAGCACCAGTGTCTCACTGCATCTGATCAAATTAACATGAATGTCTGTCATGGGTTCGGAGAAGTTTCTCCACTCTGAGCTTTCCCAAGGTCTCACTTTGTTCAGCTTCGGTGACACATCACTGTTTGTTTTAGGTAAACCTGTCCTCAGCTACTGGGGTAAACAGGGAAGCCAGTGCAGGTACACAGCCGTGCAGGGGCTTCTTACACTGCTCTCTTACACTCTCAGAGGGCAATTAAGTATTTCCTGGTGTAAAGTCATAAAAATTCACTTAATTGATTATTTTGATTCCTCTTCTTTTACACAAAATAGTCTAATTGAATGAAATAACTGACATTAAGGCAAACAGATGGTGGGTTGTTAGTAAAACTACAGGCTAGTGTTTAATGTGTGCTGATAGTTATATTGATAGTAAACTTAAGGATGCAGCAGCAGTGAGTACGGGGCTGGAGGACATATAGAAGACACATCACTTGTTTCACAATCCACAGACAATACAGATTATAGTAAAAATAAAAGCTACTACAGCGCTGGCAGGGTTGTGGTGAGGTTGGCACACTCACAGGGCAAAGCTGGTCGAGCTTTGCATTCATTAACAAAGCTTTTTGAGTTCCTGGCAGTAAAATGGACAAATGGACTCATTAGAAACACAAGAAATTACAGCAGGGATAACAGATTTTAAAGGACCTATGGACATACTTGCCAAATTGTTATTCGACAAAATGGAGTTATGAATTTGTCGGCTGGGTAACAAATGAAAGGAAAAAACTGGATGAATCTGTGGACAAATATAACAGGGCACGAGGCGTCATTGAATGGCCTGATGAGTATGACAGTCACCACATCTCAACCCAGCTGCGGACTTATGGGAGATTTTGGAGAAGTGTTATACAGTGCTCTTTAAATTAATAAAATGTATTTAACACTGGAATCTGCTGTTTTCAAGAACCACGTGATGCCAAGACAGGGTCTAACAGGCCGGCTCTGTAGTCCTCAAAAGTTTTGAAGAGTGAATAAATGGTAGATTAAAAGATAAAGCTATAAATACTTTATTCCTTCTATACCTCTTTATCCAGCTCTGTTTTATTTAAAGGTCAAGCTTCGCCAGCCGCCTTGTGCTTCATGTTCAAAGTCTTGGAGACTGGACAAACCTGTGAGACTATCTTATTTGTCTGGCCCTGCTCATGATATTCTGCCCACATGTCTCAGTTTAATTTCCAAATTATGTTAAGTCTGTTTTGCTCCACAGATACATTTGACCAGTCTGTTGTATTCCTTTTTTTAAGAAAGCAATCTTGCTTGACTTTAAAATCTTGACCATTTTTATAAACTTTCATGTAATTTTACTATAATTACACTGTCTTGTTGGCTAATCAGCAAAATATACCTCAAAAGCTGTAAATTCATTAAGATGATAGATGCAGAGGTTGAAACGTTAATCATTTCAGTATGACTTACTGCAGGCGTGTCATGCATATGAGATCTCCTGATGTCTTGTGCATCACGTGTTCTGATGTTTAGTGAAATTAAATCAGCAGCATTCTCCATGACTTGTGTTCATTAATATGACATGACATTCAAAAATGTAAAACATAAAACCCAAATCATTACAGAACATTAAAACAGTTGCATCTTCGATAAGATAGGAGAGATAAAATAAAATAATCCTTTTTTAGTCTCACAGTGGGGAGAAATTAGCAATACCGTGGATGAATAAATTATATTTCTTTTCAAAGGGTTTAAATATTATACTTTTAATGTTTTTGATTGCCAAAACGACGGCTCTTTATTATGAAAAAACTGAATAATGATTTCCAGATATATATACATTCATTTTGGAACAACTTTCTAATAATGCATCTTTTTTACTAGCGCTTATAGGTTGTAACTCGTGATTATATTAATGATTAATAAATGTTTTATAGATAACTTAAAAACCATTCATAAGAACAAATCTGGGGTTGGCAGGTTGTATAAAACAAATCCCATTGGCTGGTGTTTAGCCTTCTGATTGGTTATAAATGTTGATAATCCAATTAATAAATGTTCATGGGTTTTGTCACTTTGTGATAAGGTGTCAGGTCTTCAGTTAGAAATGTTAATAGGTTTTGATCATTGAAGCTGCAGTTATACGTGTTAATAAGTCATTAATTACATGATAAATAAACCCTATATAAAAGTTGTCTTATTAGAAACTGGTACCTTTTTTAATAAATAGAATACATGCCATATGCTTATTTCTCTTCATTGTAATGTGTAATATCATAGTATTTGCCTAGATCAAGGTGTTGATGTGTGTGTGTTATGATAAACATGTTGGCCAACATCAGGGCTACAGCACTGACCAAAAGTCAGAAAACTGTGCACTCTGTTTACAACGAGGACATCTGATGTCCCAGCCGCAGTTACATAAACACATCAATTCAAGAGGCGGTGACTTTTCCCCCCATTAGGCTGACTGACCAAGATTCAGCAACATCATCAGCAGCCACTTCTCACTGTCATGAGCCGACATGACAGACCTCATAATGAGATTTGCTCGCCCATTTGCCAGACTGAATGTGCAGCTCTATAAAGGTCAAGATCAAGTTAAAGTTTTTGTACTGATTAAACAAACATGATGTAAGATGCCAATTAATGAGCTTTTGAGGGAGTGAGATTTATTTTTCTCATTTTTATTTCGAATTAAGAAATAAATATTCAAATGCATAAAAATACATGAATCGGTGGGTTTGAAGAACACCTCTGAACAACCATCTGATGCATAACATAACAGGGCAGCTCAAAACAGAACATTTCATGAGCGAATAAATGGTAGATTGATGGACAAAGATAAAATAGTTTATCCATTTTAGCTAAGTTTTATTTAAAGCTTCTGCATCCGCCTTGTACTTCATGTTCAAAGTCTTGGAGTTTGGACAGGTCACAGTTTTATTGTCCTGCTCATGAAATTCTGCCCACGTCTTCACACAATGACCAGGAGGAGTTTCAGATGCTGATGATGTGCACAGAAGAAACTAAAAGAGAGAGTTAACTGCATTGATGATCAGGATGTTTTCTTTCCTTTTTCTTCATTATACAGTTTGTTTTTGGACTTTTTATCACATACTCTGACAGTTCTGGATGTAATTTTGTCAGAGCACAACTGCATTTAATATAAAATAATAATTAGCGTCTTCTTAAAAATAAATGGCCAAAAAATAAAAATCCACGTGACAAATGTGCAGATGTTTTCAAATCTAGCGACTCATCTGCATCCAATGAAAATATTCAACACGCTCCTTGTTTTACAGTGACTTCACATGTATCTGCACCCTGAGGTTTGTGTATATGGCGGGGCAGGTTCCGGCTTGTTGCTCGGACATTTGCTCCAGTCATCTGACTACAGGCTATGTTTTCGCTGCAGTTTTTTTTTTCTTCATTTTGATGCAGCGGGAGGCGTGCCGGACCGGGCCGGGCCGGGCCAGGCTCGGCTCATAAGCTTCATGTGATCCTGCAGGGAGGTGTTTGGCTAAAAAAGACTTTTTCAACATCCAGGCTGCACCATTTGAGATCTGATCAGTGTCCCTCGCCCTCTCACGGAGCTACCTGCTTTGCCTTTTTTTGGGATATTTACATCACTTGTGCGGCGGCTTGTTCCGGAAAGTGACGCGCTGCAGTTCCGATAATGGGAGACGCTCAGTCTGCGCAACGGGAGAACAAGAAGGACGCAGCGGCTGAGGAGGAGAGCGGAAAAGTGGATGATGCTCCGGCGGAGCAGAACACTGACGACAAGGTATCTCCTTATTTCCCGCAGATCCAGGTGGATGGATTGGCCGAAATTACTCCTATATTTATGCACAAACTTTGTAATGATGATTTATCCTCCTTATTAACACATAAAGGGGTTTCAGTAGCTTTAACTGCAGTAACAAATGAATTTGTTTAAAAAAAAAAATTCATTAAAAAAAACAGTCAGAGGGTGCTATGTGTTATAGAAATGCTGAGGCTGGATTTAGTTGTTGTCAGGGCAGTGCAGCTGCTGCTTGCCAACACATCCATTAACCTCAAGATAAAGAAAAAGTCCTTGTCTCTTTTGACAGAATTGCATCCAGGACATCCAGCTATTCTGGGACTCTGACAATGGCTTTTAATTAAAAAAGCCCAAAAATGTTCCCTGCTCTTTCAGGCAGGGAACATTTATCAATTTCTTCCTGGTGAGTGCAGGTGCCAAATGAAGCCACCAACCTTTTCCTAATATCACATGAAAGTTGTTGAAAATTTGTTCCACTAAATGACCGCTTGGTTGCCGACTCTTGCTTTGGTAGTTTGTGGCTATCAGTCCCCGTTTTCACTGTTTCATTGGTGTTGCAATGGTTTTCATTTACTGTAGATGACAAAGGAAGTAGCGTGGGGGAATAATGACCTCTCATTCTTCGAGGAACCTAAGTAAAGCTCATGGGAAGGATGGAATTTCCCCTCTGCTGCACTCAGCTGAAGTCAACATCGATTATTTGTGTACAACATGATCACTGGATCATGCTGAGCAGGAAGTCAATTAGACAGCACTCTACTGTGAGAGTGAAAATAGCCCCTAATGTCTCATGAGCTACAGTTATGATGTTGTGTTTATTTATTAGCACCCTTGACCTTTGTGACTTTTAGGTGATTTCATACTGGATGGAATAATGGGCAAAATATGCTGTTAAGAAATCTTTTAACTTTGAATAAAGTCTCAAGTTTCAAAGAAGGTTAAAATGTAAAAACAAGCCACAAATATGCTAAGTGCATAAATTCATTTAATTTTTTACCCCAAAGGCCACAGTGTTTTTGCACCAGGTTAGTCTAACATAAACGTGGTACAATAATCTGATTTTTTTTTCCAAATAAACCCTAACCCTAATAACTGATGAAATATATCCTGTGTCACTCTTATTGGTACTTTTTTTTTCAAAGCCAGTCCACAAAAGTTTGGTTGTATGTTTTCTAAAATTAAACTGATTTATACTTACACCATTTAGTGGCACTTAACTAATCTGAAACCCGAATGACTGAAAACAAAGACATGCGTGTTCACAGCTCCTAATATTGGAGGCACATGTGCGTAAAATGATGAATAACTTTTGACTGGAAAAAAAATAGCTCACAGCCAACCATAATTATATTATGGCCTTTGATCTTTTGGCATATACTAATGTTTCAATTAAGAGTGTATGTTTTTTTTGTGTGTCTAGGGGAGTAAAAGCTGGTTCCTGAAGGACATGTTTCTTGTTCCTTCTTGCCCAGTCATACTTTCCAGACTAATCTGGCTCACGGATTTGAGATTGGGACAATTAGGGTTGTTAAACTGTAAGGTCATCATCAGCCCACAACAGTACTCAAGTATGTTGTTTACAAAATAGGACAAAGTTTGGAATGCTCTGTTTGTTTTCATAGAAGTACAAATTTAGATTGATTTTTCAATGCTTCTGTAGCTATGAGAGAATGGTCCCTGCTGTGGTTCTTCTATGATTACTGTCTGTTACTCAGAAACTGACTGCTGAAAGATTGATTTCTATTATTTGAGCTTTCATAAAATCTAAATGCACCACAAGAGCAGAGCTAGATTGTGCATTTTTGTTTTGTGCTTTGTTTCAGCCTCTCAAAAATAATGGGCAAATCTCTGAGATCAATGGAAAAGCAGACAGCACTATAGCCGAAGTCAATGGTCACTGTGAGGATGAGATCGCTGCAGAGGGTGGGTACTTACAATCTGTGTATTATTGCTCACTGACAGACAGTCAGCATAATTTTAACAGGCACATAGCTTGTTGAATTTCAGCAGATACAATTTCACCTGTGTCATCACTCTTTTACAGTTTTTGCAATTCAAGTGGTCTAATATCAAATATCTTTTCTGGTTTAGCTGTCCTGTCTCCAGGTGAAGATGTTCCAGAAACCACAAAGTCACTTAAAGAAGAAGATACACCCGTAGAAAATGTTGAAATTAATGAAAATGAATCACCTAATGAAGTTGATGATAATGAAGAAATGATTGAAATGGATTCAAAGCAGAATGACATCAATGAAAGTTTTAGGAGATTTTTCAGTAACATCGGTTTAAAGCTGACAGTTAAAAGAGGCTCGGCTGAAAAAGCTGAAATAGAAACAGATGTGCCTGATGAGACGAATGAGGAAGAATCAAACAGACTAGAATACATTGAGGGTACTGCAAAGGAAACCAAAAGTGAGGATACTGAACAGAATATAGATCTGACCACAGCACAGGAGACTTATGACAATGATTCAACAACATGTCCTACCCTGACAGATGCCACATCGGAGGACATCCTAGAAAATGCAGAGGTGAAAGCAACAGAGGCCAAAGAGGTTGTTGGATCTGAAAATGTAGATGCAGCAACAACTTCACCTGTACATGAAGACGAAAAGGCACAACAGGATGCCACACTTGAAGAAGACCTACATCCAACATCTCCATCTAGTCCTGAACCAGAGGTGGTTGTATCTCCAATTAAAAGGTTTTTTACAACTGGAATCTTTTCTGGACTACGGAAGAAAAAGAGGCCCACAGAAGATGAGACAACTGATAAAGAATTGGTGGAGATGGGAAAGGAAACAGTAGAGACAGCAGAAATACAACAGAATAAAGAGGAGATTAGTCTAGGTGTTGAGGCTGATACAGTTGAGACAGAAAATAAAGAAAACAAACTTAAAGAGGAGATGAATGACGGGAAATCACCTCCCACAGATGCAGTAAGCGTTACTGTCGATGAGCCTGAAATTATGAGTTCTCAAGAGAAAGTTCAAGCCAGCCCTCTGAAAAGGCTCTTATCAGGGTCTAGTTTAAAGAAACACTCCAAAAAGCAGAGAGGCAGGAAATCAAGTGACGCAAAGCTGTCAGACTCTGGAGAACACTTTTCAGATCAGCTCATGTCATCTAATGAGTCAGCTGAGCATCAGAAAGAAGAAAGTCCTGTACAACACCCTGTAGAGGCAGCAGGAGAGGAGGATGGCGCATGGGCTTCTTTCAAAAAACTTGTGACTCCGAAAAAGCGCATGAAGACGTCCTCCTTGACCAAAGAGGAGGAGACACAAATCACAGGCTCAGTAGAGGAAACAAAACCAAGTGAAGGAGAGCAAATATCAGATCACAGCACTGAAGATGGCAAAAAAAGAAAAGACTCATCTGTGTCATGGGAAGCTGTTCTATGTGGTTCTGGAAGGAGAAGAAGCCGAAGTCGAAAAACATCAGACTCTGAGGATGAAATGCCCCAAGTTGAAAATGACAACAAGAAGCAAGATTCGCCATTAGAAAGTTCAAATGAAGTAGATGAAATTTTAGCCATCTCCCCCAAACAAGTAGGAAGTCCTTCAGAGGTTGATGGAGGATCAACATGGAAATCACTGAAAAAACTTGTCACCCCCAAAAGGAAGGCCAAGAATGAGGAAGAAAGCAAAGATAATTTACAGTCTGACAGTGAAGTTGCTCAGGATGATTCCTCTTTTTCAATAAAGAATCTTCTCCCAGGTCGAAAAAAGAGGAAGTCTGCTGAAAAGCAAGACCAAGTGTCTTCAGATGAGGCTGACAAGGAAGCAGCTTCAGGTGAAGAAGACTCTGAGACACCAGCTGTGGTTCCATTGTCTGAGTTTGATACAATTGAAACAGAAGTTCACATAGAAACACAGGCTGATGTAGAAAGCCATGTGCCCAAGGAAGCAGACTATGAACTGCAGCAAGACCTCCTTGATCAGATGGCTGAACCAGTCCTGCCTTGTGACAGTCTGCAAACGGAAGTAAAGAAAGTCCAAGACAATGAGGATACTTTAGAGAATGAGGCATCTACCACTCCCGCTTCAGATGAAGAACCTGAGGACCTTACAGAATTAATCAGTAAACATCAACAACTCAGTGATATTCCAGAGGAGGGTATAATTACAGAGACCATGGCCACTCCAGCTTCAGTCACTGAAGACACAGCTAGAGATGATACTATAGCAGATGATCTGATAGAAATGACATCTGAAGCCATAACTGCTCTAGAACCAGTAGACATTACCTTGACAGATGAAACTGAGATGATCTCTGCAGTTTCCCAGCTATCAGAGTCTTCAAAAACATCAGGCAACACAACACCAGTTCCAGTAGAATATGACATCAAACATACAGAGGCACTCCTGCATGAAGTTGTTGAAACCATCTGCATAAGCCCAAAGGCAGCCCCACTCTGTTCAGATGAGATAAGCTCAGAAAGAATAGTTGGATCCGTCTCGCATCAAATACTCGAATCATTTGTAAAAGAGGAGCCAGCAATTCTGAAAATACACAGGAGATCAGATGCAACTGCCATTAAAATAGGTTTAAATGCTGAAGAACTGGACGTAATTACTGAACTTGCCGCAACAGTCCAAACAGAGAGCATATCTGAAGTCAACGAAGGTGTTTCCACAGAAATTGTATCTGAAGTTCCTACCGTGGAGTTTGACAATGCTAAAATTGTTGTAGATGAAGTTCATGAGGTCAACGTTTTACATCCAGAAGAAAGCATAAAAGAATTAGAAAGTACTGATGAGAGCCAACATCAGGTGGAAAGCCAATCTGAGGTAGACGAAGCTGAAGAAACATTATCTGAATGTGAAGAAATTGTTGCAGATGAAGGCTCTCTAGTTGATGAAAAAGAGCCCCTACAAATTGACTGTCAAGAAGTAGAATCAGCTGTTACTGTAGCAGAAGAAACTAAGGATGGAAGTGTGGAGCAGCAAGTCCAAACTCTGACACAAAAGGATGATGAAATCTTACACAATATCACTGATCAAGTTCAAGTTGAGGATAAAGATCAACCACCTGTAGAGGTGGAGGAGTTACAAGAATTAGCAGCGGCACAAGCTGCCAAATTAGAATCAGAGGAGGGTTGTGTTCAGTTGCTTGAAAAGGAAGTAATATCAGAAGATATTCCTGCAACAGAAACGATAACACATGAACCCATAGAGAAAACAAAGCCTCTCACTGAAGATAATGTTGAGGCAGAGAAGGAAGACGAACTACAAGCAGATGCTGCAGAAACTGAGCACATTGATGAACCAGAGGTGTTAGAAGCTGTACAAACAGCCACAGGTTCAGGGGAGGATAGAGTTCAATTGCCTCAAGGGGAAGTACTATCAGAGGATATTGCCACAGCTACAGATGAAACAAAACATGTAAAAGAGAACCTCATTGAAATCAGCGTTGAGCCAGAAAACAAAGAACTGAAAACAGATACTCTAAATATTGACAATCATCAAGTTGCAGAAGTTTTACAAGCTATACAAGTACCTACATTAGATTCAAAGGAGGGTAGTGTTCAATCACTTGAAAAAGAAGTTATATCAGAGGCCACTGAACAAACTGAACATGTTAAGGAACTCGAAGTATTAGAAGCTGCACAAGGAGCAAAATTAGATTCTGAAGAGGGTAGTGTCCAATCACTTGAAAAGGAATTAATATCAGAGGAGATTCCACCAACAGAAACTGTTGAACTAACACAGGCACCTGAGAGCAGTGTAGGGCCAGAGGAAGAACAATCAGTAGGGGATGCCAAAACGGACTATGTTGAAGAACCAAAAGTATTACCATCTGATGTAAATGACATTGCAACTGAAGCAGAAACTGAGGTAAAGGCATCAATGCATGCTCATGTAGTCACAGAAAGTGTTGAGGAGGGTAGCGCTCAGGAACTGGAGAAGCAAATATTGTCTGAAGATGTTCCCAAACCAGACACCAAAATTGTCATCGCTTCAGTTACAGATGAAACTGAGAGTAAAGATGTAGCAGAACTGGATCAGACTTTAAAGATAAATGAGGATCAGAAAACAGAGGGCACACAACAAGATGTTCAGGTTGGGCAGGAAAACCACATCGCTGAAGCTGTAGATGAGTTACAAACATTAACAGCAGTTCATGTATCCACTGTTAGTGAGGGAGCAAGTAGTGTTCAGGTTGTAGAAAAAACTGTATTTTCTGAAGTAACCCCAGCAACTTGTGTGGACAGAGCTGCAGTTACACATGAATCCAAGCACGAGGTGCATCTCAGTGCAGTGGTTGCCAGTGTTGAGGGAGAAAAAGAAGGTGAACTTGAAGCTGCTGTGATAAAGAGTGCTGCAGTTGAGCATGCCGTAGTAACGCAAGTGATCACATGTCATCTGAAAGATGTTTCAACCACTATACCTGATGTTTTGATAGAGAAAACATCAGACATTCATGAACCCTTGATTAACACATTAGTAAGTGAGATAGAATTCGAGGAGACAGTCATGAGTGCAACACCACTAGTGAAAGATGAAGTGATTAAGACAGCAGAGGAAGGTAGTGTGATTATGATGATGAATGTGCCATCAGTACAGTTTGAGGACAATCACAGAATTCAAGTGCAGGTGGTCGATGTTGATGTCAAATCAGCCGAGACAATTGTTGACACAGCGCTAGAGGTAGGGGTAACAGAAACCAAAGAAGTTATAGATGTTTGTAATGAAACAGTTAAAGAAGTGGACACGCTCTCTGCCACATCGAAGACTGAAGAATTAATTAATAAGGAAAGCAAGGTGACCATTCAAGAAGTTATTCAACATGTAAAGGAGAAAGTACCAGAGACAGTACCTGAATCAGTCCTTGTCAACTTGGAACAAAAAGTTATGAAACAGCCAGATGCTGTGACAGAGGAGAGTGAGATAGCTGAACAACAAGTGCTCGAGGATCTAACGCAAACACCTGATATTCCAGGAAGTTTAGATGTCTCTGTCCATGATTGCAAAGAGGATTTTGAGGAACCTAAAGATGAAATTAATGAGGAATCGCCAATTCCACAAATTGCCCAGAGTCAGATTGTAACCCCTAGTAACAGTGGAGTAATAGTCCCCCAAAACACTGGAATAGTCTCGTCAATAGGTAATGTTGAGTCTCCCTCTAGCCTTTCTTTAGAATTCAAACTTAACATACAGTTTGGGCAAGCAAGGGCACCAGTTTCTCCACCACCTGCAACAGAGAGGATCGAAACAGTTAAAAAGACAGATGTGTCTGAAGTCGGCGTTCAGGTAGTAGAACCCGAAAAGCAAATAGATCCAACACAAAATGCTGAGGGCCAGAAACAGACAGAGTTAACTGAGGTTGCTGTTCAGGCAACAGAAATCACAGAACCAGAACCAACTAACATCAATTCAACAGACAGAGCAGTGATCATGAATCAACCAGTACTACTGGATGTTGGCATGCAAGCAATGGAAACAGGAAAACCAGTAGAGCAAATCAAATCAACAGACAGAGTAACGCCCAATGTCCAGGCAACAGAGACAATACAAACAGTAAGGCAAACAGAGAAAACAGAAATGTTCCTGAGTCAGCCAGTGCTGTCTGAAGCTTGTGACCAAGAAACAAAAGCAAAGGAACCTGTTAAACAAACCGAGGAGGAAAATGACCAGGATGTGTGGTTGGATGCTGAGGAAGACATTTACACTCAAGGGGAATCAGAGGTGCCTCTTCATGAGGAGGAGGAACGTCTAGAACAACAGACAGAAAGTGACCGGGACAAAAAGGCAGTACCTCAACATGAGCTTGAAATGGCTTCTAATTTCAAGATTGAGGAAGAAGAAAGTCAACAAGAAATGCTCATAGCAGGAGCAACATGTGAAATTGAGAGTGAGGGTGAAGATTTTGCTGTTGCACTTGAGCATCCAGAAACTGCAACTGCAACCATCACTAAGATGGAGTGGGATTAAATCAGCCTAACTTCAACGTCATTAAAAGGTAAGCGTCTTCATTTGCTTTTGTTTTAATATCTTTTTTTTTTTCAGGATCTGGCCCATGAATCAACTTGCTCTAACATTGAAATCATGCATCACAGTCATTGGAATATCCAAATTAATTAATATTATGATTTTTTTTTTTTCTTTCAAGGTTGGGCGATCAAAAAGGATGTCACTCAAGTTTGTAAGGAGTTATCAAAAAGCCATTATAGAGAAGGACTGACTGGTAGAAGAAAACTACAGGAAACAGCATTTTGCTGCTTTTATTTGGCATTATGCTCAATCAAATATATTCCAATATTTACTGATGAAACTTGTCTTGATTTGTAATATTATTTTATTAACATTATAAAATTTGTGATTTATGAATGGGATCTAGCAAGAGACGTATCAACTGGAAAAGTGCTACTCTTCTCAGGGGATGCAGTGTAATTTTAGAAGTGTGACACTGAACTACATCCTCTTTGCAGTTGCCTCTTTCAGTAAATTTAATGAGTTGCTTGCTGTAGAGTGTAATTTTAATAACTAATCATGTCAGATCTTTTCAATCATATTTCACATTATATTCTGTTTTTGAATAGAATGTATATGTCTAGGAGAACAAGAGAGTATTTTTATTAACAATGTCTTTTTTAATGGTAAACTGCTTCAAAAACATTTGTGTAAGTGTTAAAAACATAATTCATAATGTATGTGACCTAGGTAAGGCAAATTAATTTCTCTTGATATATAGTATATTAGTATATGTAGATATTTCACAGCTTTCACTATGCATCAATCTATGTTCATATGTGCAATTGTTTAACCATTTAATCTTAAAACACATAACTCCTAATATATGCAGGTAAAAACAATAGGCAGCATACCCCAGATATATAGTATTACTGTATATTACCTTGTACATAATGACTGTTTTAATGCTTACACAAGCCAAACTGTGCTAATTTTGAGTCTTCAACAATTTCTACTGTGACATGTTTAAAATAGAAAAAAAGAGCATGATGAGCGCATGGCACATCTTTGTTTTTCAAAAAGTAATAATTTACACTATATTTTTGATTTCAAGTTTAAATGAATCTTAACATATGTATTTATCATTAATATAATTATAATCTGCAGAGCCTTAAACTTAAACAATCATGGCAGCTTTACTTGTCCTGTTTTATTTCCCAGCTTTTTGTGTCTGGTGTCAATGAACTTATGGTATAAATAACACCGTAAGCTTGGTAAGGACAATGAGTGGTATGGGTGAAAGAAGAAATAAGGTTATGACAGGCTATTTGTTGTGTCTGAATTTTTTTCACATATACTGACTCTTTTGGAAAATTCTTTCTGGTCTGATATGTGATGTCAACTAATGACTAAATGTAAAACATAGACCTGTGTTACCTGTGTTTATATTTACCAGTGTTTTATTAATAAAATATTATTTTATTTGAATAAATTAATACCTGTACATTTCAAGTATTTCTTGTATTTATGTATGTACATTTTACATGCAAAAGCTGAAACATAACAGGCAAACATTTAAAACAAATAATGGTTTTATTACATTCTCTATAACACAGCAATCATAGTTGTAGTTTTGGATTAGATGAATTAGATATATTCCAGAATATTGTTTTCTTTTTTCTACTGCTAGTGTTCATACACAAGAATAATGACACATGCTGAGGTGAGTCTGTGCCCTCATATCCCTTAAAAAATTGTCTCTTTCATACTGAAGAACATACATAGAATTTTGCATATAATGTAAACATTAAATGAAAATGATTGAACACATATATTCAGCCAACAAAACTCAAAAAACATTACTGTTTGGTCAGCTGATCTCAGAGGTTTATGAAGTCCCACTGATGCCCTTTGTTTTCACAAATGCAATAAACAGTAAATGTGTATAAAATAATGCAACCCTCAAGCCATGATCTCCAGCAAAACAGTAAAGAAACTGTGAATAAAATAATTTATTTAATTTGTTTTTCGATTTATTGTGTGTTGTCGAAATGTATGTGCTCTACAACATGACCAGTAAGACATATAAAAATGTTTAGGTCCGTTTCATAATTTCAGTGGCTTCTAGAAAACACTGTCACATATTACTGTCAGAGTACCTTTGTGTAGTCCAGCATTCTTCCTTTGTCACTTCTCGTACCCTGTTTAGACTTGTGCACTATGAGGAGGAGTAGTTCAGAAGATCATTTTTGTAAGTTCAAACATAACCTACAAGAAAAACAAAGCAACAGATGTAACATTGTTTGAATGAGAGAGGTTATAAGCGTTTTTAAGTGCAGCAGTGTGATATTGCTGCAAGGTGTAGATCCCAGGTTTGATGTGATGAATTAAAGTTCAAAACAAAAGCCAGTTTTACAAAAAAAAAAAACATTACATCTTACACGAGGCATGAAAGATTTCTTTTACCTCTATAGTGATGAGGATGACTATCATCCACTCCAGCCTCAAGCTGTGCTTCTCACTCAGGTGGCTCCTCATCAGGTCTGTCAACTGTGTGCAATGTTCCAGCTTCTCATTCACAACCTAAAGACACAGACAATGTTTCAAGCTTACATCAGAAACAAAGCATGTGCCTATTTACCCTCTTCAGTGTCAGAGTGGGACTCTATATTACAGCTACGGTGTCAAATAAAGTTAGGTCAGGTTTAATTACATTGACCCTGCGGTTGATGCTGAGGAACTGGCAGGTCTTATCATAGAGTTTTTCCAGGTTTTCTCGGTCCCAGTAGAAATCGGGTGTGAGGAGCAGGTCAGACCTCAGGTTTATACAGTGTCTGTCAAAGGAGGATGTAAATACAAACATTTTAAATATAAATGTTGAAAATCCTACTTTATGAATGAGACTCAAGTTAAAGTCAAGTCATTCCAGTAACTGAGAATAAAACAGAGGGCCAACAATAGTTCTTGCAAATGCATATACTTTAAAAAAAAAAATCCTTTTAGCTTTAGTAGTTAGTGATAGTAACTACTGTGGGTTAATATGAATGTCAACATATTTGTTACTGCTTGGAAGACTCAAACATCCACTGAGCTGACAAAAAAACCTTGAATCCAAAATTAGAAAGGTTGAATGAGCTGCCATTTAGACATAACAGAATTTACCTTAATGTGAAAAGTTCTCCTATTTTCTGCATAACCTCTGCAGAGGACAACTTAACTCTTCTGCCAGACTTCAGCGTCTGAGGGAAAAAAAGAAAACTAAATTAGGGCATTAGCATTAAGGGGAGAACGGATGTTTTAAAATAACAGCATGATCTGTCTCACACACAAACAGTCAACCGTGGCAGATGATCAATTATTAATAATTTCTTGCTGCTGGTTGTTAAGTGTCCACTGTACCTCTGGAATTGATTGAATTGACTCCACAAAGTCGTCTAATGACACCTCCCATATCGCCAGCTTCACTGGAAAAGAAGCCCAGAGGTTAGACTCTCACACCAGACTGAGTAGAGTGCTACCATTAAACAGACCTTTATGATTTATAGTTGAAACACAAGTTCTCACCTGACAAACATAAAGCATTAGAAAATGCAAATTTCTCCAGAACAGCTTCATGTTGCTCAATCTCATCACTCAAAATAAAGTTGCCGCGCTCAAGCTTCGTATTTCCTCTGAAGAAGAAATGATTTGTTTTACAACAGCTGCAAGAAGTGTGGAGGTACAAATAAACAAGACAGAAGGTGGAGCAGAACATACACTCCAACAGTGTAGTTTATCTCTTCATTTTCCCAGTGGACTAATGCTACTTCATACGGCTGGATCTCATGATGTTCCAATATTCTCAACACGTTCTTCATCTGGAAATAGTAAAAAAAATTGACATGGTCAAAGAAGTATATTACAATTAATGAAATATTACACTTTATAGATTGTATGTAGTTTTGTTTACCGTTTTCTCCTCAACATTCCAGAAAACTACTGAGCCTTCCCTGAAATTTCAGATTGGAAAAGTCAGTCTATGATTGGCCCAAAAAAGTTACACTATAACAAGGCATGCTATCTTTTCAGATTTTTCAATTTTAGTTTAGTACCATTTCAAAAAATCTTCAATACTTTACTTGAGAAATGTAAACATGTTTTTCTATAACTATTTTCTTCATAGAACAAAACATGCCAAACTTCTCAGAGCATCAGTGTTTAATCTTCACACAAGCAGTCAAACAACAACTTTGCGTCAATAAAACACTTTCTCAATTTAAAAAAACATATGATTTAGATCAGTAAATATCTGATGGAAAAAACCAAGTAATCTAAGTTAAATTTCAATACTTGATACTTAAGTTTTTGATATTGGATCCTGGGGACACATTTCTGTCAGTACTCAAAAAGTATTAAGGTTCAATACCCAGCCCTATCAAATTAAAAGCATTGTATATTATGCTATCCTTTTAAATAATTTAGCACTGCATAATTTACATTGAAGACAAAGCCTAAAACAAAAAAAGAAAAAGATGTTATTTCTACCTGAAGAAGAACATGAGAGCATTGTCATCTGGTTTTGCAGCCATGTCTGTGCTTATCACCAGCACATTTGAGGCATCTGAAATTAAAATATGATTGTCATATGATGTCATAAAATGTCAATGTTGTTCCAAGAAGCATATGTATATATGTACATATATCACAACTAATTTCTTGAAAAGTTGTAATCTGTGTAATTTTGATTCATACCTCTTGGTAAATCTATCTCATCGAAGCCATGGGTTATCAAGTCATGGCAAAGTGTTGGCAAATGATACTGATCTGCGGTTGCAAAGGCAATACATTGCATCATATCCTACAGAGAAAACAGGATTGGATTAATCATTGTAGCATGTATCAACATTTAAAAAACACCAGTCATTATTCTGGTTATCTACCTTGTCCTCTTTCAGAGAAGGCTGATTGGCTCTAGAAGGTTGTTTTGTCCTTGGTCCTTTGGGAACTTTTTTTCCAGGCACCGTCACTGGTTTTAAACTTGATTTTAACATTGACTTCACAAGGTCTGATGAATAAAAACGATTCTGTCCACTTCCACATTTACCCAGTATCCCAGGGTCACCACACAAAGTGCTGTTAAAACTTTCAAATCCACCTAAAGCTGGAAAAACACGTCTTGTATGCGTCTGCTGTTGGTGAAGAGTGTTTAACAAACAGGTCCTTGAGATCCCTGGTCCAGACAAGTTTGAGTGAGTCCTGGGTTTGGATTCATACTTATGTAGTTGGATAGACTGGGAGAGACTGGCCGAGGCACAGATGCAGACTGGGTTCCTCTCTACACGCCACTGTGCTCCCAGTTTGGACCACAACTTCCGGAGAAGCATCTTCTCATATACACAGCTGTACAGGTGAGTTGCAACATAAGCATCAGGTGTTAATACTATGTGCATCATAGAAGTAACACTTTTCTTTAATTAGTGGCTTTAAAATGGTTGACAAATCATTTACTAATACTTTATAAGTCATTAATAAGAACAATACTTGGGTTGCCAGGTTGTGCAAAATTCTCCTCAAGCATGACACTGCTTTTCTTTCTAGCTAGCTCTTTTAATTCAATAGGGAGACCTCTTAAATGGATTGCTTGACCACCATCTTCTACAAAAGGATTACAAGACTAAACCAGAAATCCATTTCTCAACTGCTCAAGATAAATGGCCAAACAGTCCATTGCAGAGATCTCTCTAATGACCTACAAGAGCTAACTAGAAAGATAGATGGTACAGAAAGTGGTACCAATTATGATCTAATTTAAAATTGCGAGCATTACAGAACTCTATAAAGCATCCTGAAGCTATGACCCAAATGGATATACATTTAAAATCTTCAATTTGAAACATCTTAACTGTTAACAGAAAAATAGGAACCAAAACAAGCAAGACTGACCTTGACTTTAATAGCTAACCATATCCTCACTAGTAGTCTGGTTACAATTTACACACGACTATACACATTCAGACTGTGAGAATGTGTGATTTATACACGAAAAACAAATACGGTTGAATACCTGGCACTGTCTTTAAGTACAAGCTAACAGAAGTGGTTAACATGAACATGCTGCTGCAAAACAGTGTGTAGATATGGGGCCGTTAGCCGTTAGTTAGCTTACCAGTCAACGAAAAAGAGGCGATTCAGAACATGTCGACGTTAAAAGGGTTTCACCAGTAAAGAAAACGGCGGTAGCTCGAAGTCGTACGTTAAAGTATAATAGTGAACTTTTCATTTGCTACATGTCAATGTGCACGACAGCGAGAGGAGGCGTGTTCCTTGTTTGTTAATAAAGTTTTGTTGCCGCTCATTTCCTGTTTGACATGACGTAATAAAGTGATGTACGTAAGAAGCCCGGAACGCTGACTGGCAGGTAAGTTATTTTGTTGTTTTTAATTAAAACGATTCTATTGTGATTTCTGTGGGGCTATGAGCATATAGTCTACATGGAATTATAATAAAGAGTAAACAGTGAGAGGGAGAGCGACTTCAGACAAAGCCATGGTCAAAGTTAAAGTTGAGGCCATTGAGATTTGTAGGGAGGGCTACCTGCAAGTATAAAATTAGGGCTACAAATCCAAATGGTCACATTGACCTTCACATGCATGTTCATCAACCTCTCTTCCATTGGGTTATTATAAAACAATTAAAAAAAAATTGATCAAGTCTTTTGATGTCAGCGGTTCTGTTATAGCACCCCCTCTGGTGGAGCCTGGTATAGCCTGTGTTTGGTGTTGCCAGGAGACTTGTTAAAACAGTAACACAAGTACCAACTGTATACTCACTTCCCCTGCAACACATCTAATTATGGAAGTTTTGGAAAACACTTGTGAGGTACGCTTTGCTAAATAAATTAATTTTACCCCTCTGTTTGGTAGACATTAGTCAGAACTAAATTGCACCATATGTTGGCAACTTCTTAATCAGGCTTTACTTTTTTGGCATCCAAATAATGGAAAAGTTTCATTGCTATAGAATTTGTAATGACTCTTTAATGCTATTTGGCTTGTTAATTATTAGGTGGACCAGTCTAATGAGAAGGAGAGGTTGAAAATGAGGATGGCTGTTTTGGAGGAGAGTGTGAAGTCCTCCGAGGTGGAGTGTAAAGCCAGCAGAGAGACAGTGCTGAGGCTGGTGGCGGAGCTGGACCGAGAGAGGAGGAAGACTGCCAGCAGTGCAGCAGCATTCGATTCACTCAAAGTGGTATTTACACAACTTTTAAACATCACTAACTTAACTTTACAGTACAGTTAGTGTACAGTTCACACTTAAGACAATTCTGACCAGACACCAACAGAAAAATCTACAAATGTTTTAATTATTTGGATTCTTCATGTTGTGTTAATGCAACTATTCTGTTGATATTTTTAAATTTTGTTTCTCATCATGAAGGTGTGAATACTGTTTCACAGCTATTTCCACTGCAAGTAATACAGCTGTGTTGGGAAAATAGAGATGATTTGTTTATTTATTTATTAACTTGTTAATTGTTGGTTTAAAAGTAGTCAAATTGAAGACTGAACTCTGCACTTAAATGATTTAAAAACCACATATGAAATTTCTGCCAGGACTTGGTCTTATATTAAATATTTGACAAGGTTGTGTGGTGCAGCTCTTCACAGTTATGTTGTCTGTTTCAGGAGTTAGATGGCCTGGTGGTGGGAAGGAGGAGTGTTGAGATGGATAAAGAAACTCTAATGGAGAGGCTTGAGGCCAGCAAGAGGGTGATAGAGGCAGCTCGGCGAGAGTCAAACTGTTTGGAGAAACAGGTGGAGGAGCTTGAAAGAAAGCTGCACTCAAGCCAAGGAGAGACTCAGGCAGCTGAAGACAAACTACAGAGGTTCTTGAAAAAAGTGGCAGGTCTGCTGCAGGTTAAGTCTGAAAATGTCATCCTGCCTACCGAGAGAGATATTTTACAGAAACTGGATAAGGTGAGGAGTCAGTGGGGATTAATGCCACAACACGACCTACTGGCATAGAGAAGAGAAATAGTCTTAAAGGGTAAAAACTACACTCACATTTAAAAATAACAACTCTATCATGAGACCAACACGTGTAATCCTGGGGACTCGAATGACAAATGCATTGGTCTCAAAATAAAGTTGTTCTTTACATTTCAAGTGTTGGAGTTTTTGGCCCTGTGGACAAGAGATTAAAAAAATGTCATAGCCTCATTTCTGTGCTCTGTCAGTGTTACATTATATATTATTGGATTATTATTTCTGATGCATTGACATGTAAGCAGCATTTCATTGTAGCGGGTTGCAGCAGAGTTATATACAGTTGGTTAGTGGCTTAATTTACTTTATAACAATGCATTATATTTTATTTTGTATGTTTCTTTTAATATTCATCTGCCAAATAATCAGTGACTACATCTGTCACATAAATGGAGTAAAAAGTATGAAGTAGCAAGGAATTAAAATACTCAGGTGAAGTACAAGTACCTTGAAATTCTACGTAAGTACAGTACTTGAGTAAATGTATGTAGTTTCTTTCCACCACTGGTCTCCATGTGTATCTTTGCATTAAGTCTTCCACGTCCTACTTTAAAATAAACACTGGTATCCTTGCTACATTGCTCGGGGGCAGTCGTAGTGATAGTGACTGTTCTGCAGACTGTGTCAGAGATGGATACCAGGCTGTGTCATGTCTCCGAGGAGCTGAGGGAGCAGACGGAGCTCCAGGAGAGTGCACTACAGAGGGCGCAGCTCGCAGAGCAGCAAGTTCAGGACCTGAGGGAGAGACTGCAAGGTCTGGAGACTGAGCTGCTGACAGCGGACATGCATCGTGACGGGCTTCAACACAGCAAACAGCATGTGAGTAAAGTAGCGGGTGAAAAGGAGGTACAGTTACAGGCACATTAAATGGGTAATGTATTTCTATATAGTCCAGTGGCATACATCCATGGCAACTCACCGTTTGTTTTCACAGTATGAGGAGTTCCTGGAACAGCTGTCAGAGACAATGATGGTTGACAGTATTGCTCTGGATCTAGGCTTCGACATGAGACTGAAAGTCATCTTGTCACGTGCAGAACAACTTGTCAAACAAGAAGGAAATGCTCTGATGGAGAGCAAAAGTCTAACTTATAGTTTACAGCGAAAGGTATTAGATAGATATCATCTTTTACTTCTGTAGTGATGAAAAGTTTCTTCTCTAAAAGTATGAATAAACAAAACAGATGTTGTGTTGCATGACCAGTGATGCACCTGTAATCAAAAATGTCCTTTTCCCAGTTAAAATTACAGAAGGACCAACTAGAGAGTAAATCATTACACATTCAGCTTCTGCGGAAGAAGGTGTCAGAGCTGGAGGAGGAGAAGAGGTGTCGGTCAGCGTTGGCTGTGGAACGAGATGATGCTCATCTGGAGGCCAGGAAGCTGCAGAAAAAAATAGAGCGTCTCCAGGGCGAGCTGAAGGCCACCAAGCTGTCCAACACTGAGCTCAAGGCCCAGCTCTCCCACACTAATGAGCTCAAGGTAGAGGGGACAAGGGTTCAGACCCAAAGTCGATCCAGAGGCATTTTTACCTCATGATGTTTAGTGTATTTGCATTAATATTTAGGTATGGGTAGCTGGAAATAGGGGATAATATTTAACTGTGCACCAATTATGTAAAGCAAGTTGGTTCTGAAATCAACCATATATATTTTAAGTATCTGAGTATGTGAGAACAACAAACAAACATCATCTCCTTGATAAAGTCATCGAATAACGGTTGTTTCACTAAACACTTCTGTCTGACATGCCAAGTGTAAAGTCATGCAACAGAGTCAGACCATGCAGGAGCAGAAAAAGAGGCTGGATCAGCTGGTGGAGGGGAAAGCCAAGGTGGAGAAGAAACTGAGCTCAGTGAGCTCAGACCTACAGAGCCAAGAGACGAAGACCAGAGAGGACCAGCAGCGACTCATCACCCTCAGACAGAGCCTGGCTCAGCTGTCTGAGAGGGAGAGAGAAGTAAGGGTGTGATGAACATGAAAAGTGTTGTTCTGCAATGTTAGATCCATTTGAGGGGGGAGAAATGTCTATTTACCATTTATTCACCATTATCTATTGCTATTAAAGACGCTTTAAATATAAAGCAAATACTGTTATCTTCACATATAATGTATACTTGATATTTCCATGTCCTTTACGTCATCAGTTGGCTCTTTCCATTCTTTAAAAACAATCTTTTCCTACTCTAAATATACTATATTGAAGTAATTAAATCTTAGTTATCAGTAATAATAAAGAATGTTTTAGAGTGTTAACAGTTTTAAAGTGTTAAATTCAACTATATTCTTTTTTCTGTCCATTGTTCAGTTAGTCGATTTCCGGATGGTTGTTTCCCAGATGCTTGGTTTAGATGCCACGGCGCTGCCTCTCCCAAATTATGAAATAATCAAATTACTAGAGGCCCTTCTTCACGCTCATCATCACCATCACCACCTTCATCACCATGTGAATATGCCCTGGCATTGTCCTACTCACCAGAGGCCTTATCTACCCAAAATCCAGGATCTTCCTCACAGCTCCTCCTTGGATATTTCTACCTCCAGGTCTGCATGTCCAGAAGATGCAGTTCCCCTTTAAGAAACCTAGATTTATACATTATACTTATGCCAAACAGCACTTAAGGTGTAAAGGTATTATTGTTTTAAAATAGACCTTATACAGTATGAACTGATCTCTAAAAACATGCTTTCCTATTTGTGTTTTCAGGAAAAGCTCAAATATGATTAAATGAACAAATATTAGAAATGTAAAAAAATCACATAAAATAATCAAATAAAAAGACAAATATCAAAATGAGGATTTGGCATTCATTGTTTTTGATGGTCGCATATACATACATTTCTCATATTAATGTTTTACCATTATATACACGTTAAATAATCCTGGACTGTTATACATTTGATACTGAACTGACAGTCATACAAAATATACAATAGTTTCTATATGTCATAATTCTCAATCTTAAAGTCTTATTTCAGATTTTTAAAAAATAAAATTGTAAAATGTATAAAGACCATGGATGATTGATGTTGAATTGTGTCTGACTTTGATATGAAAACACGTCTTGGCTTAACTGAATTTTACATGAATCAGTGTAATTCAAGTTAAAAATGGACTGTCTAACCACAGATACAATGAGGAATGTAGGTAAATAAAAGCAAAAAATTAGAACTGCATGCCAAAATACAAGTAAAAAAATAATTGCAATGTAAGATATATTAAATGGGTTTTTTTTCTTTTTTCTTTACAAACTTTCGAGTTGCAAGCAAATTCACATGGTTATACTTCAGCATTTAACTTTGGTGCTATCCACTGACGGTTTCCTTCAGAGAAATACATCTTGTACACGCCACTGGCTGAACAGTTCACTCATACGGCAACGTCCACTGTGCAAAAAACTGTTTCTTCACCAAAGCTGCTCCTTAATCGACACAGCATTACACAGAGTATCATAGTGAGATGCTTGATCCTATGCGCTACACACAAAGATATTAACTGTGGATGACAACTGTTTTTCTGCAATACAAATGGATGACCAAGATTAGTTTTTTGCTCCCAACGTGATCGACCGTTTAGAGGATATCACTGTGATTCCTGTTCAGGTCATACTGATGCAAGAACACTGAGATGAAAACGCCCTGACAGCCAGCCTACACTGGAGGTGGTCCGTTCGTGTAGCTGAGCATCGGGTAGAAGGAATGGGCAAAGTTGTTGGACTGAGCGCAGTAGTCCTCCTCGGACAATGGCAGCAGGAAGGCAAGGACCACTAACAGGAGCAGGAAGAGCTGGAAAGGCAACGCGACCCAGAGGATGCGCCGCAGAAATGACGACCTACGAACCGTTGATGTCTCCGAGTCAGAAGGGAAGGAAGCGGATCCAGCGTCGCTGCGTGGCCTGCTCACACACACGCATCCACAACGCAGCACAGACTCAGGTTTAGTTACTCACATGGATAGCATATAAAATCCTGCTATCTGCTTTCTCATCTGAAGCCCTACTTTAAGAACTGTCTAACTATATTACAATAGCAACCTTAAATGTGCCAGCGTGTTCACAAAAATACACTCAGGAAAGATAACTAACATATTAAATTAGTCTGATTCAATAAATGTCACTTGAACTACATCATAATCTAATATCCCTCTCTCCATGCACTTTATTGTTCGGCTGTTTTCTACCAATTTTCAATCCAAATAAGATCTCAGTTCAGCAACAGAGGAACTGCATGGCAGTGCTTTAATGTAAGCACCGCGTTGAAAGACGCTGCCAACATGGTTCAAAGCTATGTTGGAACAATGTTTGACATTGTGATCTACATGCTGACTGAGACTGGGTGGATAAGCACATTTACAAAGACAGTCACAAAACAGTTGTCAAGGCATACACACAATTCTGCACTCAACAAATACATTTATCACGTGAGCTTGCATTCTTTTGCAAAGGGTGTTAGGATTAAAGACAAAGGGCATGCTGCAAGTATCAGCTGATATTTAGATTTTTTTTTTTAAAAAGGACTCTTTGAAAGTGTGTGTCCTGTTGAAAAATGCAAAGCATGCCGAGGCGAGAAGAGCACAGCCATTAGAAACAGCTTCTTTGATAAGGTAGTTTAGCTAAGCTGTTTCAAAAGGAATACTTTGGGAAATATGTTGATTAGCTTTCTTGCTGAGAGTTAGATGAGAAGATCAACACCACTGCATTAAATATGAAGTCAGAGACAGGAGATGGCTAGCCTAGCTTAGCATAAAGTCTAAGCTAGCCGTTTCCCCCTGCTTCCAGCTCTAAACTCTCAGCAAGAAAACAAATACGTTTCATACTAGTTATTTAATTGTATCATCATTTATTGTCACCATCACCCTCAAATAGCCTCAAAGATTAGAAGACACGATCAGTTAAAGGGAATTATTGTAAAGAATTTTACTTACTGTCAAAAACAATTCATTTATTTCTTTTAACTAGGAGAAAAAAAGACCTGCAGTACTCTAAAAACATGTTTAATTATGATGATCTGTGACTCCAGGAATGCATGGACATTAGTGATGTACACTTTACACTCAGGTTGTCTTATGTGGTGACTAAAAGTGCCCCTGTACCACTTCACAAAATGGAGACCTGAGAGGCAAGACTCACGGATGACAGACTGAGGGGTGGGGGGAGATGGTGGATAGTCAGTGAGATAGCAGCAGCAGCAGCAGCAGAAGAAGAAGAAGAAGAAATGTCACACACGAGAGAGTGAGCGAAAGAGTGAGCGAGAGAGAGAGAGAGAGAGAAACTTTCAGCCTTTGCATTGTTCATTGCAGACATTTACTGGCTCGGCAATTTGAGAGAAAAAGGAGTGTGTGTGCTCAGTAATAGCAAGGGAGAGTTAGACGTAGAAAAATATTTGTGTTATACGTAAGAAATGCCCTCTGGTTAGCGACATTAAGCAGCCGAGGACATCGGCGGAGAAGAGGCCTTGCACCATTCCTTGTCAAACTCGTATCAAGGATGTGTGGGCTGCCACTCACCTCATCACCTAGCCTACACAGAGTGTCTAGACTTACAGAAGATGATGGAATTCACTATCATGAGCTGCTAATCTGGCACGTACATTAAAAACTGAAATTTAATTATTATTTTTTTAGCTCTTCAAAACTCAGCTGTTGTTAAAGACTTGGGGAGGATTAGAAATCATGAATCAGCCTCCAAGTGCATCATGGGCTGATGAGTTCCATTATCTTCTGGGTGTGCTAGAAACCAACAGAAAGGTACCTGTGGTGTGGACTGCTCACAGAGGGTCCAGGCTGTGACAGACTACATTTGCCCCGTTGCTGTTTGCAATGAACAGGGGGAGGGGGGGGTAAAAGAAAGAAAGTATGTTTCAGTCCAGGCAAATCAAGACAAAGCTACCGATGAAAAGAAATCCCAAAATGAAAGAAGGGCAGCAACAAAATCATACGTGAAGGTGATAGATTTTGTAACCCGTGATAATAAGGAATCTGGCTTTTCAAAGTGCACAACTACTTTGAAGTGCTTTGGCTTGTGAGTGCAACAAAGTGACTGCAAATAGGAAGCTACAAATTATGCAATGTGATGCATGATTCTCTTTGGTAACAGTGATATTTAGTAACATACACATAGTATAAGCAGCGACATGCTTATTTGGACTGATCTTTAGATAAATAATAACTGTAAAAGTATTGCTTTCTCATTCTTGTAGCTTACAATATAAAACAAGTAAGATATCATGCTTACTACATCATAAAATCACACTTTCTATACTTCTTTTGTAATTTTAGCAGTTTCCTTCCAGCCAGTATTCCTAAGAATAACACTACAAGGATAAAAACTAGAGTGAGAGGAAATTAGAGGAAAGTGTATTGGAAGGAGAGGTTTACAGGATAGAATATTTCAGTAAGGAAATACTGGAGGTGAAAAGTAAGAACTGAAAAAGTCTACCAAGAAGAGGAAGGAAGAAATAAAAAAGTTAGAAAAAAGGATTCCCCACTTTTCTAGCAGGATTTGCTCTGGGAATAGAAAACATGCAAGAGTGAGTAAAAGGCTGGGAGAAGTTCAGAATTCAGAGGGGGTGAGTGTTGAGGTTGTGGAGGTGTAGAAAAGTGTGAGGAGAGATCTTGGGATGACGGGGGTGAATCTGGACTTCGATGGGGCATTCGGGGCACAAGTTACTATATGCACTGTCTCAAAGGGGTTACCAAACACCTGGCTTCTTATAGAGCAGCATGTACAGGTAGGTGTGAACGTTACCGATCGTCGGCGACTTGGCGTGCTCCGTCCTGACACAGGACTGAGGGATCCGGATGTGTCCAGATCATCAGCAGAAGACCAAGAAGACAGATCCTGTCAAAGGAAACGTTTACAGAGAGAGATAGAGAAAGCGAGACAGTGAGAGATACCTTAGATTTCAGGAAGTGGTGGGCAAACAAAAGCCCATTGAGTGTGGATTTAAACCCAGTAAAAACACACAGTTACATATAATGGGATCCTGTAAAATCTCACTTCGTCATTTTTAATCAACGCAAGTATTTAGTTTTCATGTACAGTCTCACATTCATACAGGTAACATGGGCATGTATATAATAAGTGAAGATCTACCTGTTGGCTGCTTGTGATGTCCAGAATCTTGGCTAACTCTCTGAGGTCTCTGGTTACTTCTTTTAGCAGCAGTTTAAGGCGGTTCCCAATAACATGAACCTTCTCCTTAGCCTCCAGGCAGTCGCTGCCCTGAGAGTTGACCAGCAACTGGAGGGACATGTCTTGTAGTGAGGCGACTTTAAGCTGGGAGTCCAGCAGCTCCTGGCGGATTTGCTGAACAATGGGGATTATAAATTTAAAATGTAGATTCAATAACAATAGAAGCAAAAGAAATATTGCTTGCATTTAAAATAAGTGTATTTTGATCCATATTGTTTAATCAGGATGTAAATTTTTTGCCTTATATTTATAGTGTTTAACTTATTTAACTTATAAATGATAAGGTAATAGTTTTGTACCGTAAGTGTTTTATGATGCTCATGGAGAGTGTCACTGTCCTGGATGGGGTCGATGGGAACCACCTCATTCCTCCTGCGGTCGATGTTTTCCAACCAGAGCAGCAGACCGTGGCTCATCTCATGGAAGTCCTATTGATCAGATGTACATGAGGAATGTAGAGATTCCAACTATTGTATATGTATATGGAATTTTATAATTACAGATTTGTCCTAAGAAGACATCTGAACTTGCCCATTATGGTTCCCGTTTTAAGATAACGACGGGCTACTTACTTGACATTGCATGAGGGCTTCCTGTAATGAAGACCTCCACTCCTCCAGTGAGCTGCCCAGTTTGTCCCAGTGGTTGTTCATGTCTTTCAGTTTGGCCTGTAGCTCTCGGGACTCCTCTGTGTCTGTCTGCACAAACTCAGTACTGCACAGGTTGATGGAAAGCACAATAGCCTTGCGCTTCTCGTACGCCTTCTGCAGCTCCTGTAGACAAACATTTACATTTCACAATTGATGAACGCAATCTGATATACGTACTTGGTTTCAAATGTGTAAGCCAGTGAAGATGAGTGAAAGGATCAAGTATGTTGAAACCTTTTATTCATTTGCAGACTGTGAGGTAGTCAGTTGAGGAGCAGATGAAAAATGATAAACATAGAAAAGAGTATTACGAAAAACAGCAATACCTTGAGCTTTTTGATGCGCAGCTCAATCGTCTGGATGTCTGTGCTGAGGTCCAGCCTCCGCTGCTGCTCCAGCTCATCCTCCGTCTCTCCCAGCCAAGTCCAAACATTGTTCAGGTCAGAGTTCAGCTGCTGCCACTGCTGCTGGCTCTGCTTTGTGCGCATCTCTTTGCTGAGGTCCTGAGCCTGCAGGAGCTCCCAGCGTTCAATCACTCCTGGGGTGCAGAGTGCAAGTGAGTTGGTGTAAAAGACAAGTAGGTCATGATACAAATTCTTTCATCCCACTGGATATAACATTTACCTTTCAACCTTTTCCTTTCATATACATTAATCTAAATGAATGGATGTAGGATCGGGTGTGGTGTAGTGTTACCTGATGTCTGGGATTCTGAGCTACTGGGATCTGCCAGTCCAGACACTGTGTCTTCTTCCTCCTTGAGCTCAAAGCCCATCCTCTTCACTGTGTCAATGCTGCCACGGCACTCACCCAGCAGCCGCATCTACAGAATGCATGTGTTAGGTTACAGGTTTTATGTTACATAGTAAAAGCAGTGTAAGCTAATTTTATTTAATAATTCTAAGTACAAAAAGTAAGAACAGTACTGAAGGTGAAAGTAATAATGGTGGCTGGTGGTAAGCTAACAAAATATGGCTGGATATTATTTAAAAACATAAAGTAAACACTTTTTTAACACTGTTTTAAGGTCTTATACCAATGTGTTGGTTGTTAAACTGCATATAAATACACAAAGCAGAATTAATTATGATTTTATTTACAGTTCAGTGCAAAAATAAATGATGCCGTGGTAATTGTGCCTGTACATCCCATCTAACTGTAAAAGTGACACATACGTATCCCATGTATGAAGCATCCAGCTCTGTGCTTGTGGGAGTGCGGCTGCGGCTGCTATCCGACTGCTGCAGGTGGAAACGGCTGACGTCCAGAGGGTGAACATGTGAGTCTGTAGAGGGAACCTCCCCTGTTGACACAACATCAACTGGTCATCTTTTCAGCACATGATTAAATATTCAATAATAATGGTAACGTGAAATATGCTTAACAACCCAAGAAGAGGGAAAGACCCCGTTCAGACAGAGAAAGCAAAGACAAATGATTTGAAGGTAGTAAGCAGGAATGCAGATTGGTTATCCCAACCACTTGTCACTCATCGCAGTTTACAAGTGATTGATGCTGCATTTCCTAAAAAAGTTGAACTTTTCTCCTCCTGTTCTGTGGCAAAAAAAAAAAAAAAGCGCCTCATCGCATTGGTGCCGTGTCCTGTTTGTATCAGGCGTACAGCATTCAAAGCAATGTGCCTCTGTGTGAACGGAGCCTATGGAAATTTTACTTTAAACAAATCTGCAATCGCTTTAGCGAGAAGTTCAGACTTGATCACCGTGACAATAAAACAACATGCACATCAAAAAAATCCAAAGAGGTTAGCTACACAGCACACTGCAAGTCAAACAAAAGTAAGAAAGCCAGTTAGAAAGAAGGGTTAGGCTGAATTCCATTTCAGTTCTGCTCAATTGGAGACGAAAGAAGAACCAATTGATGGGATGAAAATGGAATTGACCCTATCCCCCAGGGTTAGAAAGTGCTGCCATTGGTTACAGTGTGTGCCCAACATGTAGATAAGAGAGGAAATAAACACAAATCAAAGACCAAGCCTAGTCTATAAGTGTGGTATAAGTGAGCATCTGTTATTTCTGGCCCCAAACACTTGTGGCATGCTGGGGTCTGCTGTTGCCTACCAGTGGAGGACCTCAGTGTTTGTTCTGTTAGTTTAACATAGGCCTCAGGGCTCTCTGGGATCACTACATCTGGAAGAAACATTATACAGTACACACATTCAGCAGTGGGCATTACACTGTTTGACTCCATGAACTGATTAGTGTTGGCATTCACCTGCTGTTCTTAACTTTAGTTCGATCCACCACCAAATGGATGGAGTTTGTCACAAAGATAAGTCAATCATAGAAAAAAAACACTGCGCTGACATTCTTGTGTCTAAATCTTTTAGTCCCTAACGACTCACTCTGTATAGTTCTCCGTTAAAGCAGCTGTAAATGCTTTTCTTTAATTAAGTCCAAGTAGAGAACTTTTCCTTTTATTTCTGGCTTCTAGAAAGGTCAAGAGTTGAGACTCTGTCAACATCATTTCGCAAGTTCCAGTGTCATGCTCATGTACACACAGATGGACTGACTCATGATGAAACAGGAGTTTGAACTTTGGTTCAAAATATCTCTTTTTTCTAACTTTAATATTTCCTTTTATTTCTCAAAAACAACTTTTGCAAGTATGTATTGACAGATTTACCATTCATACAATCAACAAACAACAAGTTTTAATTTTAATTTTAATTTTATCAGAACATATAGTGTGTGTGGAATCTAACCTGACAAGGTGGAAGCAGGGCGCTGGATGAAGTCTCCCTCCTCACTCTGCTGCTCTCTCAGGGCCCTGCTGGCGCTCTCCAGGCCTCGGCTGAGGTCGTAGTCATGGTCCCACTCCAGGGGGATGGAGTCCACACTGGCAGGGGTGTCCCTGCCCGAGCGCTCCGTCCGGAGCTGGGCCGCCAGGGAGGCAGAGCGGCCGGAGGAGGGCAGAGGTGACAGGAAGCCATCCCCCAAACGTTCACTCCATGGCAGGCTGGACAAATCACCAGGCTCGTCCAGCTCCAGCTCACGGTCCGAGAATGACACTTCAGTATCATCATCTGCAAGCTGAAAAAAAAAAAAAAAAAGAGTGCGTACTGAGAATTTGAGTGCTAGACTCTTTTGAGGCCTGGAATCAAGCCACAATAGATACTGAACAGATTAGTAAAACACATTAAATCTGTTTTTATTCTCAGATCTTACGGGAAGACGAATGAGTTTCTTGTAGTACCGCTCCACTCGACCAAACACTTCCTGACAGTAGCGTTGTAGCTCTTCCAGCTCCTCCTCGATGACGGCAGCATCCAGAGGCTCGCTCTTCTCTATCAGTGCCTCTCCCTTGTGGAAGATGTGTTCGATCTTGGCTGTTGTCAGGGAAATCTCCTGCTGGAATGACTTTGGGATTGGAGGGAGAAGAGCACAGATAAACAAGTCCTCATTAATTTTGTTTTTCAAGCCAAACAATGATTTCTTTCACAGTCTTATTTTCAAAATGCAGATGTTCATTTCCTGATTTCATTTACCAATTTTAATTTTCAGTATGACTTGGGCAATATTAGCTTTGCAATGTCAGTCTAGCTGTTTTTATATATATGTATATATATATATATATATATATATGATGATTATGGTGTAAAGGTAGTTCAAAAGTACAGAAGTCCTTCCATAGTTTTCTATACATATTAAGAGCAAATTCTCTCAGTGCATATTAAGGCCTTTCACTCTGTAGTAAGACCTTTGACCTTTGATCACCAAATTCTGATCAGTTCATCTTTAAGTCCATGTGAATGTTTGTGATAGATTTGTAGAAATTTCCTCAATGCGTTACTGAGATCTTGCGTTCGAGAGAATGGGATGCACATATGTACGTATGGACGGACAACATGAAAACATAATGCCTCCAGCCATGGCTGTTGCCGGTGTGAAGTATGCTGCGCAAATACTTCTCAGACCATCGGTCAGAAATATGGTGACAAACTTACCCTGAGTTGTTTGATCTTGGCCTGAATGTCACACTCAGAGAAGTGTTCGATGTTTGTCAGCTGCAGGTCCATCTCTGTCAGCCACACCAAGATGCCATCTCTGGCTGTCTCAAACTCCTCCCTCTGACTAATAAAGTGCTACACATTGAAATAGAGATGCTGCTGTTAGAATAATCTACATAGTACAGGATGTTAAGATTTAAATTACTGTATGTGTGAAGACTTCTCTGTGGCTTCATTAGTCTGATTTAACATGCAGACAAACAAGCAAAATACACAGATGCTACCATGTAAACTAAAGGTGAGACAGAAGTTTAGAAATGCACGTGAAAGAATACATTTTACATAAAAAAAATCAAGAAAATGTAATAATACATATGATTGTACCTTAAGCCTACGAAGGATGGATGCCACCCTCTTCTGCAGGTTGTCCCATCGCTGATTGGCATCATGGGCCATCTCCCTCAGACGACAGGACGAGTCAGTGCGGTTTTCTCTGGCCAGGCGGCGATATTGCTTGTTGATTAACTCCAGCTGGGTCAGGCTTTCATGGACTTGCCTCTGGAAGGCCTACGGAAGCACAGGATTTTATTAATGTGGTAATAACCAACAGCACCATCCTGTTTCCTGTTTCAGTTTTTTTTTTTTTTTTTTTTAAGTTATATTTTTGGGCACTGTTGCCTTTTGATAGTTTAATGGGTGATAGACAGGAAATGCAGGGAGGGAGAGAGGGGATGACATGCAGCAAAGGGCAGACTGGGGTCAGACTCAATCCCACGGTCGCTGCGGTTCGGACTAAGCCCTTGTGGTACGCGCTCTACCAGCTGAGCCACCGAGGCGCCCCTCAGTTTAAATGGTTGTGATTTCCATGGTTCATTTTCAAAGTATCTGTACCTCAAATTTCTTTAGTTCCTCTTTGGCTACAGTGTACAGCACACCAGAGGAGTTGGGCAGAGCAGCAGTCTTTTCTGAAGTGGCCAGCCACTCCTCGAATCGTGCAAAGTCATCTAGGAATTTCTGCCATAAACGCCACGTCTCCTCAATCCTAACAAAGGGAAACATTTGGGAAAAGTTAAATCAGTTAGGTAAGTGTAATATTTACACAGAATAATGAGACTTGTTCTGCATCCACACATATCTCACATCAACCTCATCTACTCACTTGAGTCTCCTCTCCATAGACAAGGCACAGATGCTCCGCCAGCGGCGATCAAGGCTACGAGTTGCCTGCTGGATGGAGTCGCACTCTGCATCCGTGGCGCAGGCGTCACAGTCGTGCAGAAGCACCTCGCATAGATTCAGCACAGACGCCACTCCTGTGCTGTGTTTCTCTATGTCACGCTGAAGCTCCTGAGAGGCAAGAAACAGACAGAGATTATGAATGTGTGTGTGTGTGTGTGTGTGTGTGTGTGTGTGTGTGTGTGTGTGTAAACAATAAGAGAGTGAAACAAAGGGAGGGGGAGATGGAAATAATAACATAGCATAAAATAAAAACGATGACTTTGGATTGGTTGAGTCAATCGAATAAACCCTCCATAAATCAATATAAAAACATAATTAATTCTCAAAAGAGTTCTTGATGAAGCTGTCCCACTCATTCAAGTTGCCTTCTTTAATTTATTACTGGTGTATTGGAACAGTTACCGTTCCACATGTAGTAAATCAGTGTTTCTCTATTTGAAGAGAAAGAAGGAAGTGTTGAAAAGGATGTATGAAAAAAATGGAATTCAATATCTCTTTGCAAAAACAATTGCGTTCAAAAACTTGTGAAACTACTCAGCACTTGCTTGTGGTTTCAGGTTAACAGTGGATTGCGACAACAATATAATAAAATCTTTAATGTAGTATTGCACATATTTTAAGCACAGTACAGTGTATTAGGTTACCTGCTGCAGATCGAGCTTCCTCTGAATCTCCTGGAAGTCACAGGCGTCATAGGCGATGGGCTTAGACAGCTCAGTCTCGATGTGGGCGAGCCAGGAGCGCAGGCTGCTCATATTCTTATCCAGCTGCTGCACGGCCACCAGAGTTTCTCTCAGCTTCTTCACTCTATTCACAACATTTATGAAATTCTGTCAGTGCAAACTAATGCCAGATACTCAAACAAGAAATGAAAACAGTAAAGTAACGTTTCAGGACTGTTGACGCTACTCAGGTGCGTCCGTCTCTTTACCTGGCTCCAATGAGATCCAGGAGGTGCTGCCAGCGGTCGCTGACTTTGCCGAGTTTTTGTTCAATCTCAGTAGCTTTGTTCTGGTGACTGGCTCTGGCCAGACGCTCTCCCAGCTGGTTCAGCTGTAACTTGTTCTCCTCAGCCACAGTGATCTCTTCCTGGTAGTCCTGGTTGGCCAATGTGATACAACCAGCGCGTAAAGCAAGAGATTCAAAATGACAATTGGTCAGTGTCAAAGGTTTTCCATTTGTTGCTGTATATTACATAAATAAAACTAAGGAGGCATTAATGTTACTGTTTGCTATGTGTTTATGAGCAATGAATATGTAAGATTCAAGATACAGAAAAGTAAAGCTATTATGGCTGAAAAATCAAACTGCATTTTTAAAAACAACTAACAGTGAGACAGTGGATTTCCTGAGTACAATTATTTATTACAATATTTTCTGTTAAAGTTATTATATACAAATATTCAGGCAAGTTTCTATTTACCTTGCGAAGCTTCTCGATCATCTCCTCAATACTGATGTCACCATTTTGGGAGACCTTGCTCTCCATGTTGGTGAGCCACTCGCAGAGCTCCTTGTACTTCTCATTGAATACAGTCCACTCATTCAGCTTCTCACTCACCTGCTGCCTGCGCAGGGACAGCTGCACAACAATATATAAACAGTTAAGTGCATCGTTGTTAAAAGTGCATATAATCAATCAATGCATGGTAAATTGCAAAGAAAAGTAAGTAAATGTCGGAATGTCTACAAAGGAAGCACTGTGGCAGAGATGACTGCACTCTAACTGATTCATTTGCACAAAGCAGCGAGTGTGTGCTTCTGTGTGTTTCCTGTGCGTGTATTTTATCTCCTCCACACAGGATGCAACTCTGAAAAAAACTGGCTTTGAAGTTTCTGAAACCAAGTTAACTTTGCATGGTAAAGCGACTGATGCAGACAGAACAGTTCCTTTGTAAAACTTATGTTGAAATGTATGTTAAGTTTATATTCATCTGGCTCTAACTTTTCTTTTACAGCTGTGCAAGTCAATATGAGTAAAACTGAAGATGAAATCCCTTTGTTTTATAAGTGCAAATCTATGTGTGAATGTTCTCTTTTTCATAAAATTCAGTTGCATTTTTGACATTCATCAGTCTTGGATTTGGTCTTGTATCTATATGGTAATCAGCTGTATTTGATGGAGGCTCACTGACACCATCCAGAAGTATAACAGTCAGGATTATAATTTAGTTTGACACTAGCACCACCGTCTGGTATCTCAGGGGACTGCAATGGCAAGAGTGTAAAATAGTGACACAAGTTACAGTCATTTATAATGACTACACCCTGACTGAAAATCTAATCTAAAGAAGTAGCAGTAAACTCTAATTTAAAGAAATCCATCAGTAGCTGTACAGAGCACACAGTACAGTTCAGAAAATCCTCCATGTGGATGTAGAGCACAGTACCTGGTGGCAGATTTCATCCCACTGTCGATGCAGAAGCTCAATTCGCTCCTGCAGCACAGAAAGGTCCTCAGCGCTGATGTAACAAGACAGTGACTCTCTCAGTACAGTCAGGTGAGCCAGATCCCCCGTCCAGCCATCAAATGTATTCTCCAGGTCCTGTTGTTCAGAAAAGAGTGATGTTATTTAAAAAAGTATTTGTAAATCTTGCAGAGAGAACTTTCACCAACATGTCGAGACCTGAGAAACAATGTCAAGCTCAACAGATGATTCTACACTTGATGGGTCAAGATCCCGAAAGCAACGTTTATTTTCAGTCTTTTGCTACTGGTAGTTTCAGTTTCCCCTTGTTCTCCACTTTCCACTTCCATTTCCGTTACCTTGCAGCGCATCTGCTCAGCTTGCAGATCCTCATGGTGATCAGGGAGAGGCTGGGAGAGCTGCCGTTTGAAGGCTCGAAGTTTTTCCAGTGATCCACCAATACCTCTTTCACACCTCTCCCAGTCCTGTACATGACATGATATATCCACACACACGACACACAGTGGTTGGAACTGAATCAAAACTACTTGTATACAACTTAAATGTTCTACAAGGGTCTCATTTAAAAAAAAACTAGCTGGTTGTGCCTCTTTGTGAGAAATTAGAAAAAAGAAAAGAAAAATATACAAACTTCTGCCGATAATGCAAAATGTTCCTAAAAGGTAAAACATTTACAGTATCCCTTCAAGGTCTCCGGAAGGTTCCTGTGCTCTACAAGCTGCTGGCAATTTGTCTGGTGTACCTTTAACAGGGTGGCAAGCTCTTTCTTCTGTTCGTCCAGGCAGATGCTGGCATGTTTCCATCGCTCTTGGATATCAGTAAGCTCTGTCTGCAGGGCCATCTCTGCCCGGCTATCAGCCGACAGGAGCAGTTGTCTGCCAGCCTCGACTGTCAGGATGTAGCTGCCCTGTTGACGCTGCAGCACTTTTTCCTTCAGCTGTACCAGAAAGCACAGTCACTCAGATAAAGTCATATCAGATGGGCAGGGTCTATCACACCAAGAACAATGACACTGTTTCAATATCTTAAGCCCCTTTTACACCAAATCTGCATCAGTCCCTGGTGTAGTGTCGCTATTGTACTTCAGTGCTTTCCAAGAAAGTTCATCCTCTCCTCCTCACTCAAGATTTTGATCTAAGAGGATCTCTGCCAGGATTCACTGCATAGTACGTCTTCCTGACAAAGATCCGCTGGGATTAAAACATTAATCAATACAGGGAATAAATGCCAGTTCTGTGGAGATTAGAGGGTGGAGTCATCACAAAATGGTTCTGTCCTGCGCTAGCCAGATATATCTAAGATTTGTACTCTGTAAGCTTTTACATTATGTACCTGGACAGCGTCCAGCATGGAGCGGGCTTGTTGCAGAGGCACTGTAGTCCCCGCCTGAAGGGCCTCTGCAGGGTGGGACACCTCCACCAGCCATTTGCGTAGCTTCTCCACCATTTCTCTGTAGCGCTGCCACTGACGGATCAGACCATCAATTATGCCGCGCCTCTGTTGAGCACGGCGGACAACGCCCTGCCACTGGTTACTCAGCAGAGTCAACTTCAGGTTGAACTCATCTCTGCGAGAGAGAGGAGAGAGAGAGAGAGAGAGAGAGAGAGAGAGAGAGAGAGAGAGAGGAATGATAATAAGTAAAATTTGTAATGCATTTTTGTGGTAAACAAAGAGCAATGGATTTATCACGTCTAACAATCTTCCACTTATTGATAAATAGACTAAACACAGCATGGATTTGGGCTTTACCTGTCATCTACCTGACCCTGCTCTAACATCCGCTGTCCATCACTGATGATAGAGTGGAGGATCTGTTGGCGACTGAACATCTCAGCTTGGAACAACTGGAAGACAATAAATCAATGATTAATAAATGGGAACTTGTAATTAATAAGCTAATTCAAGTTTTCTTTTCTTTAATAAGGACTCTGACCTCATGGGCTTTTTGCTGCTCGATCAAACTCTGGTAGTTCCCAGAAATTTCCACAGCCAGATTCTCTTCAGTTTGGACCAAGAACTCCATCCATGTTTCACACTTCTCCAGGAAGGTCTGCTGCTGCAGCAGGAAGGACTGAAGTTTGCTGCAAAGAAGCAAACAGCAAGAGAAGAACAAAATAAAGACATCAGCTTTTACTGGACATCTGTGGAGTTCATTCTTTTGTTTTAAAGTCTGTTTATTGTCTTGTAACTGTACTTGAAGGACCAAATTTATTACAGGAGTCTTAGGAATATAAGAAACGTTTGTGTGTCATACCTGAATCTCTCTGTGGTCTGTGCTGAGGCTGCTGACCAGCTCCTGTTGAGATTCTGCATGCGTTTGATCTCTGTATCGTTGAGAGGGAGCCGATAACCGAGCTCATTAAGACGCTCTAATTCAGGGGCCATACTGCTGAATTTCAGCATGAGCCTCTGCAGGAGGACAAGGGAGAAATGTTAATTCAGGACAATCAGGTAAGTTGATTTGTTTAAGTAACTGACAAAAAGAAAACAAAAAAACAAACCTTGAGATCCTCCATGCGGTCCTGGATTACTGTCAGGTCGGTGGAGCCGTTGGGATCTTGCACTTTCAGAGCCTCCTCCGCTTCAACTAACCAGGATCCCAATGAATCCAATTGATCATTAAAGGTTTCATAATCTTGAACTCCAGTCTGTTGTGGGAGAGAGACATCAGCAACTCACAAGTGTAAAATTCATGATGAATGAGTGACGAATCTTTTTCCTTTTACCTGCAGGGTGGTGAGCTGTCTGGTAAGGGCCTGTTCCACAGCAGAAAGCCGCTGGGTGAGAGAGAGGTGATCTGACTGGATGTTAGATGCTGCAGAAGTGTCCACCTGCTGTTTCAGCTGATCTCCCAGTTCTTGGAGAACTTGCAAGGAGGCCTGCACTGGAGCTTGGGACCGGAGCAGCTCCTGAGGCAAAGCATCCATAACATTCACTTTTCAAAATGCTTTCCATCTTGCAACAACAGAGAAACATGGCGAAATCCTTACAGGTGGCATAGATTTAAAACAATTCAACACCGGGCACAGCTGTGGCCTCACTCACGCTGTATTCTTGGATCCAGTCGGACACCTCCTCATCAGAGATGTCCTTGCTGCAGGTGGTCTTGAGTAGCTGGTCTGCCTTTTCCTCCTGCCGCTGGATGCTGCTGCAGCTCTGCTCATAAAGCTCCTTGTAGCGCTGCCACAGCTGAAGCAGAGCCTTGCTGCTTCTCAGACGCTCCGCAATCTCCTCGAGTAAGCCGGTCCATCTGAGTGCAAACATTACAAGAGTGTATATATAAATATAATAGGTTAAACATCTGGTTGCACCTTAAGACAGGTGTATGGATTTTACTGAAATAAAAATAATATAGCTAAAAAAAAAGTTAAAGTTCAGTGAGGCCACCTTGCATTGACATCCTTGAGGGCATTGTTTAGGGAGTCTGACACTGAAGGGTGACACTCCTTCAGCAGTTGGTGGGTCACAGCACCAAACTTTCTCAAGCTGCTCTCCTGTTTCTCCAGTTCCTCTTGCAAATCCTGTACAGATAACAAACAACACATGGCTTAATTCACCAGCATTGATAAAACATGGCATAAAAAATGAATTCAGAAACAATCCGGGAATGAATAAGATGAATATGAACTTCTTCGAAACAAGAATCAGAAACACATTCTAATGCAATAATGCAATTAATACAAATTTGTCTTGTTGACAACAGCAAACAGACACCTTGTCATCCTAACATACCTGCAGACTCTGCACCTGCAGCTGAACAGCCTCCAGGGAGCCTGTGAGGAGGCGAAAACGAGACACGGAGTACCTTCCCTCCATCAGGTAGCCATTGATCTCCTCTGAAGCACGCTTGTAAAGACTCCACTGATCCAGCACCGACTTCAAACTGATCTTTAGTTGTCCTATCTGTTAGAGGTGAAATAAAAGAGCAGAGTTCAGCAGAATAAATGGGTGTAACCAAAGTGCCACATTAAAAAACAGAGTGAAAGGAGAACAGGAGAGCTTACCAAGTGATCCAGGTTAGCCCAGGTGTGATTGACACACTGGAGTGTCTCCATGACGATAGCACAGGCCTCATCGGTCTTGTTCTGGACAAGGGCACAGCCCTGCTCCTCCACCCGCTCTAGTTCTTTCTCTTTTTCCTTCACCAACTCCTCCATTTCCTAAAAGTTAGTAATCATTTTCATATGATAAAAAAAAACATGGACTCAAAAAGGTGTAATAAATCAGTAATAAATCAGTAATACATCAGCAATGGCACAGTAAAAGAAGCCTACCTGACAGTCTTTGAGAGCATTCTGCACCGATGTCAAATCCTCTATCCGGTGTTTCCTCTTCAGCTTTTCCTCTTGAGTTGCCATCCAGGACTTCAGGGCCTGAATGCTGCTCTCGTATTCCAGCCACATTTCCAAAAGGCTCTCCAGGAACTGGATCTGTAAGTAAGTAAGTTATACATATTTTATACATGACTTTGCACTAATAAATGACAATGGTTGTTATTCTTTCAGTAACAGTATCATTGCCTATGGCCTCACCCTCTCATTGATGCGGCCTTGGAGGATCTGCCAGCGTCTGTTCATGGCTCCGAGGCGCTCAGCAAAGTCTGTCTTATCACTGCGCTTGCTCTCCACATCCTGACCACTGATCTGCAGCACTGACTGGTTGACAAAGTCCACAGTCAGCTGCTTGCAGCTTAAATCTACTCTGAAGCCCTAAAGTGAGGAAACAACAGTAGATTGATCAAAATTAAAGATTTATAACTTGCATCGTAGATCACCATTATAACCACATCAGCAAAATTACACGCAAGATATACAAAAATATTGCTCTGTCTTTACACCCTGAAAAAGTGAAAACAAATTTTCATCTTTGAAATAAATGAAATATTGAAAATATATGTCGCTGCCACACATTGGTCTTAAAGTCCAAAGTGCCATAAATGTATCAATCAATGTGTATGATAAGTCAATTACCTTGTATTTTTGCAAGTAGTCTTGAATCACATTTGACCCCACAGCACTTTTGAGGTTTTCTTCATCTTCCTCAATGACATTCTCCATCAAGGAGATCCAGTTAAACAGCTCAGAAATGGCATGACGGGAGGCCAACTTCTCCATTTGGATCTGAGAAGAAATTAAATCAGTTGGTCTTGCTTATTAAACATCCAGGAAGAAAAAAAGGCAAGTGCTGCCAGTTTGAGGTCAACCTTGACTGAAAACTTTCTGTATACAAGTGAAGCAGCAGAAAGAAGTAATCCTATTTGCCCTTGAGCAGCTAAGCCTGTCCACTCTGGCTGCATGTGACGATACCTGATGCAGCTTCTCCTGGACCACTGGGATGCGTGTGAGCAGCTCAGTCCACTGTGTGTCAATGCGTCCCAGGTCAGACCGCAGCACCACTGTGTCCACTTTCTTCAGTCGCAGCAGCTGGTTGCCCTCGGTTACCACTGAGCTCTTCAGGCTGGACTTGCCCTCAACTTCCTTTGAAAACTCCTGAGACAGACAATGACAGGACTCATCAACTGGTAGACAATCAAAAGTAAACATATTATGCAGGATTATGATTCTACATACAGCACTTTTACCAGTAACGCTATTACTGCAAATGATACAGCTGGACTTTGGTACCTAAGCACTGCACTGCAGCCGCACACTCTTCCTAAATAGTTAGGGTGGGATAAATGCACTGGAGTAATGTCCCCACAGAGATTAATAAACTGTGACGACAGTAAATGAGATTCATATTTACATACACACTGGGCATGTAGAAATAACCTGCAAGTTTCCCCACACATACGTATCTTTACAAAAGTGGCACTACTGCGTGTCCAGCCTTATCAAGTCTTAGTTGTGGGCAGCTCCAACAGTAGCAATACTGTTGCTGGAGCCGGAATCTCTGGATCAATACAAGAACAAACACAAATCAGAAAAAGAACATTGTCTGCAGCCTCACAAGGAAAGCAGAGAGGTGGTCTCGGACACTTTCCAGCTCCTGTGGCACTAACACCGCCTGCGTGTTCCAAAACTCCAGGCGCTCCAGAGCAGACTGCAGCCACTCGCTGAGCTCTGCACACTCCCTCTGATACCTGAAAGAAACAAAGAACAATGCCATGAGATTACACTGATTTTAGGGAATCTGAAAAACATCATTACTTGTACATGATGCCTAAAGTGACATATTATTCTATAATGTGTTTCTGACCTGGTCCAGTGTTTTAAGATGGCCTCCAGGCGCTGCAGTTCCTTGTTGACCTTGTCAGTATTGTTGAGCCAGTGTTCCCCCAGCAGTGCGAGTTGATTCTCCAGTGCAGGACAACACACTGACAGCAAGAGGTGTTTGCCCTCATCCAGCACCTGGTGGAGCTTGTGTTGGTGCTCTGTCAGTTTCCCCTTCAGACCCTTTACAGAGAATTGAAGAGGAGAAGACACAAAGAAATCACAAACGACGTGAGAGACGTGGGGCTTGTAACTGCTGTGACACCTGCTGAGAAATCCCACCCAAAAAACTGTTTCCCATTTTATTAAAATTCATCATAAGATTATTATGCCATATCCTAAAATCTGATCTGATGTCACTTTGTACCTGATACAACGAGATTCTGTCCATGAGCCTTTCTTCCGTCTCCTCCACCAGACCAACAGAGGGGATGTTTCCTTCAACTGCCTCCAACTGTCGGTTTAGACTCTGGTAATCCTGCACCAAGCGGCACCAAGTCTGATAAAGAGTTAATAAATAAAAAACACATAGAACAGTTGAAATCGAAACAGCTGATAATTAAACATTAGTCGTTGACCACTATTAATAAAATCGAAACAGCTGATAATTAAACATTAGCATTTTTGTGAGGATGTCCAAACCACTAAAAGGCCCGATTAGTCTTCAGATAGATTACTGAAAAAACATTGTATTACTGCTCCACTTTAACAACTATATGCACCTGTGTTTTTATGTGCACCTTGTATTTTATGTATCTATATATTGTGTGAGCCTTGTACGCAGCTGTGTGCAGCACATCTCATCTCATCATGGTAAACATTAACTGTGTTTTTCTCTCTCACCTCCAGGATACACTCGAGCTCCACTCCTTTACTGTGTGCCTCTTTGAGGACGCTCTGAGCCTCAGCCAGTGTCTCCTCCAGGACTTGGCTCTCTTTGGGAAGCATCAGGCCACTGATTTTCCTGAAGTATGTTTCTGTTAGAATCATATGGGACTCCAGACCCTGGAAGAACTCCTACGAAACACAATCAGACAGAAACAAACACACCAATGACCAGTTCTGTTTTTCTCTTAGCAGTTTGTGTCCAGTACTGCTAACATTAGGTTCAGCGTTTCACACCTTTGGGAATAACCATTCGTTAAACCTACTAACTAAGCAGAGCTCCAAGTTGACCAAACCTTATGTTTGTCGAGGTGATTCTGGACTTCCTCCACAGAGCTGGCAATGATCCTCTGATCAGCAGCCATCTTGTCCTTAGCTGTATCCACCAGGTCGGTCAGGTCCTGCAGTGCACGCTCATACTGCTCCTTCAGAGCCATGTTCTGGTTCAGCCCGCTGCGCCGGGAACCCACGGTCATCACCAGCTCTTCATAAGAATCCTGAAAAACACATACAGACGATATTGTTTTTTTTCCATTTTATTTAATATTTGTTTTGCTAAAATGATCAATTTCATGTCGTATACTTTTAATAGTCTTGTCTTCATTGCCGTTAAATCCTCATTAATTGTAACATAATGTAAACGTATGTGAGACATAACAATGTCCACATTGTACAGATAAAACTTGACCCAGCATCATGTATACTTTGTTCTGCTAGATTTACGTTTTGCAAAGTTTACTTTAACAAAGCAATGAATCTAAAATGAAGATAAGACACCTGTGGAGAAGCTTTCAGTGCCAGCTGTGTGTGATTACCTGGAGTTTCAGTATTTTGTTTGTTGATATCTGATCGGCTTGCAGTGCTGCTCCTCTGGCTTTGATCTCTGCGATTCTCTGTTCAAAGTCTTTCAGGCTCTCCTCTGCACTGGCGATGACCTAAGAGAGATAAATGACACGAATGAACGACATTCTCTGTAAGCCTCGAGGAGACGAGGGGAATGTGTGCGCATGCTTGTCTATACTAAAGCTCGTATTACCTCCAGCTGTTTTGAGGCTGGTCTGTCCATGGCTCCAGCTAAGGCCTGTAGGATCTGGCACTTTGTCTCAATTAAAGCAGTTTGGAGAAGCTGTAGCTCAGTCTATAAAGACAGAACACAATTCATGGTGCATTTACATAATGTATAGGATCCACAGTGTGTTAAAATATATGGGTATTTATTGTTTTCTGTTGGTGTTTCTCTTTCTGCTTATTATAGGTGCAATAAAATAAACTTGAGCAAATCTTAGTGTAGATATACATGAATATTTTGGAAGTGAAGTATAAAAACCTGGTAGGCTGTGAGTTCATGTGCTCTGGTCCTCATGTGGTCACAGCGTTGTGCCAGAGCACAACCCAGAGCTCCTAATCTCTCTTTCAGGCACTCAAGGTTGTCCTCCAGCAGCGCCCGGTCTTCATGTCTCAAACTTGAAGACCCAGCTAGCAGAGCCTGGCTGAGCTTCACCTCCTCCGTCATGTGCATCACATCGTTTTCTAATGTCTGCAGGGAAGATCAGAAACAAAGATCAGCTCAGACTGTTTTACTCTAAAAATGATTTTACTTCAAAATTACAAGATTACATCTGTTTCATTTACTTTTATTAGACATCCAGAAACCTAAATATTCAACTTCTGCAGCATACCATATGCACTGATCATCTTGTTGCAGAAATTTTTCCTTGTTTTTATCGAGATGTCACATGAAAATGAGGCTGACATGATTTGTTATTTTTAAGCCTTCTTGAATAATTAAATTACACAATTAATGACACTCTCTGGGGATGAAGCCTGATTGTACCTCTTGCTTTTCTAGCTGGGTCTCTGCGTTTTCAGCCAGCAGCACTGAGCCAGAGAAGACGTTGTTCTCCACACCATCCAGCCAGGAGGAGGTGGATGACACAGCTGTGTAGAGCTGCTGTTCCATCTGCGCCACCTGTGTCTCACCGCCACCGGGCTACGTACACACAAGTGTTGCAAATTCCTCGTTTAACAAAATATTTAAATCTTGCAATGTGAGGCATTGTAATGTGCATCATTGATATGGAAATAATAAAAACCTGAGTGGTCATGTCTTCTATTGTCTGTCTGAAGCTGTCATACAGAGTCTTCAGGGAGGATTTGTCCGCTTGTGTTTCTCCTTTGAACAATGAGCCAGCTGTGGTCACACGAGAGGCTCTGGAATAAACCTGCGAAAAAAAACGTACAGCAGTCTCCAAGTTTATACATTAACAACAGCAATGAAAATATACCCTGTCTCTACTACTGCTTCTGCCAAGGATAATAACAGAACAGTTTGTACCAGCTGCTTGTGGTCCTGATCCAGAGTTTTCTGTAGGAGCTGCAGTTTTGTTTTCAGCTCTAATCTCAGGCTCTCCCATCTCTGCCTCATCTGTTCTCGTGCAGCCTGAGTTTCCCTCTCAACCAAAGCTGCTGCTGAAAACGGCTCTGTTGTACTGCACAGAAACATGAATTAATTAATCTTCCATTTAGAAATTTGCCACATGGATTGGCACATACATTACCTTAACATCTCACCATTCAGTGCTATACTGTATATGTAGGTAAGTGTGGTATAGTAGGATGTAAAATACCTGGCACTGCTGGGCGAGGCCTGCTGGATGAGAATCTCCTCTCCTCTGCTAGCAACTGACTGAAGCAGCTTTTTCTGCTCTGCAAGTTGCTCCTCCAGCTCCTGAAGAGCAAACATGCAATACCACAACACTGGTTAGACTGGACTTAACATTTCATAAAACAGCTTCTGAAACACTATTATCATCGTGGTAGAATGGTATGAAGACATTTTTATTTATATAATTAAGACAGTATTTTTATTTTATTGTTTAAAGATAGGTACAATTTCCCAATAAAAGTTTGCTGCAGTAGGCCCAGGTAAAATCTATCTAACAAAAAACAGTTTGAGAGAGGATATTTAAGTTTCTGTATTGCAATATCTAGTGTTCATAGAAGGGTTAAAAAAAAATGTGAAAATGTACCCTCTGTCTTTGAAGACTGTCCTGGTGCTGTTGGGTTCGTGTGGTCCGGGCCTGGGCCAGCCAGTCCTGCACACTGGGACTCTGTGAGAGACTGGAGTCTGACTCACTGTCCTCCTGCTCCTGCAGAGAGCCCTTTAGGACCAGATACTACATGATTAAACAAAACTAATTCAAGAAACACTCATCAGCAAGGAAACAGGAGCATCAAATGCAGCAACTGTATTTTGAAGTTTTGCAAATTTATCAGTGGACATATAAAACTGTTAAATCAAAGAGATGCCACCAGCTGTAGGATAAACATAAAATATTCTCCTAGATGAACTAGTGGACAGAAAACAAAGAGACTGAATTGAATGAACCTAATGTATTTTAAAGTTTTAATAAATAGGTATGTCAACATTTGAAGCCTGTAGCACCTCACCTGGATGTTACTCTGCTTGTCTTGTAGCATCCTCTGCAGCTCCAACAGGCCGCCCTTCAAAGTGCGTAACTTCCTGCCCAACTGCTCCGATTCCTCTCTGGTCTCTGTCCGACCCTCCAGCAGCAGGTTCTCACTGTGCATGGACAGCTCTGACAGGGCCAACACCTTCTCTTCAATCTCCAGCAGCATGTTCTGCAGGAGCAGGAGAAGAGAGGCCAGCTCAAACATGGTCTCTCAGCACCTACAGCAGCTCCAGTTCTGGCTGAACCCCCTACACCAGCAGCTTTCCCGCGCCACAGGACAGGGAGCGCTCTCCCTGTGTTTTCATCCTTGGCCCACCTCTCCGGCCTCGCCTCTTGTGCACCATATTACCACTAATCCTTCACACTTCATGCTCTGCAACATACATACTCTCGTTCAAATTCAAAAGCAATTATCCTGTGCAGAAGACCATGGTGAATGTCCAGACCGGTCAGGGACACCGATCAGAAAATGATGTTCCAATGTTTGAAGAAATATTTGTTTTCTGACAGCATAGCCACAACTCAAGCGATAGCTTCAGCAGGTTTTTCAAAGGCAGAGAGTAACTCTCCCTCCCTCCCGCCTTACCCTCCCCGTTCTCTAGGATTCCCCTACTTGGATATTCTAGCAGCTTTACCAACAACACCAATCCCAACAGTAGGATCTATTAATCGTCTGAAAGCCACAGCCCCTGACTGCTCCGCCCTATGCCTCTAACAGGCCCCTGTCACACAGAGACATCTGCATAATCTTCTTAAGACTAGTGCTACAGTCGCTTAGGAGCCCAGCCATCTGAATGCCCCTCTAACTCTGCTAATGCTCTTGTTTACTCACTGAAAGGTTCCTGCCCCCCTGGGATGATCCATATGTGATAAGGGAAACAACTGAAGTATAAGACGGATATAAATAATCCACTGCCAATTTAGCGTCAGGATGAGGACCAGAGACAATGACTGACCACCTGGAAAACAGTTCTCCAGAGCTTCCTGTGTCATTCCCACACAATCTGCTACATAAGTAACATCAAACTCATATTCATAAATCCATTCATATTCTTAATTAATATGGTAATTCAAATGTGTATATTGCATTCACTACTCTGAGTGGACAGCAGGGGGAGGTCTTACTTGACATTCAGCGAGCTGATCCTCCATGTCTGTCTCCTCCAGAGGTTTAGGTTCGAGGATGGAGGTAACGGCACTGCGCATTCTGATCAACCACTGGTCCAGTCCATCTGCCTGGGTCTGATAGAACTGTATGGCCTGTTCCTGACGTTGACCCTCCAGTCGGTCACTAACGCGCTCCTGGAACAGAGCACATCACATTTTACTTATCACATGAACTTACTATTACCTACTATTAGTGGCCACACACTTTCATAAGTTTCACAAAAACTACCTCCAATAGTTGTTGTTTCCCTGAAGCCTTCATGTGGATGGTGGCCATCCTCTCAGCCAACACAGCGAGGGAGGACTGCATGGCCAGCTGGTCAGCCATGTCCGAGTCCACAGCATCAGAGGCCAGATCCTCTGTGAAGCTCGTCTGCAGCCTGTCTATTTCCTCCTGCACACTCTGAATCTCGTCTATCAGACCCTGCAGAAAGTTACAGCACGGTAGGTGTTCAGTTTATTTTCATTTCTGAGTTGACCAGAGGTAAGTATTATTTCTTATTAATGCAGATACTGTGCCATACAATACGTGTTCAAAATTAAAAATCCGGATATCATAGACAGAGTAGTAAGTCCCATAACAAACTAAATTAATACTAAAGGGACAGTGATGTAATGTAAACTACGATTTTATAAATGCAAAACAAAATGATAAGAGAGGCCCATATATCCTACACAGACCTGCATAATTAGTTAGTTCGTTGGTTAGACATATCTTCAGCTTCACCACATATGAAGCGTTAAAAACAGTACGATACAGGTTGGTAGACAATACAGAACAACTGTGAGTTCACGCAACAGAAACACAGATTTAAATAAAAACATAATTCAAACGACGTAAATACAAGTACAGGACGCACCTCATGGGCCTTTATGTGGCTATCTGGGCTTTTATCTGCCTCCAGAGGCTCGCTCAGTTTGGCCTCCAGAGCCTCCATTTTAGAAGAGATTGACTGGAGTGAACCCTGGTAATGCTGTTGTTTTTCCAGAGCTTCATATAGAGACCTCTGCTTCTCGCTGATCTGTTTGAAGACCAGTTGCACAATGTAAAAGTGCTAGGCCTGAAAACATGATAACAGCGACTGACAATCAATAAATCATCAAGCTGACATCTTGTATTATTCACATACCACATTTTTCAACGTCTCCCATGAGCGCTGCAAGTCATCTAGGTTGGCCACGGACTCAAATGTCGGATCATATAATTCTTGGATTGGAGCTCTTGTGAGTGTTCCTCTTCCCATCTAAAAAAAAACCATTTTAACAGCACTGTCAGCAGTTAAGACAAATTAGTTATAAAATGGATAGCAACCAGACAGAAAGCTCCAAATTCATGATTAGCCATGATGAACTTGCAGGTGCAGACGGAGAATAGCTATGGATTAGTCCCCTTGGTTTGTTTTTGCCTTTTTCATTTGCATTTATTAGTTGCTGTTGTTTTGTAATTGTTCTGTTTAACCAGTTAAATGATCACAGAAAAATTAAAGAACAAATATTGAAAAAGAAAGGGGAAGAAAGAACTGATAGAAACCACAAAGACGTACTGTTTGAGCAATTTTGTTTAAAACCACAATGACTGATAAAAAACAAAAAGCTGTCGAGAGGAATAGAGAAGGCAGATACCTTGGTTACAGTGGCCTCAGTGTGAGTGATGGGGGAGGGAGAGCGACAGACAGGAGGAGAAGAGACCTCACTGTTAGTGCCCTCCTCCCCAGACTCCTCAGTTACAGGAGACAGGAGTGTGTGACAGCGGCCAGCCGTCATCTGACAGGCCATGCAAGAAACATTAACAGAAGAGCAGACATGCGAGGTGGATTTGGAAAGATTAATCATATGCAATGTGTTTTTTAGATAAAAGAGGCACAACGCACCTTATAAGTAAAAACACATATTTTATAATGAAGGCAGGCAAAAAAGTTTAATTAGTAAAATTAAATGGATTTAAACTGTTTAGAAGTCTTTAAGTTAAAGCCAGAAATAGCAGAATGAGTCAAGAGGTTTATTAATTAGGCGATGCCATCACAAACAAAGCAAACAGCTTCATCAGCATCAGTATGTTATGTGGTATTTTGTGTTCTTTTACCATGACGGCTTGTGCTGAGGATTTCTTTGATTTCTCCCCATCCATGTCCTGCAGCCCCTCAGGCAGCCCCTCCACATCAGTCACTGTCAGCAGCATGGTGGCATGCTTGGCCTTCACCGCCAGCATCTTGCATTTTGAGTTCAGTGAGGCGATCTGCTCTTGGTAACCTTTAATCTTCTGGGCAAGTTCCTATTGAAAATAAATGCAAAGTATCAAACTTAAATGGTGCAAAAATGAGGAGATTTCACTATAAAAATGTATCAGGCAGCACAGAGAGTTATATCACAAGCATAAATGAAGACTGCACTGAATTAGTAAAATATATTAGCCACAGATTCTATGAACTGTGTAGCACTGATGCAACTTGGCAAAGGGGAACTTGATTTGATTTCTAGCCGTAGATGCATTGTAGCTGCCCTTGACCCTGTGCAGGAGATGTGGGTAAAATGAATGAATTCATGTATTGTACTTCATGGTGAAGGATCTGGGCCTGCAGCTCCTGGATGTTGCTGGCAGGGATTGGTCGGTCCTGGATGACACGGTGTGCTTCCTCGATCAGCCCCTGTAGGTCTCTCACTTCCTGCTCGTATTGCTCATACTGCACCACTGCCTCCTGGGCAACAACAGAAAACAGTTTTGCAACAGTTAGATCAAGAGTTCAAATCTCAAAAGTTCCTTTGTTCCGCATTCAAAAAGAGTATATTCCTCAAAATATACACATTATGCATACTGTGTCTGAATGCAGGTATTGCAACAGGACAAAGTTACTGCGCAGTAGCTCCCCCTACTGTACCTGTAGAATGTTGCATTGCTGAATGGCCACATGCTGCAACTGACTGGCTTCTTGCTGCAGACGCAGAGCTGTGCGACAAATGGCAAGGTTGGGCATCACCTCCTCTGGGACCCGCAGAGCACTCTGACACATCTGGACTGCCTGCACCTGCTGCTTGAAGCTCTCCATATCTGACAACAAACGCTGCAAAAACAGGAGGTTTACATTGTGTGAAATTGTTTACAAGCTACAACATGCAAGGGAAGCAGTAAGTGGTAAATTATGGGCTATATCTCTGATTATCTAATGTTGTGTGGTTACCTGTCTCTGAGCGAGTTGTTCTTTGAGGCTCTGGCGTGCCAACTCTGGTGAGGTCAGTGTGGCTTGCACCTGCTCCAGAGCTACATGTAGGGCCTTAACTTCATACTCCAGCGCCTCCATACTCTGTGGACATTTCATAAGTCAATTGCATGTTTATTTGTTCATAAATAAGGTATCATCAGTATCAACAGGAACAGGTACATGGAAATATAAATAACATTGAACAAATAACTAATTGAATCAAATCATTTGTTTGACTTCAGATGCTTAAAATGATAATTTCCAGTTTTGAAGAGCTAATGAAACCAGGAAATTCATTAATGTTACAAACAAGTATAAAGTAGATAAGAAGATTTCCTCTGTACCTTATCTGCATCCTCCAAGCTCTGCAGCCGCATCTTGATGCTTTGCTGAAGCTCCTCTGTGTGTCGACTGAGTTCACAAACCTGTTGGCTCATAGATTCAACCTGCAGCACCTCAGACAGGAGCTCTACTTTCTCCGCCATTGACTCCAGGTCTCCGTGGAGCTCCCGAGACTCACGCAGGACAGCCTGAGCAACAAGGGCAACAAGGCAGAGAATGAGAGGCAGTTCATTCCCTGCAAAATGTGCATTTTATGAAATGTGTGCATGGGTAGAGAAACTGAAGTGCCCAAGAACTCTGAATGGATGAGTACGAATACACCTTGAACCATGTCCATCCACTTACATTTTCCTTGTCAAAATAATAAGGAGGAAAGCTAAAACATCTGTTTCAGTATAGTTAAAACAGAACACAATGTGCAGGTACATATCCAGACCCCAGCTCACCTGATACATCCGTATCTGCTCCTGCAGGTGAACAGACGAGTTCCAGATGATGTTTGCCCTCACCAGGCTTTTGGCTTTCTCCGACCACCTCACAATGAAGTCCAGCATCTCATTATACTCATCTAAATAGCAGACAGCCTGAAGAGCCAAGATAAGAGAGAGGCTAAGAAACATATTGTACTGAGAAACAAGACAAAACAATAAAGCATGCATTCCTGTGCGACTGTAACATTATCTCAAACCTTTTTGAGCCAGTTGTTCCTGCAGTCTGCCAGCCGCGTTGTGTGGTGATGCATCTCTGACAGCTTGCTGATGGCGTCGCTCAGCTGTTTGGCCAGTAGGGGGTTTCTGCGGCCAAACTCTTGTATGGCAGCGTCCAGCTCACAGAGGGTGCGACCGCAGGAGTCCAAGTCTTCAGCCAGGCTCTGTGTAAAGGAACGCAACATGTAGAATTTTATATCCTGACAATATTTAATGCTCTTGAATGATATTTAGCTTCACCGTTTCTAAACAAACTACAAATGCATAGCAAGATAGAAAAATTAAGATAACCCACCTTGACCTCTTCTTTAGCATGATCAACATCTGGAGATTTTTCCTTGAATTTAGCAGCGATAGCTTTAAGTTTCTCAGAGATTTCATGGATCCTGGAGCTGAAGTCCTCTTTTATTTCTCTGGTTTTCTGAATTTCTCTCTCTTTGGAAAGAACCTAGAACGTCAATAAGAAATGTAAACAAATGCCACACGACATTTTTTAACATACTGTTCCCTGGTAGACTTCACATCTGCTACCATTTCAGACAATATAGAAATACATCATGGTCTTATGTGCATTCAAAGTGACTGAAATGATATGATACCTGATCCTCAATGGCACCCAATGCGAGTGAGACCTCAGCTAGTTGCATGGAGATTTCAGAGGGCAATATAGTGTAGAGGTCCAGGTACTTGCTCTGTTGCTGCTCTGCTAATTTATCCACATTCTGACGATAGGTGATCACTTCTCCATGCACAATCTATACATGACAAAAACAAGACCCTCATAAATAATAATATGCAAATAACAATGTTCTGGGGCTGACGGGAGGATATTAACAAAGATTAGATTTCTCTTTTTAAATGGCAGTTATACCTCAAGCTCCTGCAGTAGAGAATCGATGTCTGGTGTGGGATTGAGAAGAAGCTCCCTGGTCTCCTGGATCCAGGCCTTCGCAACACTGAGTTCCTTTTCCACTTCCTCTCTTTCCCTCAGTTCCTGAGCTGTTTGAGCCCGCTTAGTCCTGGACTGTGTCAGAAGGCTGGAAAGATAAAATGGACTCTGCTCAAAATCTTATTTTCTAAATAGCACAGAATGCTATTACATCTAAATAATACAACTTTTAAATAATACAGTGGATACATCTGAATGTTTTCTTTATGTAGGTGAACAACAGGTTCATTTTTTCCCACTACCTTTCCATTTGGTCTTGCACAGCTCTGATCTCCTTCAGGCTGGGCAGCTCATCCTGGTCATTTGTGGGTGAAGGCACTTCCACATCGTGCAATAGGCTGAGGGCGTACTGGCGGAGCAGTGTAAGAGAGGAGAGCTCTCTCTCTAAGTCTTGGCTCAGCAGGTCGTGCTGGTCTAGCAGCGACTGCAGGGTGGCTTTGGAGGCCTTCTCCACGGCACTGTCAGGGAAACGGCTCTGGAGCTCATCAGACACTGCTCTCACCTTCACCATCTATAAAAAAATATATATAATTTAGAGAACAATTAGTGTATTTGAGCTGTGTATTTTCACATAATAACATAATATTATATAAATAATAATAATCCCATCATTATAAACTGCATATTTTCTTTCCATATAGTTTGCCTGTATACCTTCTCCCTAAAAGTCCTCCATTCCTGTGCCGTGTCCTCGAGTACTCTCTCCTGTCCCCGTGCCACACTGCGTAGTCGAGTCCAGCGCTGCCACACAGTGGTCATTGAGCGACTGATGGTGGCCTTGCTGGCATCACTCCCCACCAGCTCCAGCTGAGCGGCTTGCTCCTCTAAACCACTCAGCTTCTCTTGGAAGCCATTCACCAGTGATACAAGCGACTGAAAAAATAAGATACAAGTAAAGAAACGTGCATAACCTTCACAGATGCACCACCCTTTTTTTGAAGAAGAAGAAAAATACTTTTTTCGGCCTCTCATACCCGATGACTGCACAGCTTATCTTCAGCCTCTTGGCTTGTGGCTGCCTTTGCAGTGGAAAATTCTGTCAGCTTCTTTTCAGCTTCATTCATAATCTCAATGACAGTCTGCCTCGCCTCCTGGTATGACTTCCACTGAGCCACACAGCTAAGAAAGACAAATTATATTGGAGGATTAACAAAATTATCAACAAAATTACTATGTAATCACTGTATATTAAATGTGCAGCACCACTCTTTCATTCTCACTACCTATGAAGGACATCCTGGTGACACTGGAGCTGATCTCGGACCTCCACGCCTCTCTGCTTTGCCGACTCCACGCTCAAACGGAGCTGCTCTTTAGCTGTGGGGTTGACCAGGTTCTCCAGCTGGGGCAGCAGGCCATGCAGCTCCTCCAGGTGGCTGAGGAACTCCTGCTCCGTGGCCACGATGTCCCCTTGCTGCCGGAGACACTCCTCGTAGTTCTCCACATCCACACCAAGGCTAGCTTGCTGCAGGAAGGACACGGCGTCCTCCAGCCATTCACAGGCCGATTGCATCCTGAAGTGGTACTTCTGACACAACCCCAGAGCTTCCTCCAGAGTAATCTTCACACAAATTCACACAAAATTAACAATTGAGAAAAAAACTATAACAGCCTATTGAGCTCATTTATTTAGGTATAAAAAAGTGTATTCAGGCATTACGGTAACTATAACAAACAGCATTAAATGAATGTATAATTTAGAGAATGTAATGTTGCCTCACCTGTTTTGAGCTCAGTGCTTTTTGGACATCGGCCTGAAGCTTTGCCATTTCTTCCAGGTTTGTATCTACATGGGCCGGGACAAGCTCATTGGCACTGTTATACTCCTGTTTCTCCCTGCTACTGAGAGCGGCCACAATTCTCAGCCTGGACTGCACTTCCTCCTGCATGATTTGCTGCTTCCTGATCTCCTCCTGCACCTTCTCCACCCTCACGTCCACGATCACAGCACAGCCCAGTTCATCCCTGACCTGCTGCAGCCAGTCCAGAGTCCTCTTCATCTCTGTCTCAAAGTCTTTACTTTGAACAAACCTGTTCTCACACTCTTCTATCAGCTCCCCTACTGCAGCCTGCAAAGACCGTAGCTCCTCTTGCCACAGAACCACTTGGTCTTTAGAGGCGTCATGGGCCGCATGGTCCACACGGGGGGCAAGAGTGTCCATCTGCTCCATGAGCCTTGACAAGTGAGAGTTGGCACTCTGGAGACTCCCTGCTAGAGCATGGTAGTTCTTCAGCCTCTCCTCAGCCGACTGGGTCTCTGCGTTGACTTTAACCAGCTGCTCCTTTGTGGCCTTTAACTGAGAGTCGACCTGCATGGCCATCGCCTTGCGGTCCTCAAATGTCTCCAAGGTTTCATCCAGATGCTCTACTTTCTGTTCAACCAACCTCTTCAGGCCGTTGTACAGGCTCACAAGCTGGGTCATTTCCTCTGTGCGCCAAGGCTGACCAGTGCTCCGAAATCCCTCTTTCTTCTGGTTCAGTTCACTCACAGCTAGACCAAGGTTGCTCAGATCTGCCTGAATGGCTTTGTAATCACTCTGCAAACTGACAACTTCTTCTGTCTGCAGCCCTACAGGTTGTGTGCCAAGATTGTTGAACTGTTCTTCGAGCTCTTTAAGTGCTTTATGAGTGACATCTATGAAAGAGGTGTACTCGTTCCTTGTAAGAATAGCCTGCTGGATTTTCTCCTGTTTCTCTTTGGCTAGTGCTAATATGCTGTTATATTGGTGGGGGAGGGTGTTGAGTTTTTCATCTAAATAGCAGTGGTCGACTTCATTCAGAGTGGGCAATATTTCCTGGCCAGCTCTTTGTACAATTAGGAGGAGGTTCTCATATTCAATTGCTTGCTCAACTATCAGTTGATACTTCAGTAGTTGTGCTTCCAATTCAGCGTCTCCAACCATGAGATTGATTTCAGGAAAGGTGACTATATCAGCTTGTTTCAACCATTGGCATATTTTCTCTAGATCGGTCTTGAAATACTTTCTGGAAACTAATACCTTTTCGAGCTCCTGCAGTTTCTGGCCACATCTATGTAAGGTTTTGTCAAAGATGTTTTGTAACTCCTGTAACTTTGTGAGAATCTCATTCCTTTCTTCCTCGCTGGCATCTCTCATCAGATCCCTCCCCTGAGACCACAAGGAGGTCAGCTCACTCTGATAGGCTTTGAGACTGCTTTGGATGTTCCTGCATGTTCTTACCTGCTTGGCCAGGTCATCAGGTAACAAGGCAATGTACTCCTCTGCCTGGGCCTTCTTCTCATTCTGCTGGACCCAGGAAATTGACTGGTTAACAGCCATCAGGAACTGCGTCCTCTCTGTGAAAGCCTTGCTGAGGTGTTTTCTGCGCTGCACCACTTTCACGCTCAAAGATTCCACTTCAGATTGGGTGGCAGAAATCAGCTGTTGCAAACGCTGCCGTTCACTGAGGCCCAGACGGGCCAGCACCCTGTCAGCATCGGCCATGGCCTGGGCCAGCAAGAGCTGCTTGGCCTCCAACTCACTGCAAATGCTCAGGTGGTCAAACAGGAAGCTCTGAGCCAGCTCAGGGGGTGGACTCATTTTCATGGCCTCGGACAGGGCGGGCTGCTGCTCCTCTGCCCAGTCCCGAGCCTCTCTCAGACGGGCCTCTACTTGGCTCATATCTTCTAGCGTCACCACTGAGTCCTGGATTTTCCTCTCAATTAGGTTTTGCATTTGAGACCATCTCTGCTCAAAGTGGCTGATTTGCTCTTTTACCAGCTCCTTGTCATCCAGGTTCAAATGTTGGATGACTTTCTGTTTCTGATCTTTAAGGTCCTCAAGAGTGCCTTTTTGTTCTTCCAGGGTTACCGCAAGTTTCCGTAAAGCCTCCAAGTGCTGAGATGAACTTTCAGCATCCGTTCTGTTACAAAACATAAACAAGTAATTATACAAATGTTGCATGAAACCTGTGCAATCATTATTCAATCATTTCCCAACAGTGATGGTCATAATTGGCCTTCCTGAGGTCTCCTTCTCATAATCCCTGAAATCTTACATACATACATTTTTTCCTTACAAAATAATGTATAGAAATGGAAAAAGAGATTGTGAGAGAAAGCACAACTGGCATCTTTTTGCAGCCTTTTTTTGGCTTTAGTCTTGTCAGGAGAGTGGAATGAAGACGCAGCAGTATGTGACGGAAAAATGCAATTTATGCACAAACACACCTGGCCAGATTGTCCCACTCTTTGGAGACCTGTTCGAACAGTGCCTCCACTGCAGAGATACAGTCATGGTATTCTTTAGACCTCTGCAGGTCCTCCTCCCTCTGGCCCTGCAGCTTGTTGGCCTGATGGCAGAGGTCGAGCCAGGAATGGCTCAGGCGGTCAAGCTCTGCATGTTCTGGGGAGTCCTGGCCACCAGTCAATCTGCTCACAGTCTCGGTCATCTTGGTCAGGATACTCTGTTTAGATTGCAGTTGCTGGCTGCATTCCTGTGTGACAAGCAATATATTGGATGGTGACCCTAAATACACCCAAATAGTAAGCAGATCTCTCTTTAATCCCCACACAACTGAAGCCAAAATGTTGGATTAGATGGTAAAAACGAAATCACCAACAGAGTCATGTTTAGACTTACAGTACTAGGCACAAAGACATATGTTATATGTAGCTTTTAATAAATACCCAAAAGAAAAAGAGGTTTGACGAGGATGATAAAAAAAACTGTTCCCCATAACAGTGGTAGTGACACTGTTCCCTACCTTGGCTTGTGACAGCATGTTTTGAGCTATCTTGGTCTCCAGCTCTGCAGGCCTTCTGGAGAGACTGAGGAGCTGCTGCTCCATGTCCTGGAACAGGCTGGTTAGATCTTGTTTCTGTTCCTTGATCTCTCTCCAGCCCTCTGAAAGCTCCTGAGCACTGGACATCCTTTCCTCAATCTGTAAAAAGACATTTACACCTTCTTGCATCGAATATTTGCAGGATTATATATTCCTAGATACAGAGCAGTTGCAATCACAGTGGATGTCATGCTGCTTGTATGCATTTTCTGACTGAGTGATGAAGGAGTATTTGTAGGGCACTGGCCATAATATGCCTTATATCCATGCCATTCATTACACTGTGTTGTCAGCACACAGTATTTCATGAAACCTTGTCAGTGGGTGTAATGAATCAACATACCATCAAAGAAATTTCCTGTTTTGTTTTTTTTTGTATTTTAAATCAGTTTGTGAGTCATTATTACTAATACACTAATCATCCTAGATTAATAAAATGTGTATTTTATGTTGTACAGTGATAAGGAGAAATAACTGACCGTGAGTTTGACCTGCTGGACCTTGGCAGCTGTCACTCTCACAGCATCATCAGACAGGTCACACACAGAACACACCAAGTCCAGGTAAGTACTGGCCTGCTCCTGAAGGGCCCTGTAGTGCTTCACCTGTGTATATGCACAAGTAAATCATTCTAAATAAATTATACAAAAATAACTTTAAGCGCACTGATGCTATCACTGCGTTCCAAGAGTGTGTCAATTACCTGCTTGAGTGCCTCCTGCAGTCCAGATGGTCCCTGATCATTGAGCTGGAGCTCCTCCTGCACTGTGGAGAGCCAGGTCTGACTCTGCTGGAGAGTGTCCTGATGGCTAACGTGTTTCTGCAGCTCCCGGTCTAGACTCTGGTACACCTGTTCGACAAGGTGAGGTAATCTTACCTTCACTATCTTTACATCTTAAAATAAAAAGGCAGGTTGATCAAATGGAAAGGCTTTATAGTTAGTTAAATATATATTACTCACACGTTGAGCAGTGCTGCAAATGGCGGAGTAGCTGTCTCTGGTTCCCTGCTGGTGAGCCTGGACTTGTTGACTGATCTTAGCTTGAACTTGGTCTGTACAGCTGGCAACAAGACCTTCTCCTTTCTGCTGCAAGCTGCTGAGACGCTCCTCAAAACTGGCTATCTCCTCCATTATTGCCTGAAAGAGAACAATCAGGTGTTGCAGGTACAAATGCAGATCACGAAACGTAATCCATGAAATGTAAAATTATTTTCATGTAATGTAATAATATACACTGCAATATAACTAACATTACAGTAACAACTGTGAATATTTGCAGGACAGTGACACGGTTGGGCACCTTGTGTCGGGCAAGTTGCTGAGTGGCCATCTCCATACTGCTGGTCTGCATGGAGTCAGAGGTGACCAGTCTACTGGACATCTGCAACAGCCACTTCTCCACCTCTTGCAACTCACTGTTGTAATCCTCGTGCTCCTTCACCCACTCCACAAGATTCTGGACCTGTGTCTGAAACACAACACAAAGCAAATCTCAGTCACGTTCATATTTGTATGACAACAAAACAATATATACTGGTACATCAATTTCAAACAGAAATCCTGAATTGCTACCATTATGTAATATAACAACATAATAGTAGGAATGACATTTTTGGACTTAACTCGGACCCTCTATCCAAGACCAACTCTCCAGACTACATCTCAGCAGAAACAGTCTAACAGTACGCATACCTTAGCGGCCAAGCAGAGGTCTTGGTAGTCAGCCTGCAGGTTTTTCATATTGTCACTTATTGTAGGGTCGTGGACTGTGTCGAGCAGGGCCTCTCCTTTCTCGATGACAGATTTCACTGCTGACTCATGCGATTGCACTGTCTGCTGGATGGTCTGCATGCATGAAGGCGGAGCAGAATAATGCAGTTAAAATTATTTAGTTGTCTTGTTCTATTTTCACGGTTTCTAAAAACATGAACCAATATTTAGTTACCTTGTACTTTGCTAGCTGAGCCTTCTTCTGGTAGAGTTCAGCTTTAGGCTCTACACTTGATGCTAAAAGGTTCTTGGTCTCCGTCACCCACTGGTTCTGGGCCTTGTATTTATCCATAAAGTCTTTGGAGAGTGAGATACATTTCTCGAGGGAGCTGTGCTCTGTGCGCAGAGCCGCCATCAACTCCTCCAGTTGGAAGAGACGGGTCTCCACCTCCTCCTTTAGCTGATCTGCCTCGGGTTCCTCCAAGAATGCCATGGCTCGCTCTGTCTTCTCCCTCATTGCCTTCAGGTAAGTGTGACCCTGCTCCATGTCACCCTGAAGAGCCTGAAAGGTACATGGGCTTGGATTATCATGCTGTTGCTTCTTTTATTAGTGCAATGTTGCTGGCATTTCCACTGATGACATGTTGAAGGTCTAATGCTTATGAATGGTCTTTACAGAGCAGACAATAACACACAAAAGGCATGTTCTCTATGTCAGCGAGTGTACCTCTAGTTTCTTCATCTTTCTCTCCATGGCAAATCGGTCCACTACATCGATACTTATAGCCACAGTGCTGAAGTTATTCTGGGCTTTGCTGAGCCAGTCTGAGAAGGTTCTGAAGACACACTGAGCCTCTTCAATGCAGGACACCTCCTCCTGCAGCTGTTTGATCGTCTCCTGCAACACAAAGGCGGAGGATGAAACAATGTTAGGATCATGTCAAAATACAGATTTACAGAAAGATTTTAAAACTAAAAGTAAAGTAAAAGTTTAAAGCAACCAGGACAAACCTATCAACAAGCATGTATTCAAGTATATATATATATATATATATATAATATATATATATATATATATATAACATTAACATTATGTGTTACTGTGATACTGTGTGCTGTGTTCAAGAAGATGTTACCAGTAAATGCAGAAGCAGAGCGTGGTAGCGGGCTGTGATCTGAGTGGCTCTGGTACTGATCCGACTGCTAATATGGGTTTCATCCAGAACCTGCTGAGCCAAAAGACTGAGGCCCTCCATCTCCTCTTGATAAACCAGCACTTCCTCCTGCCAGCTCTGATAAAAGAAGGATCATTAGTGATGTTGGGGCAATTAGCTTCATTTTTCATTTCACTGGAAAGTGTCAGGAAGTTACATTGATTCCATTGGAAATGAATTTGCTGCAAGGCTCTTGTAAACTGCGGGAACTGCAGTGACCTGCTCTGCACTAAAAGTGTTCTGTCACTTGTGAGGAAATTATCCAGCAACTGAAACAGCATTGAAAACTATACATAATTATGCAGTTTTGCACAAGGGTAAAAATTATTTTCACATGCACACCCTGTGTGCACACTACGCTAACCTTTATTAGCTGGAGTTGAGCATCTTTAGTGGCGCGGTCAGACCGCCGATGGCTACGCAGTTGTGCTTTGGTCTCCATGCCCTTTAACCAGCTGTCGAGACGCTGGAACTTCTGCTCCATCTGTCGCAGTTTGGCCAGAGCACTGTTGAGCTGAGCCCGTGTGTCGGCCAGCCGGGCCTGGTACAACCTCCACTCCTGCTGCAGGGTCTCCAGCGCTCTATCCTCTATCTGAGGCAGTCCCCAGGGAACGACCAGTTCTCGACTGACCAGTAGAGTGTTTAACAAAGCCTGGCCCTCCGTACAGCGCAGCTGTAGTTCCTGTAGTGACACAGATGTGGTTGACCACTTTGAGCTCTCTAAACTTTTAGAAAACATATTACTTATGTGGAATAACATTTCAGGCTGTGTAGTAGTAACAGTAATATAATTAAATGTCAGTATTATTTACAACAATATTTCCACACTGATCATTTCCACACCTGCAGCTTTTGGAGAGTCTCCTCCAGCATATCAACATCGCCCTCCAGCTGGGTGTAGCAGGCGAGCTTCTCTTGTTCCTGTTCCAGCCAGTCCTCAAACGCATGGAGACCCCGCTGATACTCCTGGTGGGCTTTTACTAGTTCCTCTGCTTTGCCTACTGCCCTCTGAGAACACAGTGAGGATAATCAGTCGTAATCTAAGAGCTAATTGTCTTTTGTTTATGTGGCTCCTGCTTTGGTACTTTCACTTTTCACACTCTAACTGTGTGATACTTTTTAATGAATATTCTGTTGATGAATCTCACTTATCATATCAAATTGTGTTTAAACGTAAGAATGAGCCTTATTAAATGACAATAAACCATAGCTTTATGATGCCATTAAATTATCCTGTCACAGGTTTGTACATGTATAATTCTTTTGAAAGAGCAACAGAAAAGTGAACTGTATCACAGTACTGAAGCCAAAATGCATTTTAAATAGGATTCACTGCCTAGCGTTGTGCACTTCTGCTGCTCGTTACCATGGCATTGTCTTTGATGGTGTTATAGCGCTCTTGCAGATCTTGGAGCTCCAGCTGAGCAACATAGTTCTCAGCAATACTGGCACTCTTTGCAGTGATGGTGTCCAGCAGGGTGTTGTGGCTCAGCACTTCTTCATACAGCAACTGAAACAACAGGAAAGGTTGAGTAACATTATCCATCAACTGTGCATTAATTCATTGATATCTATTGTGGTTAAATGGCTCTTTGCTGGAAGATTTTAAAAACTTTCACTACTCATTTTCATTACTTGTAAGAATTTAGGGTTTAAATTCAAATATATTCTGTATTTAAACAACTATTAGAGTGGTAAGGTAATTCACTAACTCATATACAAGTCTTACAGCATGACAGAAAATTGCAGTACCTTGGCTTTGCTCAGATTTGCAGTTTTGTCTCTCATCTCTGGGCACTGTTTATCCGTGGGGTCAAGACTCTCCTCCACACGCTCAACCCACGCCACAAACTGTCGTACATCCTCCTGATAGCTGGTCCACTGAGACAGGGAACCCTCCAGCTGACTGTCAGTTTTAAAGAGTGCAGTGCGACAAAGTCAGACAACGGTAAAGTAGTTGTAGCAATAGTTGCAATACAAAACAGAAGCAGCTGCAGCGCTTACACACTGCGTGCACTTCACACTTTTTATAATTAACAGTTTGGGATTTTTTTTTTGTCAACAATGCTGTTGCTATGAAGCTACCAAAAGGGTGCTAGAAACACATTTTTAGGTGTTGTTACTTGTGGCAGAGAACAAACCTTTTGCACTGAATAGAAGCAGAGAGTAGAGCATCCCAGGAATCTTTTAGCTCCTGTATTTGTTTTTGGACTGCAGGCACTCCCTCAGCTGAGGTGTTTCTCTGAACTGACTCTCCTCTTGTGATCAGCATCTTCAGCTGGATCTCCTTCTCCTGCCGAGCGGTCAGCAAGGCCTGGTGCAACAATCACACGTGTATTTATTACAATGCTATATTGGGAATTTACTGTGATAACTCCTTGAAAACTACCAGCGACTCTGTATACCTCCAGCTTGATCATCCTGCTATCAAGAACGTTTTTGTCGGCAGTGGGGGTGCAGTAAGTCTGCAGCATGTGGCTCGTATCGGCCACCCAGTTCTGAAGCTCCTTTAACCCTTGGGAGAAAAGCTGGTGCTCGGTGACTATTCGATCGATCCGAGACGCCTTCTCCTGCAGAATTACAAAGCAGGACACAGTCAGAATATTATCACTATGAGTTTTAGAGATTTAATTCACACTAGGCTCAACCTGGTAATTGCACATGCAGATTCTTGAATGACTAATAAAGATTTAGTACAACAGGCATAAAGGAAACAAACTTGTATATCCTGTGTATAAGACTTATAGTAACAAAAGAAAGAAATTAGTTTTTAATTATGGTGTGTTAGTACCTTCTCTGTTTATCATCTGTAAAAATAACTTAAATCAGAGCTCGATCCAGTCTAGTGCCTCTGTCTCCTCTCCAGCTCTACCCCTAGAAAAGCCCCAGTGCACAGGTAGATTGGAAGGCATTACTGTACCTTGGTCAGGTTGGTTAAAGCTAGGTACTGAGCAGAGAGTTGCGAGACACGGTGCACAAAACCCTTGCCGGCCGCGTGTTCATCCCACAGCAGCTGGGCCTTCTCTTTCAGCCTGTTCAGCTGAACCTCGTGAGAGGCTAATTCCTCAAGCACAGACTGGAAGAGCACAAGCAGGTTATCAAAGAGGCATGCAAGCTGACACACAGATATAAGACAGTTAACTCCGGACACAGACTGAGGGGGTTAGAGATGGCAACATGGCAAAAAGAAAAGAGAATGAGATGTTTGGCCAGTGTTACTGTTAAAGCTCTCGGTGGTCAAGACGTGCAATCAAGGCCTCTGGAAACAGCTGGTAGATAGTTTTAAACACATTTAAAATGCCTTTTATGAATAAAGTGAGAATTAATTTCTATGACAGACACTTAAGAAGATGTGAAAATAGCAAAGAGGAGCAGAAAGATGGAATGAATTCAAAAAGCAAGCTACTGGCAGTTAGCATAAGCTCTTGGCAGTTCTTCCTAGGCAAATAATAGCTACGTTAAAACACTGTAATGTACAGTAGGTGGAATGGTGAGCTTCTGCACATGACAGGGGTAGTCAGGTTGGCACTCGAGCACTGAGTGGTTGTTGCACTTGAGCATGAGGGGCGTTCCAAGCTCGGTGGATTTTGGACATTGGTACCTGTAGCTTGTGAAGCTCCAACTTCTTGGCTGTGAGGTCATGAAGCCTCGTGCTGCTCTCCTGTACAGCCAGCTCGGTGACATTCAGACACTCCTGGAGGGGCTCGGCACTTGCCTCAAAATCCTTCATCTGAGACAAAAGGTTCTGAAACAAACAAAAGACACTGATGAGATGTTTCCTTGGCTTCAGATGTATTAATACACTGCAGGTTTTTACTGTGGGAATGACATGAAAGATGGCCCAGATGTTTAGATGCTTACTTGTAGACTTGCTTCTCTGTTGTGCAGGTTAGACATCATATTTTTCCAGTCCTCTCTGGCAGTGTTCATTTTTGCCCGAACTGCATCGACTTTGTCTTTACCTACGATAGTGGAGATGAGCTCACCGTTTGCAACCACAGCATTCAGCTTTGACTGACCTTGGTCTCTGTCACTTAGAAACTCCTGAGAGGAGAGACAGAAGAGATGAGATGACAAGTCGAGCACACAGTAAAACTCTTAATCTTGCAATTTTGGGTTATTTAGTTACAGTTACATTATGTATAAGGTTAAAAAAAAGAGACACGGTACTGAAGTGTTAAGTGGTAATCAAATCAATTTTTCCGACAGCATGAGGTCTCTGAGTGCTGTACCTGAATCTTCTGCAAGCTCGATGAGGCCTCGTTGAGATTTTGAGGTACATCAAAACACTTGGCTGTGTTGATTTTGGCATTGACCAACCACTGCTGGAACTCTCTGAAGGCGGAGCGGAAACCTTGTTCCAGCAGCTTCTCTTTGCTCTGGCACTCCCTGGACGCTTGGAGACTCAGACTAGAAACAAGTATAAAAGTAACATGTATAATTGTTAATCAATTTAGAGATCCATTCTTTTTTTCTGTGTGTGACAGAAAACTGAAAACAGAAATGCTTTTACTTTGAAAAAAAAAAAAAAAAAACCTTGTGAAATGTTACATTTTTGGTGACAGTGTGTTAGAGAGGTGTCGGTTCAGTTATATGGTAACTTGTCGTTGTAGCTTGCAGTCTGTGGTTTGTTGTATTAAGCTGTAGCTTACTGTAAAGTGTTTCTAATATGTTTGCTCCTCCAGATATGTGAATGTAGTGGTATGAAATGTTCAATGCAATTCAAAAATACACAATTACACTGTGGACGTTGCAGCCTTAATCATTAGTCATTCATTGTAGGGCTATTACACTGCATTGCAATGAACTGTACAAGTCACTCCTGATCAATACTTCTACAACAAATCCTGTGTAATGATCTGGAAAACATCTAAAATATCTAATATATCTTATAAATTAGACATAAAATATCTAAACGCTAAATGTAGTGACAGTTTACCTTGAAGAACCAGGACTATTATCTGCTATATTCATTCATTTTCTCACCTGTTGTATTCTTTAATAAGAGCAGACACTCTCTCAGACTGTGTGCCCATGTCTCTGGAGAACCGGCACAGATCGTTGAGTTGCGTCTTTAGACTATCAGACATGGGCTCAGCTTTGACAAGTTCCTCTAACATGTCCTGGATGGAAAACAGATATCATGAAGTGATGAACAACCAAAAGTATTTTATATGTTCTCGTAAACTACCGCTATTGTTGCTTGTTTCGTATTAAAGGTGGCTTACTATTAGGACTGCATTAAGCCAAGACCTACCTTTGCTATCTGCCACCGCTTAACAGCCTCCTCTCCATCCTTTTTGTCCTCTGCATGGGCCAAACGAAGACGCCAGTTGTGTAGCTTACGGTTGAAATCCTGCAGGTCGTGCTCGAGCTGTGCTGACAAGCTGCTGAACTCTTGTTCAGAGCTGGCTATCTGGGAGAGGGCCGTCTCCAGACTGGCCCGTGTCTGTAGCGCTCCACGTTCCCACTGTTCCCATGATGACAATAAGGCTGCTTCCTCTCGCTCCATAGCCTCATAGCCCCCCGAGCCAGTGTGATCTCTCGCCACTGCCCCACATCTTTGAACCCGATTCAGCCTCTCTCTGCCTCGCTGCTTAGAGTCAAGCAACTCCTGAGAAGAGAAATTTATCACCTCTGTCAACTTAAAAAAGTACTAGTTATAAGTTTAGAGAAGTGCTATCTTTAAAGCATGTAATTTTAAATACAGTTTTCCCCAGGGCCAAAAGGGCCTAACAGGAGTCTTCTCAGGTATGCTGAGGTCTTCGATCATATTAAAGGGAATAATAAAATATAAATCTGTCGTCACAAGTGGTAAAAATGACTGGACATTAATGCTCAGTCTTTCCTACACGGAGAGGAGCTCAGTTATCCTAGAATCTCATCTCAGAGTCAAGCTACTACTCCACTGAGAGGATCCAGCTAAACTGGTTCAAACACCTACTAACAATGTCTCCCAGGTGACTCAATGTGGAGGTATTGAGGCTAAAGCTGGGATGGGAGAAGTCCCAGAGTAGATATGACAGAAAACACACTGAAGGTCAGACATCTCTCATCAGGTAGTACAACATTTTTGAGTTTCTCACCTGCACTTTGGAGAGTTTTCTTTTAATAGAGAGTGAGTTTCCTGACAGGTCCGACCAGCGCTGGAGTTCCTCTTTTGCTGAGATCAGCCAGTCGTTGAAGTCTCTCACAGCATCAAGATACTGCTCATGCTCAGACACAATGTTTTGCATGGACTGCACTTTACCCTTTGGGGATAAAAAGACAATGTAAACATCGACTACTGTGTACGGTACTGTGTAAAACAGCTAAATGTCCATCTAAGATACTAATGTACTAGTGGCCAAACTTGCATGATATAACCAGCTTCTCAGACACAATTTGGAAACTTAGATCAGCTTGTAAGAAAAGGGTCCCATGATGCTAAGTGTTTGCTCTGTGAGAGTGTTCTTTAATGTTCCCATATCCACACCTTCTTTTTTGCTGACCCAGTTTTCCTAAATTATTCATCTAAGGTTTGGCAGGTATTTGCAAATACTATTAACCAATGCATGTATCTAGATCACCTTGACAACAGCTGAGATATCAGCAAAATGTGCATTGAGCTCTGCCCTCGACTCTGGTCCAAAGGTCTGGTCGCCAGTTTTTTCATGCATCTCCACGGCTTTGTCTGTTAGGCGTGACAGCGCTCCTGCGTGAGCGTCCACGTCGGCCAGGATGGCTCTGAGTCGCTCAAGCAAAGCGGATTTCTCTTTGAGGCCAGGCTGCTGAGGCAGAGTCATCCCAACCTCCTGCTCCACTGACTCCATCCACTGCTGCAGCTGGCTCTTGTTCTCCTGAAAGCTGGTCCACTGGGCCACGGTCCACTCCAGACGACTATGAGCAACGATAAAATGTTATTAAGCAAGGTAGAACAGCACAATGCATGTTACTCTGGGTTATGAACTACGGTGACACTGTTATCAGCCTTCGATCTGACAGTTCTCCCTGAAAGAATAAAAGAGGACACATTTCCTACCTGTGGCAACTCATTGAAGTCATCAACATATTGGCCCAGGCATCCTTCAGGCTCTGTAGCTGTGAACAAATGGCCTCCTGCCCCTCCATTCTGTTGTGCTTCAGGACCTGTTCTCCTTTTCCCACTGTCATGTTGAGCTTCACTTCACCTTCGCCTTTCATTAGCAGGATATCCTACACACAGAGGAAAACAGTTTTACAGCAAATAGAAAAAAACATGGACTCCAAAGTAGTATGTTCTCTTTGATCAGGGCATTATTCACTGACCTGTACAAGACCCAGCCTTTTCTCCAGAGTCTCTTTATTGCCAACTGTGCTGTTGAGTGAAGCCAGGCGCTCCTGGACTCCGTTAAGCCAGGTCCAGGTAGTCTGCAGTGTCTCTTCAAAGGCCTGTTGCTCCTGTAAAGTGAGCTGGCAGCTGCGCAGCCGTTCTCTCACACGCCTCAGCAAGGCCTGGTGCTGTGACTGCAGCTGAGCTGACACCCTCGTCTCACTACCGTCGCCTCGCCCACCTTCATTTAGCGCCTGGCCCTCCTGGCATAAACGCTCAAATGAGTCCCTAAATGGAAAGAAGTAAAATGTTTTAATATGTTCTTTGATGAATGAATTGGAACAATAATTAGGGATCCTTTTAGGAATACTGTCAGATGCTACAAAGACATTAGAAGCCTATCTTGTTTTATTAGTAGAAACACAGAGTAGAGGCACCTTTCTTTGAGCACTTCCTGCTGATATTCCTCCACTTGCTCAAGCACAGCCTTTTCAGGACCACGCTGACTGGCTTCCAACAGATCCGTGGTCATCCTCTTTTCCATATGTTCCAACCACCACCTGAGCTTCTTGAGGCGACCCTCGAACCTATAAGGAATTTCGAATGGCATATTCATAAATAGAGGGGTTTGCAATGTGCTTTACAGAACCGGTTCATGTAAGTCTCTTACCCTTTCATGAGGGATGCGCTGTCCTCCAGGATCTGTTGGTTCTGTCTGCACTGCTCCACAAAGCTGTCCCAGTCCTGCTGGATGGAGGAAAGGTGCTGCTGGACCTGCCCGGCACTGGCTTTGGGAAGATGGAGTAGGAGCTTCTCTCCTTCTTCACAGACCTGTGTGAGACGGACCTCACCCTCCTCCACACGATCCATGGCGCCCTGACAGATAATCCAAATCACTTTTAGCTTTGTACTCGTAGCTCCTGGCATGTGTGATATTTTCTGAATTAGGACCTAGCTTTACCTTTAGTTTCTGTAGTTTGCGTTCAACAATTTGAGTGTCTCCAGATCGGTCAGAGCATTCTTTCACTATCTCCCTCTGTTCGGAAAGCCAGCGATGGAACTCCTGAACTAGGTCTGAGGAGCAAAGGGAAAAGAAAATGAATATCTGGTGGAGACTAAAACAGAGTCAAGTTTAAACTCACACATACATGCCTTCCCTCGGATAGGAAAAGGAATAGGCTGCTAGTTGTGTAATGTATTGCAGAATGTATACATTTACTTAGTATTACAATAGTGCGGCATGTAAGCCACCACATCAAGCGGCCACTTAGTAAAACTACACATTTCCCTCAGATGTTTTTCAGATTTCTTACCATTGAACTGCTGCTGAAGACAGTTCTGCAGTGACGCGAGTGTCCTGGCAGACAGCTGGTTCGCAGACTCATAGGTCTTGATGAGATCAGTGAGTGCTGAACCCAGACCAGCCAGCTCTTCAGAGGGATATTTTCTACACAGGGTGTTGAGGCTCTCCCTGGTAGAGTCAATGCTTCCCTGCTGATTTTGCAGCTCTTTCTGAAGGTCCTTCGAGTATATGTAAAAAATTGATTAGTAGTTGATTCGCTTCCTCACATTCTCATCTCTGATATTTATAGGAAAAGAAGGGTTGCTTAGGATTAAGATCAACACTGTACCTTCACTCTGCAGATGTCCTCAGGATCTGATCCAGTGGGAGAAGAAACCAGGGAATCCTCCATACTTTTCAGCCATGCAGACATCTGTGAGATGTAATCCTCCAGCTGTTTCCTTTGGAAACTGAAGTCCATGAGGTTTCCCCTGGCCTGCTCATGGAGCTTCTGAACAGTGCTGATCTTCTTACGCAGGTCATTCTCCAGCACCTGAAGCAAGAAGAATTAAAGTTTGTGGGTGACACATACAGTATGTATATGGAGAAGGGAGCCCTACTTCTTCTGTGGGGAAAAAAAACAAAATAGATACGATTATTATCATATTTAATACCTGTAATTTAGCAGGAGTCTCTTGACTTTGACTACACTTCTTCAGCTCTGAGACTCTGCTCTGCAGGGCTTCAAGTTTCTGTTCCTTCTCGCCCATTTCTGCCTGTGGATGTATTAAAAGAGAAAAAGCATGTATTACACCCTTCTGAGTGGCTTTGTTTGGTATTCTGCAAGATTTAATATTTGCATTGTCCTGTGTAAAAAACCACATCTAAACAAACCATTACCCTCTTTTACTGTGACATCAGAAACCATACCTGTAAGGTAGAGAGCCTTTCCGACACCTTCTGACTGTTGTTGAGGTTGTTGAGGCTTTCATTTAGTTCAATCACACAGCTGCTTGTCCAGCTCTCGATGTCCTCGCTGATTTTACGCACATCATCCCACAGAGCTACACTCTGGTTCAGGCGATCAATGTTGTCATCTATTTTCTCAGACACCTGGGGAGTGGATTCAATAAGCCACACATGTTTACTCTGTGTTGTAAGTATTGAACAGAGCTTTTATGTTTTATATCAGAGTACAAACAAAATGTTTCTTGACCATTTCATGTATACTAATTGTACGTGGCAATTAAGATATTTTAACTTCACAGTGAATCTTTTGTGGCTGAGAATTGTGGCACAAACCTTCATGTCTCTGACCACACAGGACAATACTGTGTGTGTGGACATAAGTGTGATCATGTGTACCTGAGACCAACAGTTTTATCACATATGGTTTGAGGATGTGAAGCAAAGAGAATGTCCGTAAAACTTTCAACAGACTATTGTAAAAGGATTTCCTGCTTGTGAAGAAATCTCATTATAAAACCAAAACCAAAAATGAATTGACCCCACTTAGAAGTAATGTCAATGTAGGCGAAACCTAAAATAGCTTGTTTCTGTGTAGAAACTCTATTGTTGTCACACACATCACATCAACACATCAGGATTGTAGTCAGACTCACGTCCAGCCACTGATCCACTAGTGTCTCCATATCCTTCTTCATCATTTCAGAGTCACAGTCGGGGATCTTCTTCAGTTCAATCACTAGTTGTTTTCCTTTGCTGGAAAACTGGTCCAGGTCATGTTGCTTGACCGCCATCTCTGTCTTCACCGCCTCATGCTAGAAATGGAGCAAACACGGCGAAACATTTAAGCAATCTGATAACCAGTCATAAAGCTTTTTTCTTTTTTAGGATTTGTGTCATGAATAGATTAAATTTAACAAAGAGAGATCACATCCTCAAAGATTTCTATTTTACTAAGCTTAACAAGACCTTGATAAAAAATATTTTGACATTTATTCGGACCTTGGTTAGTGACCTCTTGGTTTCCTCGTGGTCTTTCAGAACAGAGCTTATGTCAACCAGAGGCTCAGTGCTCTCAATTACGCTGCTGATGGAGGTTTTCAGGATTTGGTATTCTCTCATGAGCTCAACAAGAACATTGCACTGCTCCTGTCTGTCAAAAGAAGAGCGATCTATATTACCCATACAAGCTTATATGTAAACAAACAGTAAAAGAAACAATTAAGTGGATAAAAGAGAAAATGCATTTTTTCTTAAAAACTTCTTTGGAGTTGGGATGAAAAACTCTTTCCCGTCCCCGCACCTCTCTGTGATGAGCTTCTTGGTGTCCTCCCACGTGGTCTCCAGCAGACTGATTTCCCTCAGCACCTCCCCGGCCAGCTCCGCATCTCTCTGGGCCAGCTGGTTGCCCTTGTCCCTCAGCCACTGCTCCTCATGCTGGTGAGACTGTAGTTCATCCTCCAGCTGATTAAAGAACCTCAGCCTGACAAACAAAGGGATAATATGATGCTGTCGTCCGCATTCTCGTATCCACTCATGGGTGTTTGTTAATAGTGCAAAATGGTAATATTATCATTGATATCATTGACCTTATATTGCTTTACCTCTGTTGCAGAGCATGCAGGCTCGGCTCTTTGAAGCTCTGGTGATCTGCTTTTTCTTCAATGTCCTCCACAGCTTTGAGCAGCTGTTCTTTCCGTTGTCTAAATGAGGTCCACAGAGCCCCTAGGGCCTCCGCCTCACTCTGCTTAGTACCAAGTAGGTTCCTCACTGTATCCAGCTCAGCACTGAGTGAATCAGCCAGCATACGACATGACTTACGAGACCCCTCTTCAGCACCGATGTGGAGATGGCTTTTGCAGAGACTACTGTCCAGATTGACGGCCAGGGTCTCAAGATGGGTAATGTCTGGGACAATAGTGGCCAGTTCCTGCTGCAGCTCCTCTACTCTTCCACGATCCCAGCTCCCTGCACTCTCCACAGTCTGTCTCAGACCCCGCAACACCCCTGCAGCCACACTGTGGGTCTGCAGAAAAGCCTCAAGCCTTTCCAGACACTCTAACTGGAGCTCAGCTATGTGCTGGGCCTCTATGTAGGGCTGCAAACAGCTGTCTGCTCTGCTGCGGAGGAGCTGTGCATCACCAGGCTCACAGAACTGACAGAGCTTCTCGGCCTGCTGCTCCAAGCTCTGTCTCACACTGGACTGCTTCTGCAGGGCCGCCTGGGTCTCCTGTCAAAAAGCAAGCGACAGGGGATCAGGTGTTGCTCTTAAGCAAGTTGCTATTCATCTGCTCACTGTCTTTATATGGTCCTGGTGAAAAGCAGCATTCCACATGCACAAATGGATAGCAATAAATCTTACCTTTACTTGTGTGGCGGCAGACTGCAGGTTGCTAATGTTGACTTGAGAAGCTGAGTGCACATTTGAGAGCATGGCCTCACTCCATTGGGAGAATTTAAGCAGGGCCTGGTCAAACTGCTCCACCAGGGAGAGGTGGTTCTGAAGATCTTTGATTCTGTGGGACAAAACGGCAGCATAGTGAGTCAAATCAATCTTAGTACTTAGATGATTATAAAAATGGATTTTGTGAAGAAAATTACAATGAAAAACTTTTATTTCCAGTTCAACTATCTATCTGTACCTTTGAGGCAGGATTTCATTTTGAACGTGCAATCTCTTCTGCAGAGTCTCCAGCTCGTCTTTCAGCTGCCTCACTCTCTCTTCAGGTGCAGTCACATACAATGAGTTTCCCAGAGACACTAGCTCAGCATGAGCCGGCTCCAGGTACTGGACTTCAGAGTGCAAGGCCTGAAGGGAAATTTTTATTTTTTATGTATGTTATGTATTAATTTACCATTTCTTTTAGGGTCAGGACTTGGTTTTAGATGCGTTTAGTAGAAGAAGAGATTTGTACCTGCAAATCTTGTAGCTCTGTGCGGAGTTTGGCTTTATCAGCTGACAGACACTGACTCTCCAGTTTGGATGCAGACTCACTCCTCTCCAAGCAGGAAACAAAGTTTGAACGCTGTTTCTCATACCTGAAACACATCAATAGAAACACTGGTATCTCAAGGAGTAAAAATCTGATTTATGCTTCCATTTTCACAGTCAAAGTGGAGGGTACATTCATTATTCATTATTCTTATGCTATTAAAATCCTGGGATGTGTCCTGTCTGTTCAACAGCTCTTACTTTTGCCAAAGGGAAAGCAGGTTCTCCAAAGTGCTCTGCTTGTCCTTTGCCTCCTGTATGTTTTGGTCATAGCTGGAGTTCAGCTCTGTCACAGTCCTCTCGGCTTGCTCTTTGTCACTGAGTCTGCGAGCACCAGCTGACAGGGACAGCAAGGTTCCCTTCAGCCTTTCAAGACCCTGACAGACGTCCTGGGGAACATTAACCGTAAAGGACAGTGACCCACACAGCATGACCTGAGAGCTGGAAGACTTGCACAGGAAGGATCAACCGGCACTGCTTTGCACTTCAATTTCAAGTACCATTGATATGAATATTTTTTTTTTAATCAAAGCAGCAAAGAAAACAATTGCTCAGTACGAAGTGCAGAGAAAAGAAGAGACAACTGAATACCATGTGGTTCTGAAGAGCTTTGTAGGTCTCTGATGAGGAGGTGCAGGATTTGATAGGATGTTCCAGTTTCGTATGTAGCTCATCGAGAGATGCTTGCACCTAGGAGACAATAAAGATCACAAATGTATGATCATATCTTTCCTGATTACGTTACTGTATCGTTATCACTCAGCTTTACTTACAGTCTCGAGGCTTGTTTTAAACTTCTGCTGGTGAGAGGAGCTTTCCTCCAGCTGTCCATCAAGCTGCTGTACACTCTCCCTCAGCTCCTCCCAGTACCTGCCGATTTGGGTCAGACGAGCCTTAATGCGAGCTGCCTCCCCCGAAGACACAAACTGGGCCAGCGCCTGGGAATCTGCCTCCAGCTGAGAAAGGACCTCGGCTCGTCCTTGAAGCTCTGTGCCAACGGTCTGGACATGCACATATGGATGCAAAACAATTAACAAAACAAGCCTGAGATAATCACCCAGTCTTTTATAACTGTCCAGTGTAGGTGAAACACTAATGAATTGTGGTGCCTGTAACAGCCTTGTAGGCTGCTGTCGAAAACGTGGCGCCTACATTACTCACAGTGCAACTCAGAGATTCCATTCAGCAGATGCCATTTAAATCACTACAACAATAAAATAAAACACATTCATGGTGTATGTTTAACTGAATAAAGCTTTCGTACAGCTTTCTGAAAAAAACGTCCAAATAACACGGCAGGCTGTGAGCACTGAAACCGCTATGTCTAAGAAAAAGGAAAGCAGACAGTTCCTCATCTCCTTGTGTTGATGATAGAGGTTTAAAGCAGGTGTCGGAAAAACAGACAGTGTGTCAGCGCTTGGGCAGAGAAGGCCTGTGTCTTGCCCAACACCAATTGCTCCTTAAGAAGGCCTTATTGATTTTAACGGCAGTGTAGAGTGGTTTTTGCGGTTGATGCTTTCTGGGAAAAGATTACTGTTTGGACATAAGAGGGTTGTGAGCTTCACAGTACACAGCACTTTACCTTTACTGTGTTGATCTGTTGCTCAAGATTCAAGGTAGAAGATTTCAGTACATCCAGCTGCTTTTCCTTTTCAGATATCCACAAGGAAAAGGTTTCAAAACCAGCTCCGAACTGGTCCCACTGAGTTTTCATTTCCTCCAGAGTCTTGACACTGGAGCACAAGAGGAGACATTTTAAATTGGCAAAGTAATAGCTGCAAATAAACCTCAGCATTTCACTACATCTTAGTTCTTGAGATCGTGTAATTCATCGCACAAAAATATTCTGAACTGACTCTCAAATATTCCCGTGTTACTCTGTACATGTCCCTTGCAAAAACCATTAAGTACGTGCAAATACTATCTGATGTCTCCTCAAACATTATTTAGCACAAGAAAATATAATCTAATCCATCATCTTACTCTTTTTTGAGCCCAGCCTCCACTGTGTCCACTTGCTCACTGAGGGAACGAGCTTGCTGTAAAAGCAGAGTCTTGTTTTTGGGACCGAGCTGAATTTCTGTCGCTCTCTTCAGCAACGTGTTCATATGCGAGGCCTCTGCTTCACACTGCTTCAACAACACCTGTTTACAAAATAAAGAATATTGGTAATACTCTCCATCTAGCTATAATAAATACCATTAGTTAAACGTCAAGATTAAAGCACAGGATATGTGTCGCTTACTCTAGCCTGGTCAAGCTCAACAGCCAGGCTCTCTGGACTGCTGAAGTTCAGGTCTCTCTCCATTGTTGAGCGGGCCTTGTTGACAAACTCATGCACTGCTTCCTGCTGGCTGTCAAACTCCTGCCAGGCTGCCAGTGTGACCTGGATGGATGACAATGTTTAGATCAGTGATGTCGAAAGGAAAATCGATTTCATTTATACAGCACTTCCCATTCTCACTAGTCCTTGAATTCAGTGTAAAGGTCACAGTGAGAAAAGAATTATAACCTAATGGCAGGAATCCCAGATCAACATCACGACCAGAAGAGCACGCTGACACACGACTGTACTAACAAACCATTATGTCTATAGATGACACTTCTGTCTTTGGCTTTATCATCAGGGGGGATGAGTCAGCATACTGACAGAAGCAGCACAGCGAATATTCTGCAAGCACTTCACCCTACTGGATATCAGCAATTCTGCTAATGAAAGAGCTGGGAACATGAAGTTCATTGGTGTGCACCTTACTGAGGATCTCATACCTAGATCTTTAATGCATCCTCAATGGCACAGAAAAGCCCAACAAAGTGTTCATGTCAAGACTCCCACCCCCACCCTTCTATAAAAGCACCACCAAGAGCATGACTCACTGCATCACTATCTTCTAAAGGGGCTGTGCTGCCTCAGAAAGCAGGTCCCTCCAGCAGAAAACATCAATCAGACCTCTCTATCCTCTATTCAGGACATTTTCCACAAATGCTGCATCTGCACAGCCCACTGCGTTAACAGGAAGCCCTCTCCTCTTTGCCCTGACCAGGCTCTTTTCTGTCCACAAAATGTTTGTTTCCCTTTAATTTACTTAACTTGGCTTCATTATTCATTTATTTACAAGGGACAACACACACTAATTAACATCAATATGATGTAATTGTGTCAGAGATGGCCAAAAGGCGCAGTCCCTGGGAACGTTGATGTTACACATTAAAAGATACAAGCAAGACAGAGACATAGTAAAAACCATTACACAGCAGATACTGAACATAAAAGCACATACACACACAAAGACTAAACATCACAAACTTCAAAACTAGAGACGGCGTTCTATAGCAGAGGTGAAATAAACACAGCTTCAGCTAATGTCAGAACAAAATCTTCCACTTTATTGACATAACAGTACCCTCGAGAGAATGGAGCAATTAATGACCACATTCAATTACTAAATTGATCACGAGATGAGATGTGTCAGGATTCATCTCAGAGTCTGTCAGTGATTGGCTGATCAATAACAACGACAGTCTGAGGCTGCAGCAAAACCGACCTTCCTACTTTGTAACTTTACTTTTGCATGTTATTATTCAGAGTGACAGTGCTTTAATCCAGCACAAGTTTCCTGAATCACTACAAATTCATAACACTGCTCACCTCAAGGCTTTGCTCCTGTGAATCCATATTCTGCTCCATTTTGCTGAGTGTGTTTTCCAGACTCTGCAGGTCCTGCTGCAGAGTTTCTCCCAGACCTTCCTCGGCCTGGAGCTGCTGACCTCTGGTGATCAGCTGCTGGACATCCTTCCTCTTAAGCTTCAGGCGTTTCAGCAGTTGCTGTGGAAAGGGGGGGGGGAATTAAGGATTAACTTAATTTTAAATTAATCCTTAAAACCAAACTCTTAAAATAACAAAATCGGATTATTTTTTGTGCACAGTACCTGGTGAACAAGTAGCAGTTGTTGAGCTTCTCTGACAGTTGGACAGTCCAGTATTTTGGTGACCTCAGCCTGCGCCTCTTTCTGCCCGTGAACAAGATCATCCAGAGTCGTTTGTACTTCTTCCCTGAACTGCACACAGTCCCCCACAGCCAGCACCATCTTCTCAGCCTGGAGGATAAAAATACAGCGCAATAACAAAAATGATGAACTGATGAAGGGGTGTGAAGATCAGTTTAGTACAAATATGCATTTTACCCATAAATGAAAGTGCTCTAATAATGAATAAATAAACATCACAGATTGTTGTACTATTTTTGTATAAGGTACTACTACATACTACATACTGTAGATTTTACGGAGGGGGATATTTTGTCAGGATTGTGTCTGGCACCTTAATAAAACAAGTGGAAGTTTCACCTACCTCTAAGAGCGAAGCAAGAAGACCCTTAAAATCAGTAGAGAGCTTGCTCAGTGCACTTCCTTGCCTCTGGGCATCGCTGTCAGCGCAGATTTCAATCATTCCGGCCATGCGGGCCTTCAGCCAGCCAAGATTCCCCTCCTGTAGCTCTGCATCATTCCTAAGCTCCTGCACACAACAACAGAGTGTGATACACACCGTGTGGTGAGACGAGTCATCAGACGCCAAGTGTTTTTGTTGTCTCATCTCCTCAGCGGTGACACTGACACGACAGTAGCACATCACAAGTGACATATCGTAGAGGAGGCGAGGAGGGGACTGTGGAGGGTATGTAAGGGACAAACTCACCATGATGGTAGCCTTCACCTGGCTGTATTTTCTGGGATCGTTGGCTCGGTTTCTCAGCAGCCTCAGTTGGCTTTCTTTAGATATGAGCCAGCAGGAGAATTCAGCGTACCTGTTTCACACCATGAATAAAAGATTTCACTTCAAACTCAGAGGGATGTCAGGAATAAATAACACTAGTGCTTTAATGTAATGTAAGCCAAAAATGTAATCAAACTTCAGGGCTAAATGGGATACGTATAAACCCAACTGTCTGGATCAGTTCATGTGTTCTACTTCATGGTCAGCAGTGTGTGGAAGAACAACATCTTTACAGTAATGAGACACATTTTGTATTTTGTAATCTATTAAAGAAATCTGCAAGGAAAACTTTCTCCTCACGACAACTATCGCTCTGTATCTCAAGTGAATGGAAGAATTTTAACGTGATTACTTTGGGTATGTAATGAATGCACGACACTGCGTGGGAATGCATAACACATTCTTCTGCCGCTGCAACGATTCTACAACAGTAGACCTTCAGTTAAACTCTTCTGCTGTATGAACGGTGCAACCACTGCAGCACTGAAAGAGCACTTCGCCACGATAAGAAGCTTCTTCAGATTACTGCACCTTGTGTTGTACTCCTTCCATTTATCCGGGTGCTGTAATATCTTCTGATGGGTGTTCTCAATTTCCTCTTGGACCTCAGAGAAGTCCTTTCTTGCTATTTCCAGGGTCTGGTGAGCAGGGTCACCCTCAGGGAGTTTTTGACAAAGTTCCTCCATCAGCTGCAGCCTTTTCTCACAGATGGACTGAGGGCCCTTTTCCCTAAAGAAGGCCTAACATAAAGAAAGCTATTTAAATTGGTTCACTTGTGTCGAGCACCATGACCACAGCATATCATCGGTTTTAGTTCAGTTACAGAAAAAAAATGTTCCAGAGCTTTACATTCAGTGAAATGTGACAGTCTTAGATTTTATGGCAATAAAATATTACATTTTGAAGCTGAATTTACTAGACACTGGAAGAGCCTCGGTTCTTTTAGATCAAGTTCATCAAAATCTTCCCAAGCTGCTACACAGCAGTGAATTTGCATCGAATTATTTCACACTGAGCTAATCAATACATGAAACTCGGCCAGCCAGCCGCTCCGCGCTCACCCTGTGCTCCTTGATGAGCCTCTCGCTCCCCATGCTAGCCAGGTGGCGGTTCTCCCTGGTCACCTCTGCCTGGCACTCCTGCAGCGACAACATCAGCTTGCTCCTCTCCACCTCCACTTTCAGGTGCAAGAGGTGAAAAGGGGCGTCTGTCTGGATATCCTGGAAGAGACAAAAGACAACTAGTCCACCTAGCTCAACCTACTTGCACCAAACTAAACATCATGTTAATTTTGCTTGTTCTAGTTCACGTCTGTAAAAGGTGGAGTAATTCAAACAAAGTAAAGATTTTTCATCAGTTTGTGTTTGTGGGATTTGTGAAAAAAACATATTGATATTTAACATCAAATCAATGCAAAGTCAAGACTGTGACCATTAGTCATTTGACCCATATGTATTTATCACACCTGTGCACTGTTGACAAAGTGATTTCACCACTGTGCAGATTGACGTGACTTTAGCCACCAGCGTGCAGAGTTATAGTGCAGTTTTTACTGTCACTGTTCATGACACCAACCTTCCAGTGTTTGTGCAGCTTCCTGACTGTTTCCTGCAGCGACTGCTGCTCCTGCTCCGGCAAAATGTCTGTCAGCTCATCACAAGCCTTGAGGAATGTATTCAAAACTCGCTGGTCCAGCTGACCAAAGAATTCCTGAAAAAAAAAAATCAAGTCCTCATCGTGTTTCACACTCTGTACGGGACAGGTCATGAATATTTTACATGCACTTTACTTATTCTGTTGTTTAACTGTGTATTCCAAGAAGCGCCTGCTCCATGCTGCACCGGGACTAATGGTGGTATTCACATAGATTAGTTATGTAGAAGTTATGTATGGTACTGGCACCTCAGAGTGTAGGTTGATATAAAGTTTTGAGTGTCTCATCTGTACACTTTATGCATGCTTACACGAAACAAAACTGTGACGAGACCATGATGGTTGCGTGCACTGGTCTATGGATTACAGTGTAGCGTGGGGTACTGCAGGGTACACTTAAGAGACTGGAAAAAAAAAGACCCATTTTCTTACTGTGTGTTTCTTGAGCAGCTCCTCTGGGTTGCCTCTCTCTGTCAGACAGTGCTGTGCCATTTTAAGAACCTTCTCCAGCTCCACCCGTGACTCATCAAACCTCTTCATGAGGCTGCTGTTCGCCTCTACGTGCTTCCGCCACTCAGTAGATTCTTTAATCATTGTCTAAACACACAAACATGTAACAGTAATATTTTTTTTAACAGCTTAAACACAAGGTTGCATAAAAGTGAAACAGGCCTTGAGTTTTACCTGTGAGGACGCCTGCAGGTCTCCGACTCTTTTCTGCAGAAGACTCATGTCCATGTGCTGGAGGGTTTTACTGCTGTTCATTATTTTCTGGATAGTCTGGTGGTTTCTCTCTATCACTGTCAGACACTTCTTACAGCTGTGTGTGAAGGTCGCCAGCTCCTGCAGTATTCAGTGACAAGCAGGGTTTTAGCCATTTGTTCATATTCTGAGGCTTTTAATTATCAGTCCAAAACATGTTTCTCTTGGCATTCAGCTTTATCTTTATCCATGTATCTGAAAGTCATTCAGTAAAAACTGGCACCATAATGCTCTTATATTAGTTACCTGGCATCTCTGTTTAAAGTCTACTGGTCCCTCAGAGTCTGTGGTGCTGGTGATATGACTGGCCTTCTCCAGAGCCTGGTAAAAGCCTGTAATGTTCTTCTCCATTTCTTCCAGTGGAGGTAATAAAGATTGGGATTCCCTCAGCAGAGGCAAACTTCTCTCTCTCACCTGATTGGAAGACAGCATGCTGGTTATTTATGTATGTATATTTTGTAATTATATGTTGAATTACGAAGGAGATATGTTGTTTTGATCAATAACATCAAATAGTAATTTTGGATAATTAACTACATTTTACATATCCTTAAAACAATCATTTGCGTATAATTTGCATAAAGTGATAAGTTATGATGCAGCAAATTTAAATTCAATCCAATGCCAAAGAAAAAAAGCAGTAGCACTAATTTCCCTTTACGTTTACATAGAATAACCTGCTGTATTTCTGGGTAATATTCAGGTAAATTATTTTGTGGTTGCTACAACATGTGAACATTTTTTTTTTTTGTATTAATAAGTATGCATCCCCTCTTAGATCAGGCTGATGACAGTGATAAAAAAATATTAAATACTGGCACCAAATATCTGTTACAGTAGTTTCAATACCCGTAGGTATCAGTATCAGCTGTGACAATCACACGCCACTTTAAACACACATTTAAAGACAGGTTAAACAATCGAATGAGATACTGTATAATGACATGCACACACCTTGCTCAGCTGTTCTTTGATCGAGGCCATCACAGCCATCATCTGTGAGACCTCCTCCTGTGGCGTGTCTTTGGTCAACAGCTGAGCCGTCCGACTCGCTGCCTTACAGGCTGCTTCCATAGCTGGCACTTTGTGCTTGACCTCCTGCAGGAAGTTGGGATATACAAATAAAGTATGTTGTAAGCTGTACAAGGAGGTGTGTCTGTTGTTTAAGCCTACCCCCACTCATTTGAATGGGGCTGACAAAATAATCAGAATACCTGTCAACATAGCAAAATGCAGTTCAACATCGCCACAAACTGCAGCCCCCAGAATGATCACTCAGCTGAATCAACAGCTCTTCAACACAGTTTCAACAAAAACTAAACATTAAAAATCTTCATGGAGGGAGGATTTACTGCAGGATTATTGTATCAGACTGCATTAGCTTTAGCCAAGTGTTCCTAGCAAACTGACAACTGAGCTCATACATGGATCGTTTACCTCAACATCTTGAACAAAGGCTCTGACGTTCAGGAAAGACACTTGGACAGGAGCAGTCATCTTCTCATTGGTTGCATCCATGAACATCTTTAAGGTATTAATACCATCTTGGTAGTCTTGCCTCAACTTATCCACCTCATCTGCTCTTGCATACTGTCGGTCAAACAGAGGAAAACAGATGGATGAATTTGATATTCTTAAATAATTCAGCTGTAACATTTTTTCATGTTACATTTGTTGTTGCATTTACATGTTTGACTTTGACGAACAGCTCCCTCCATCTCCCGTTCAGTAGAAGCAGCTGCTGCTTCAGATCTCGGGAGACTGTTTCATCACAAGTCTCAATGAGGAAGTTCCCAGCATCGTTCATGTCCATGTGCTGCTGGATCCAGTGAGAGAGGTTTCTGAAGAAATCCTAAAAGAAGAGAAGAAAACAAAGAACATACCTGTGTAAATGCACATCGTCCAGCCAATTAGAGCTGTGTCTACTGTGGCTATGGTAGAAACATTCGACACACAGGTTAGGAACAAAAATAAATGCTGTACATTAGAAATAACACTGTTCATTATCAGTAGCTTCAGTGACTCTACTTACACGTTTGGCATTTTCTGACTGGTTGAGCATCTGCTCAGCATCCTCCAGCCAGGCCTGCAGACCTGCCACTGTGCTACTGTACTTCTCCCAGTTGGAGATCACCTCCTCCAGCATGCTGCGAACACTGCGCACCTCCAGAGCCAGATTCTTCCACTGAGCCGTGGCATCACTGAGGAATTTACTTACCCCCTCTGCTTCATCGACTGCAAATCAAATAAGGAGCTAGTTCAGTTTAGTTAAACTCTAACCGATATGGGTTTCAGGTATACAAAAAAAAAAAAAAAGAATTTCATTATGTCTGCTGATCATTAAGCCATTCAGGTGATCCTACAGTGTGTTAGGTCAGAACGATCATGCTAAAGTAGCTTTTCAACTACTGTTAGATTACCGTTACTTTTTCATGCTTAATGCAATACTATGCTTTTTCTGTTCTGAGGGTTAAAAGTATGTTAGAAAAGAAAAGCGCAGCCCCACATTTACAGAAAGAAATGGCTCAGGAGACAGGCAAAGTTCAGGTTTTGAAGATTGTCAGACTGTTTTTGGACTTACCTCTGTTACAGGTCTTAGACCCTGTAACATGAAATCGATAATAAAACCATTTACTTTGAGCCCAAATAAACATTTATATACATGTATAATGTCTGTAAACAATAGACAACTTGCACTAAAACAGAAAAGAGTCTTACTTGAACTATCAGACTTTACATAAACCTCTGCAGCTTGCTGGAGGGCTGTGAAGATTATCTCATACTGCTCAAAGAACTTGTGGCCTTCAATGAAAGTCTGTAATGAAAAGGCAGACAAAAGTAATGATATTAAATAGTTTGATAGACACTGTGCAATACTAACTCTCCTACTACAGTGCCAATTATTTCAACTTACAAGGTAGCTTTGCAAGAGGAGCTCAACTGAGTCCCGCCGGCCATACTTAATGATCCAGGACTTGAGCTTTGATTCAGCCAACACAAGAAACGCCATCAGCCGATACTTTATCTCCCAGAATTCCAGTTTAATCAAGTGAGCATATGATGATGTAGACACAAAATTAAACCTGCAAATTAAACAAATGTTCAATAGTTAATAATTGCTATTAATAATAATAAGCTATTTTTTAGGCAAAACCAGTACATACAATTAGATCTTAAGACAGCGAGTAGTCTTACCGTTCGGCCATGTCTTGCAGCTGTTCAGGTGGGACAGGTACCCCATTCACTGATCTGTCCTTGTGGATCTGGTGGAAGGTTTGCCTGTGCGATTCCAAGTTTTTTAATACTTCCTGCAAAATTGAAATGTTCATGTTCACACTGGCTTCCCTTTATATTGTACTTGTATAACAATGTTAACAGCATGAAGGGGGTACCCTGCATGGCTATGTTACCTTATGCTGTTCTAGTTTTCTGTGAAGAACATTGGCTGTCTCGTCGTGAGCATGTTGGATGGGTATGTCTTCTCTCAGAGCCATCTCTGCCCTGTGAAGCCAGGCTCCAATCACTCCAAGAGGACCAGGCAGAGACTTGTCCAGATGGATGTGCCAGTCCAGCAGCTGCAATTGACATCCATTAAAAAAACCCACTCTGCCAAAGCAAGATCCCACCATAGAAGAGGCTGTACTGATCAAAACACTTTCACATGTTCACAAGCAATCAGGCCACAAAAGAGATTTTATGCCGGTCCAGACGAGCTGTGGATGTGGACTGCCCCGAGAACAAAACCTCCTCTGTTCCCGCCTGCTCCTCTCTGAAGAAACTCTCATTCAAACACTTGCACTCCACTGAACTTTCACTGGCAGTGAATAAAAAGAAGAACCCGAGTCGTGTTTCTCTCTTTACGACAGATTTCAGTGCAGCAAAGCAATTTTTTTTAGCAAAGAAAAGCACAATGACAAATAAAAAAAAACAATGATCTATTATTAATACTCAGGTTTTGTTTAATTTAGGGAACGATTAACTATCATATTTAATTCTGTTTTCTTTGTGGCTTGGTTATAATTTGTTTATGTTGTGCGGAAGTACGCAGCACAATTACCCTGGCAGATACACGGTCCCAGGCCTGTTTGACTAGAGCTTGGTCCACAGACAGCTTGCCATCCCTGTGGACTGGCTGCAGCAGCGGGTCCGTCTGCTTCTTCTTCATTTCGTACTGTACACGGAAGCTCTTAAACGCCTGCAGAACCAAAAATAGTAAAAGTAGATACACATGTGGTTAGAGTTGATAAATGTCTTTGTCAAAGCAGAATGTTACGTAACGGTGCACTTTGTCTTTTCCGGCCTGACTCACCTGATATTTGTCAGTGAGGTTTCCCTCTGCTCCCTGGGCCCGCAGCACATCTCTCTCCAGCTGGTCTAAAAACACCTTCAGCTCTCTCAGCATCTTCCGCTCCTCTCTCTGGCACAATTAGAGAGTCACATGAACAAAATTATTTGAATCCCTTCTTTTTTTTCTTTTTTTTCTTTCAAATCAGCATGCCGATATATTGTGAGACTCACACCAAGCTGGCATTCCAGAAACACACAGTTAAAGATTAGAAAGAAAGATGTTAACAGATTAAACAACCTCTATATTTTAGCACCGATTAGTTCTACAAGTTGAGGAAGACGTAAAGGCGTATGGACATCAAAAGTATCTTCTTTGATTAGGTCTGTTAATTTCGTCAAACATACCTCAAGCATTTGCTCTATATCTTGGGGACCAAACTATCCAGGGAAGCGGCAAGGCACACAAAGAAATTCAAACACACACCAAAAGGCATTAGAATAGCAAGGAAAAAAAAGAAAAGAAGCTGAGAAGGATGGAGGCAGGCGGGATTTCACTTCAAACAAAAAGCATGCAGCACTATGACCTGATCTCTCACCTGAAGTATTGGCACTGACAGTGCAAAAGTTGGAATTGAGCCAAGAAGCAGCTTAATGTGCGTAAAAAAAACAAAACAAAACAAAAAAAAAACAAAAAACAAGTAGATGGAGAAATGAAATGAAAGTCTGTGATGACGGGAAAACATAATCCTGATGATTATATTACTGCTGTGTTCATGCTATGATTACTTTAATTTCATTACAGATTTATGTGATAACAGTGATGAGCATGAAGAATTGCAGGCATGGTCTTACAACAGTTAAGCGCAGCAGGAGTTAAGCATTTCTCATTAAGCACATTCTGTTGTTATGATCTCTCGCATCTGGTTATTCTCTGTGAATGATGATACACTAGCTGATTTTTGGGGAAAATGGGGATGGCAAAAACACATACAACTTTTAAAATAATAACATATGAATAAAATATCACTCCTACTACAGTATCTAGTGGTAAGACAGAGGTGTTTTTTCCCCAAAATGACCCAACGTATCACAGCCTTATGTGCAATTTATCTATAATATAAGTTTTGAACGGGTACCTCATCCTGCTGTCCATCAGTCTCGGAGTGGTGGGGGTTTGGATAGTGCTTGAGGAACTGAGCCACATATGTCATGATGGATTTCTCATCTGGCTTGTCTACATCAACATCTGCACAACAACACAAACATTATCTGATGCAACAAATGAAATTCACCACTGAAAATTAACTGATCTGAATATAGAAAGCAAAATGTATTTCAGGCCTCCAAAAATCATGTCAATATTTAATTTTAAACATGACCTCATACATGTAGAAATAAAAGGCAGATATGACAGAGCAGTTTCATGTGGCATTAAGTTCATGTGACATATAAAAAAAAAACTTTTGTTCTTATGAGGATAAATCCCTCCAGGCCGGACGGCTAATTATACATGTCTACTTTCGTCTCCATCACGGACCTTATGTTTCTAGAAATCATTTCAGTGCAGCTCTTTGTGCAATAAAGTATCATGACTCTGCTAGAGAAGACAGGACTGCAGAGCCACTGCAGGACTGCTTCACTTCCACAGAATAGAACTCAGACACGTATATAAACAGAATTTTAATCCTCTGGAGGGTGGCACTGATCTTTTCAGCAGACATTTTGTCAAAACGCTCAGGCAGCACGGACTGAAGGGCTAAAACTATTTACTTTAAAAGAAAAACAAGTAGAATCTACTCAATACCGTATATTTGCTGCCGTTACGTATAAAACGCTGCCAAGCTCTGAATGGCAACACAAAAGCTTAGAAAGACTCGTCCACACTGAATTCAGTGCTATTCTGCCTGAATGTTGTGCATCGCTGAAATATTAAATGCAAGCAGCAGGGGAGGTCAAGGGCACCTTCTGGATCCAGCAGACGGGGAATGCCCAGTTCATTTTCAGCAAGTGAGAAGGCCTCCTCCAAATTTTCCCTGTTGCTTCTCCTCCGCACAGCCTCCATGTCCACCAGGTCTGGCCTGATGGCGTGCACCACCGACTGGAATGCAACACCATCTCGCCAGCTGGGACCAAAGTCCTTCACCTCAATTCCATGATGCCTGAAAAGCACATGCATAGACATTTTTGTTTTGCAAGACTTGCCTAAACGTCTATATATGCAGAAACACCCAAAATATGTCAGGTAAAATTGTCAGTTGCCTTTTAGGTGCTAGTCCTTCTCTGTATCACATGTACATATTAGTATCTACACCAATATCCTTAAACATTTGCAACACCAAGCCAAAAAGGTAATTTGAAAGTGTCATACTTTGCAGCAGTGCACTGCACCCATCTGAGCAGGGCCTTCTTGGCATTGCCCTGAAATTTGTTGACCACTTTCCTCTTCATGGGTGGGCTTCCTGTTTCAGAGCTGGCTATACTCTCCACAGAAGAGTTGCTGTTGGAAAGCGCCTGGAGGGCTGGCAGGTTGCTGGTTAACTCCTCAATCTAATTGAGAACCAAGAACAAAAGCAGAAGAGAGGGTTGCTCTGTGGCCATGGCAACGTGAAAAGAAAATGGAAATATTTTGTTGCATCCATCTCCATCTGCATTTTCTAGCATAAACCATCCACTGACGTCTGCTTTAGGCGATGTAAAGTTTTAACAGGACAAAGACTGACACTGGGTTAAAAGGTTGACCCAAAAATATTTGGTCGAGGAGTTTCTGATGTGCAGGGTTTATTTGTAGGACATCAACTCATCTTGGAGTGAGCATGGTTATTAAACTCAGGGACATCAGAGGAAGTATTACCTGGAAGTAGAGGATAACAGTCCATATCAACCCAAGGACAATTGATGGTCGTCCATCTGCGATGTCAGTGGCATGAATGTTAACAAGCTTGATCTGAAACAAAAGCCAAGCAGAGGATTATTACGGAAAATAAGTCACAGCCGGACAGTTTGGAAGTAAGAATCTTATGCATTTCCACCCACAGAAGCCCCATGAGTTTAATATCAACCAAAACAATGCTGCATTTGCTCTAAGTCATCAAAGCCGAGTCTTTGATGCAGGTAAGTATTATAATCATGGAGCATCTGTACAGCCAAACCAGGACGGCAGAAACAGCCACGGTGAAAAGTGAACCAGAAGGAAAAAAAGAAAAGAGAGGAAGAGTGTGTTCAACTAGGCGTTAAAGGAAAAGCAAATGAGCCACAGCACTGCAAACCTTGCTGCCCCAATTTGCCATGTTTACATCTCTTTACATTTGAGCAGCTCAGAATTGCAGGGAGCCAGACACATCAGAAACCATTGTTCTAGTCAAAATGCATTAATATGCATGTCCGTGGAAAAGCGTAATGACTACATTTATAAAAAAACTGAATGTCTGTATCCAAGCTTAGTACACATCGTGCATCAAATGAAAAGAATGCATACAGTACATGATCACACAGGGCGTTTAATGGCGACTGACCGGAGATCCTCGATACACAGACTGAAGGCACACATGATGGGAGAGAGATCACAACAATGTAAGTCTCAGTCCTCATGGAGCCCAGACGAAAGTGGGACACGGGCCTCATAGAGCCAAGGGATTTAGAGATGGGTTATGTAATCAAGAAGTCCTGTTTCTAGCTGCTGCTTCTCTCAACGTTTCACATGCTGTGCAGACAGGTACACCTTATGTGCACTAACAAACATCTAATTAACAGCTTTTTCTTAGTCATACCCTTGACTGTCTTTAAGATATGCCTTCCTTTTTACTAGTATATTTAGTTGTGGAAAAATTACTTGATATCTTAAAGATTAAATATTTGCTATGACTGAATGCTTACCTTCCTGCCCTCAAGGAATTTGAGTGCGGTGCCGATGTTGGAAACCCAGTGAATCCTCTTCAGCTGGCGGCCTTGCTCACAGGGCTTAAGACAGACAAGTCAGACAGAAAGTGAAAATCAAGCTCGCCAAGGAAGCGATATCATATTAAAGCTTGGGATATTAACTGCAGATGGCCATTTTGTCTACTGTACCAACCAACCTCTATAGCAGTAGCAAAGCTTAAAAGCCATCTCATTTGTCACTAGTTGCATGGTAGGATAGTGAAAGTGGTCTGGGTGTGTTTTTTCTTACATAAATTAACTGGTGAGTGTCAAAGCTGCTTTAAGAGAAAAAGTATAATCCTGAGATCTGTCCATGTTAAAACTCTGGCTGACATAAACCAGCAGGGGTGTGCGTCTGAAAGCACTAAGTGAGTGCATGAGGCAGCGTTCACCAGTGCGAGTGACTCATTAGCCAGGTAACAGCTTTGCAAATGACATGGCAGTTTGTATCAAGACAGGTCTAATTACTAAATACCAATCAGAGTCAAGGCCAGTGTGTGTGTGTGTGTGTGTGTGTGTGTTGTGTGTCAGGGAGAGAGAGTGAAAGAAGAAGACTGTTGTGCTAACATGTTCTCACAGCAGGGAGCCTCAGGTCTGAATTATGGCCTAGTAATTTATGTGCAGTGATCCGACACTAAATGTGAACAACATTTTTATCCGAACCTTGGATTTTTTGTAAAATGCATATGCTGTATGCTGCACATCCACCCTGATTCAATTCTCTTGCCACTGTCAAAGTTGAGCATCAAAATAAATTGTAGCTCAACCAACACAGGATTTTTGAGGCTGATATCGATGTTGATCAGATAAGGATATACAGTAAATGGGCCAATATTGAATGTTTTGCTTTGCTGTAATACAATGTATTTAAAATATATTCAAAGACCAATCAACGGTCTGGTTACAGATCTCTGAACTGCCGCTCACATTTCTAATACAATGAATTAAACAACACTGCAACAGCAACGTTGACAGATCTTTAGTTTTTTACAAATGTAAATCGAATACAAATGTACCAGAAGCATTTGAATTTGTATGCAGATTCCTTGTTTTAAATCATGTAATGTAGGGAATCAGCACATGTAAGTACAAGTTGATTTGTTGTGCTGTGAAAGTGAAAAGATGTGCCTTGATTTACATGTGCATTCAGAAGGGAATGATTTAAATCAACACTAAAAATCTGCATAAAATTTAAAAAAAAAAAGTGATCTTAAAGGTGTGAATCAGGCCCAGCATATCTACACAATCCGTGTTTAAATCCTGTGTTAAAATAAGTACTACTTACTAGTCTCTGGCCAGACAGCACTTCCAACAGAGCCAAGAGCTTCACCCCATCTTTGATGTCCTCAAAAAGGTCGTTAACCTCTAGTGGTGGTTTATGCTGGAGGGGAGAGGACAGAGCTTTGAAATGCAGAATCAGCATCATGAAAATTTGTTGTAATTATAAATGTGTCAGTCTGTAGAAGCCATGCATTTACAGAACCAGTATCAATGCATTGTTAATCCTTTAGTGTGAAAGGATATTGGTATTCTAACCCATTAGTAGGGATGAGGAGAAACCAAATGCTGTTTTGTGAGAAACAGGCTTGTTGGCAACAACCACAGAGCCTCCCTGCAGCTGAAAAGATGCTGCCTTTTCCTCAGCAGTGGCTTGGTGCCCAGTCCTGAGGCGATGGTATTCATTTAACCCTAACTGGATACTGTCTCCTGATATCATATCCGCACATTTACGGGGCTGCACAATCTCCAAGTTGAGTGACAGCGATGCAGCCCACTGTGTTATACAAGCATTACTGTATGAGTGAGCGAAACAGATGTGTATTTATTCGACAGAGTGAAGCTTTAATTAAAAGGAAAAGGTCGCGAAGGGAATTCTTTATTTGGCACTGTATACAGGCCATTTCACAACTCAACATATTCCATGACAGGATGCAGTTGGCTGCCTATTTGGGGCAGAGCAGTGTGAAGAGGCAAGCGTCTGTCCTGTTATTCCATACAAGGCTCATTACTGTTGTATGATTACACACAGCTATGGCTTAAGAGTTATGCATTACATAAACTATTTGACCAGAAGAATCTACAACTACTTTATTCATATCAATCAGATTATAAAAAAAAAAGAAGAAAGAGTTATCTGATTTTCCAATGATACTGCAAATATGCACCGTGACACAAAAATAGCCTCTGATATTTGAAAATCACTCCCACCCTGGAAAACAGTCACATGAGTCTTCCCATCAGTGGAAAAACTCTGAAAATCACTGGAAAGGTGCTTAGCAATACAATATCAGAGGAAATGGAAACAAAGGCTGAAGGGAAAGTGTCACAACTGGAGGAAGTTCAAACTTAGATAAAACACACTTTCAACCTTAAAAAAGGAGTTTCCTTCAAACCAATATTCATCATTTATAAACAGCCACAAAACTATTGCAAATCACTGCGGGAAACCTTTTGTGCACAAGAAAAGTACCGTAAATATCCCTAAATAAGCCAATCACCGTCTGCAGTGTAAACATGACAGAGCTCTTTCATGATGTGGCTTATGCTACATTAGTCCTATTGGTATGCACAGTGAGTGAGCTCGGGCGCAGTGCATGAATAATGAAGAATAGACCAACAGAGCGACTCTACGTTGGCCCACCACATAACTGAGATTCTTCCAAAGTTTTAGAAGCCATGCTTTGAACTATTGTGGGCAGATCAAGCTCAACAAAAGACCCCTCTAAACCAGATCTCTTTGCCAGGTTCCAGGCTTAAACCCTGAATCTGTGTCTGATTAGCTGCACACTCTGCTGTGTCATCTGTGATTCCACTTGCATAAAGTTTACCATATTCTGAATTTTTAACAATTTTCTGTGAAGTGTTTTTGTCCGTTTCTGATGTTTTACAGCTCTAAGGTTCATTTTAATGCTGTGTGCATAATCTAATAAAGCCTCTGTTATTTTAGGGTCACAGTGTGATGTATTACAGCGTGTGAGCGAGTGTTATTGTTGTTCACTCGGTGCTTTGTAATTTACATGCATGGACCTATGAAGCAGACGACTGCCTGCAGGGAACTGTCCTCACCCTCTTGCTCTCCATCTGCACACTGCATCACTGTCCCTGCCAATCCTGTCTACAAATACACACACTCACACACACGCACGCGCATACAGTACATGAATAACCAAACACCCACGCACATACCTACAGTCATACACAGGCCGACAAACACAAACACCTAACACACAATGAATATATACACCCCACACAGCATCTTCTGAAGAACTCCATTAAGCCCTCCATATGTCCACACAAACACACTCCACTAGTGGCACAGAAGCTCGTCTAAGTATAAATGCCCCTAGTGAGATTCTCTAGAACAGAACTGCAAAGATGCCTCTGAGCTCCATCATGTCTATGTCATCTTTGCAGCACAGCAACAAGCAGCAGTCTCTGCCATGACCTTTTCATAGGTACTATACAGAGGGTGTGTTCCCTCCCCATCATAACATCCAGGAAACTATTATTATAAACAAAACCTGCTCCATCAAACATGATTTGATTTGGAAGGCTAAGGTAAATGATGTTATTACGTGCAGTTAACTGGATAAATTCAATCATCTTGTACAGTGTTATTAGATGCTATTACTGTTGCAGTGCAACGCTCGTCTTGCAGTCAGTCACTGACCAAAGAGAAGCTGCATAATCATGATGAGCAATAAAACATCACTATTGTCTCTGATGAAAAAGGTCAACATAGCATAGCTCCCAACTTACTTGTAATGTAATTGCTTTGACTGTTTGTTTAACGTGAGCCTGATGCGCTTGTAAAAGCCCCTGTGAGTGATGAACGATCATCGTGTGGTGTGTAAGCAGTGGAGAGCATGGATGGAAATTCACACTTACCTTTGCTAAATGAGAATTGATCCATTTTGTGAAGGTTCTCTTCTGCACTGCCTCTTGTTCATCTGAAAGCAAACGGCACACAGCGCATGTCAATATATGATAGACGCCACATGCTCTGACTGTTGACTGTCGAGTCTAAGCCTCACACTTCAGACTGAGGGAGCTGGTGATATTGATAGAGGACACACAAATCGGGTGACTGGAACAGATGCAATAGGACTAGGTGATCAGAGATTCAAGATGTTTTTTTGCAAATGAGTTAACTGATTCTACATATGGACATGACACCACAGAAACATAAAACGCATCAAATATTATACATATATATCTATAACTTTTGTCAGTTATAGGCTCTGTAGGACTCCCACCGCCATAATCCTACTTTATCCAACCTCACACTACATAATTTCACACTGCCACTGGGATGTTGAGTAAGAAGTATGACTCCTGCAATGGTTAGATTTGTGCAATGTCATTAACACAAGCTTGCCAGTGTTTGTATGATAGATCCTCCTCTCAAAAAGAGGTCATATGAGGAGATTAGAGACTGAGTGGGGAGGAGAATTCAGCCAACACATCTCGCAAGCCCCTCTGTGTTCAGTAATAACATGCGTGATTGTTCAGGTCACCCTCAGACTCTTTTGTGGCCTATTAATATATTCAGCCACAAAGCCTCATGCATTATGCAACACGTATAACAAAACAACTGATTTCTTTGCTGTAGTGATGCTGTTGTCGCGACTGAATTCTAACACCCTGTCACGCATGCCGGTAGGCTGGTGCTGCACAGTGCACAGAGTGGCCATTTTTAAACATCCACCCATAGAGATATAGATAGTGGTCACGTGTTTAAAGAAGCTATGAGAACGCTATACAGGGAGCAAAGACATCAAGTTAACCCACAGGCAAATGCTTCATCACTGATGCACAGGGGATGCCCACTGAAGCATAGCACACACATACAGATTCACACATGCACACAAACACAAATACACACACATGCAGCACACATACACAGCTGTGTTTGTGCAGCATCATAACTAGTTCACATAGCAGGGATTCACCTACTAACCATTAGCATATGTTATGTCCTATATTAGCTACATAGGACCACACAGATGAGAGATGAAGGGTGCTGCTGCCCTACTTACCACGAAGATACTGAAAAAATCCAGTCACCAGGTTTAAAGAAGTCTTCCTGACAGATACATCCTTATAGTGAGCCATTCTACACCCCACTCTCCGGCTCCTTCCCTTTGCCTTTCATGAGTTCCAGCGTACATATACGTATGTGTGAAAATAAGATCCACAGTGGAAAAACTGGGGTGAAAACACACAGCTGTCCTTTCCCTTCTTTTTTTCTCCCAGCAGGAAGCAAAACAGATCTGGCTGCCTGGCTTCCCTGGTGAAAGCAAAAGAGCTGCTGGAGGCTGTGATGAAAACGTCCCCTCCTCCCTGACACTCTAACACACAGACACACTGACACACACGCGCACACAGACACACACTCACACACACACACACGGACGGACGGCAGAGGGGAAAACTCTAATAGATAAGGCGATTTACAATCCCATCCTTCCTTCTTCCTGTGTTTTTCCCACCCAGAGGAGCCATGCCTGTGTGGATGTGCACAGCCCCCGCTGCACTGCCTCGCTGTATCATCGTACCGTCTGAGGCTGGAGAGAGATCAGCTAGATGCATGGCTCCACCAATCAGCTTTTGGGAGGTGGTGATGTCACAGCCTTGGCTGCATTATACCGATTTAAGCTTGGTTTGTGTGTGTGTGTGTGTGTGTGTGTGTGTGTGTGTGTGTGTGTGTGTGTGTCTATGGATCTGTGTTTGCTCATAAGATTTGTCTAATCTTCTATGAGACTGACACATTTAAAAAGCATCACATTATCACATTGTCTCAGGCAATGATGAAAGAAATATAATTGGTGGAAAAAAAAAAATTATTATTTATTTGTAAAATTTATTTTGTGTTCAATTTTAGCTGTTAAATTAATTTAGGTCCCTGTAGACCTATTAATTAGATAGACTGCTGCACAAAGCTCACCATGGTGCAGCATCTCTTAATAATTAATGCTGAGGCTGATGAATGACATCTACCACCTGCTCTCTCTCTCTCTCTCTCTCTCTCTCTCTCAGTGTCAATGCTATTGTGACGACAAAGCAGACACACCCACCCTGGGATTCCCTTTGCATGCACAGCATCATGTAAAAGCTTTAAAGCATATCCATTTTTGTACCGTAAGACCTAGCAGAACCACTTCAGCTCTGACCAGTCTGCTTTTCTATTGGACTACTACTCTACTCTTCTGAATATAACACACAATAGTGAATAAGTATGGTACATGATAGCTTATCATCTCCTGCAGAAAAATCCCCTTTATTCTTTCAAGACCAGAACGGCATACTAAAAGCTTTTCTGATAAACTAAAAATAGGCCTGAGCTTGTGATTCTATTATTACTGCTCTATAGACTGCAAGTGGAACTGGCCCAGAAAAGCTATTTGGGTGAAAATGGATTTTTTTTTTTTTCCCTTTTACTTTGAAAACAGCAAAAGGTTAGAAGTAGCACCATTAAAATGTTGTTGACAGCTGCATGCACTGAGAACAATGGGCTTTCAGAGATACTGCAATCAGTGCTCAGTCATTTATGACCAGCTGAGCCCTGAACAAAAAAAAAGTTAGATACTCAAACTGGCCTGGAGGACAAATGATAAAAATACAAAATGATAACATTAAGCTTATACTTAATTGTAATTAAAGCATTTTCAAGTGTTTAATGTTGCTGTGAATTGCACAAACACAATGGCTGAAAAAACAAGGGTTTAATCTACCAAGTACATTTATTAAGTTCATATAAACCAACTGTCCAAATAAAACCACTTAATACTGGTAAAAGTTTGAGCTTGTGGGTTGATTCTTGACCTTGGAAAAAACAGTTTGACAAAGCAATTCCCGATCACAGCATCCAGCTCACTTGTTTCCAAAGCTAAAAAACATCATCCACAGAGGAGGACCACAAGAGGTGGTTGAAAGCTTCAGAGACAAGGAGTAACTTGTAGAATTAGGAACTATCTAATTTAAAATAACAGGATTAAAAATCTGACAAACTTCTGGACAGTTTTTGTAGACTCTGTGCTACAGACTCCAAAGTACTCAGGTTCAATAAGCCACGTTTACTGTCATTTTAGGACTGTCATCAAAATGTGAATTAAAAGGAACAAAAAGAACATATGAGACATAAGAAAGCAAACTTGCAAATGATAACTTGAAGTTTTCCTGATATTCCAGCTGCTCGGCGCTATATCCAACTAGCTATTAAGGAGCTGTCCAGAGTCCTGAACTCAGTTATATGTTTCACTTTGTCCTATAATAAGATGTTAGGCCTCATTTCTAAGCATCATGTCTGGAGAAAACCGGGCAACATTCATCACCGGCTCAGTACCATGCTATGGGGTTGTTTTTCAACAGCAGGGAAAAAAGTTGGAGAGAAGGAAAGAGATAGCCTTAATGAAAACCTGGTCCAGAGCAGTCAGGACCTCAGTTTGAGCCATAGGTTCACCCTCCCTGAGCACACAGCCAAGACAACACAGTAGTGACTTAGGGACAACTCTGTGAGCTCTGACTTGAACCCCATCCAACATCTCTGGAGAGACCTGAAAATGGATGTCCACCAACACTCCCCTTGAGAAGATCTGCAGAGGAAAATGGCAGAAAATCCCCCAAAACCAGGTGTGCAAAGCTTGTTGCATCACACCCGAGAATACTTGAGGATGTAATCACTGCCAAAGTTGCTTCAACTATGTGCTGAGTAAATGGTCTCAATACTTGTCAATGTGATATTTCAGCATTTCCTTTGCAAAAATTTCTAAAGTTCTGTTTTGGCATTATGGGGTACTGAGTGTAGATTAATGACACAAACAAAGGCTGAAACATATCTAAATGTGAAAAAAGTGAAGGGGAATTCTTTCTGAATACACTGCATACTAACTGACAAGCATGAAATCCTTATGTAAACCAGCTGACCATCACTGAGTCATTATGTCTTGGTCAACTGACTCAATTAATCCTGATGTATTACTAGTAGCTAAGTGGCAATTAAAAGTGGATATCCCCAACAACAAACACCACACAGTGCATCAAACCACTAACGCATCTGCAATTCACATGAGTAATGGAGTACTTAAGGTGATCTTAGGACAGATGATACCTTTGGCAATACTGTACTGTGGGTGCTTGGCTTCATTCGCCTGTGTTGGTCATCTGGGACCACTGTAAAAGCCCACTCACTCTGTTGTTTTTCCATTTAGTCGACAGCAGCCCTACTTTAGCTACAACAGGCCAACAACAATTAGGCAGGACAAGAAAAGATTCTGTGGCTGGACTCGAGCCGGTCCACTCCGAGATACAGGAATTATTACTTAGTGAATGGTTTCCTGACCTTCAAGACAACATGACAGAATTGTAACCTATTATTCAAAAACAAAGAGAACAAATGAACATAGGATCAGAGAACAGATACGGTCTGTACCTTCTGCAGTACTAAGTATTTAAAACAGTCTGCAGCAGCTTGGCTTAGTCTTGAGTGGGAATTAGGCTCTGTGTTCATGAGATCATATCAGTGTGATGGCTGTCTGGGCAGCTGTTACTGACACTGTGGAGTAGAAACATCTCTCACAGCTGACAACATGCAAGCTTGCCTTTCTTTTATTTGCTTTTACACCAACAGTGATGAAACAGCTCCACCTTCTTGGTGAACACAGATTTCTAGCTTGTGACCTTTTACAGCTAAAAGGTGCAATTTTGTGTTACTGGCTGCAAGTCCAAAGTAGAGAGGTATTTTCCAGCAAGGATGCCATTCAACATTTACCGGTTCCAGTTTCTAAAATGTGCTTTTTTCTGCTCTTATATCATCTTTGTTTTTTGGACTGTTAGCCAAAAAAACAAAAACAAAACATCAACGACATGACACTGGGTCAGAAAGAATAGTGCTGGGCATTTTTTTCACTATTTTGACATTAATTGGTGAATTGAGAAAATAATTGTGTGTTGCAACCCCTAATGATTTTCTCTTTCATTCTGTGTGGCATGTGTGGCATGATTACTCATCACAGGAAGCAAGTGGGCTAAAAAACTACAGAACATTTCACAAATAATGACTGGAAATCAGACAAAAATCTCAAAAGATAATCATTAAAGAAATAGGCCTATATCTTGTCATCATGTGAGATTAGATAGGATTGCGTGTCCTTATTTCCAGGAAGGAGATTCATCACAGTTTTGAGACGTCACCGCAAACCTTTCACCAGCTGTGTTCCTTCATATCCTGTTTGACACACAGTCTAAACTAAACCGAAACCCACAAAAGCCAAGTCATAATGAGAGTGACATGCAACAGACAGTCACACAACAGACCGACACCAATTGTACCTTGAGGGCATTTAGTGCCACTAGGTGTTGCTACTCTATCATCGTATGGCCCTGGAACCAGACAGATAAACTACGACTGCAGCATGAGAGCAGCAACAAGTTGCATCAGATACAAATACGAGATTTTAGTTTCCCAAAGGTAGAACATTCAATAGAGGTTTCTGTTTTTATACACAGTAAACTACAACAATCAACAGTATTAAGATAATCAGTTAGTTTTCAAATGACTACAGATGTGCTGGTGTCAATAATTCATCCACCCAGATGGACCCTTACTCAAGTGATCGTGCTGTAACCCTCCCTGCAGGATGCTTTTAATGACAGGAAGCTGCAAAAAAAAAAAAAAAAACCCTGACTACCTTCACCATCTACAGAATACCTAAAACCACTGGTACAAGAATGTCTTCCAGATGTGACATGACACCAAATTCCACTTCCTGAAATGAAACACGCAACAGGGGGTGGCACTCAGACTGTGCCATTTGTACACCGTTCACGTAGATTTTACCTACAGGTTATCTTAGGTTTTCTGATTAGGTTTTTTAAATAGATCTGTTTCTGTTTCTTAAATCATCCTAAAAAATTATATTGAAATCTAATTATTCTTTTCAGCAACAGCTAAGAAAAGGTTTAGTTCATGTTTATCACTTTCAGCATTAATAAAAGAAAATATCTACTTTGAGTTTATATGGTCCTGCATGTCAGAGCAGGTCTGGGCCAGTATGAGGTGTCAAATTGTGTAAAACAATTAAATGACATCAAAATGACGGGTGTTCTTAGTGATGACAGATTTTGCCCTCATTATGCGTGACTGTGAATGGCAAAAGATGTGCAGCACACCGGAAACCAAGTCTCTCTACAGCAGGAACTGGGCAACACTGGAACAACCACAGACAAATATTTCATAACGGTAGCTATGGTAACAAGCTATAACGTGTAAAATGTCCTGGCATACTGTACATCCAGAAATACATCTCAACTGAGCAGAAGCTGATGCCAGAATCGACCAGACTTGTGAAGTGATGGTAGTGGCCTAATGCCCTTGTAACAGAAGGGGGACACCAACAAAAAGAGACTCCCGCCATCGATCCATTCTCTTACCAAGGGCAGAAAGGGTGTCAGGTTTTAGTGTTGTTCAGACCATTGTCTGTGCATTCATGAAGCCCCAGTTGTTGTGACTCGATATCTCGTGTCAAGACTCAGAGCAGATTAAATGTTTCAGATGCGTCTTGAACTAAAGGAGCTCACTTTTAACCCCAGACTGAGTCTTATGATCAAACAAAGGACAAAAATTTGTATATTCCTTCAAAAAATTATACATACCAAAAAAGTATAAAGCTCTTTTTACTCCAGATTGTCTTGGTGCTACTTGGATACTGGCATGAATGCATGTCTCTCTGCAACAAACTTGGCTTACTAGTCACTAAAGAAAATCTGATTTAAAGATGTGAAAACAAGCTCATCAGAGGAGTGCTCTGAATCATGTGTTGAGATCAGGAGTTTCACAATATCACCTAAATAAAACGAATCATGTTCCTCTAAATAACTTAATTGCCCTGTCCAGGCCGCCACACAATGCAGTATGTCTTTTTGTAGTTTGGTCACAAGATATCACAAGAATGAACATTGAATTTCTTATTATTGCAAATAAGATTATGTGCTATCTTGGAAAAAATAAACCTGGTGACAAAAGATACCATGTGCACACTAAATCAAATTACCTAAATGTGTTATTAAAAGGCTACGAGTGCCTGAGAACAGGTTAATCACACAATGTACATAAATTATCATTTTCTAAGTATAAAAAAATACCAGACATTGCAATTTTTATGCACTTTATAACTCTAGGTTTATACCATTAACACAGAATCCAGATTTACAAGAAATTAAGAGACAAAATTACACAGCAAACAGACAAACCCTTAACTGTAGGAATGTCCTATTATTATAATCCTAGAAAGCAATAATGGGAAAAAAGTTTTCAAGTTTTTCAACTGTATGTCCAAATAGCTCCTATGTGAATGAGTCTGTGAGAGGGTGTGTGTATGTAAGCGTAAGTGTGTGAGCATCCTGCCTTGCAAAAGCTGACAAACTTCAGATGGGCACGCAGCCCAGGCATTGAATCAGCACAATGTTACAGTGCAGCAGCGCTGGAGGAGAGAATCTTTTGTCCTTAAGCCTACTGAGTCAAAGAATGACACTTACCCTGCAGTTTTTGCATCACATTAGCAATGTCCACAGACGCTCGGCCGAACTGCCTTAGAGAGGCCATGTCGTCTCAACGCAGCTGTATGACAAGGTGGGTCACTGATGCTGATGATCCTTCACAACAGTCCTGAGAGGGACATCCCCTCTGCCCCTCCCTCTCTCACTCCTTCGCTCTCTCTCTCTCTCTTTCTAATTTCACTGCAGGACCAGGTCCAATTGAATCTCAGGTTTCATGCAGGGACAAGCAGGTTTACTATCCAATAGAAGCACTTCTTCCTTTCATTGCCTGCAAAAGAGAAGCATGTTAAGAGGGTTTCATTTTACTATCGTGTTTGTCTTTAGGTCAACTTTTAGAACCAACAACACGGTCTAACTGCTCCTCTAACAAGTAAACTTTGCACACTCATAGGTTTCTTACAGTATGCCTAAATCATTTTAAAATTACCACTAGCTGAAAGTGACTGTTTTGACTGTGTTCATTGTTGATGTTTTTAACTCTTGGTTGTAATTTTTGTGTTTCTTTATGTCACTACTACTTGTGATATTGTCACATTCCTGTAGACAGAGCATTCCTATAAAAGTTTGCTTTCATTTCATACATATGTTAATTGCCCTATCTACAAAGCTAAATGATGTAGTCTGTATCTTTCTAGTTTGGTCACAAGATAACACAAGAAATAATCCATGTGCAACCTGGCCGTGAGCACCAAAGACATTCTGAGACATTACAGTAGGAAAAGCACATGTGCAAATACTGAAATTAACAATCGTCACACATTGTCAAGGTCTAAAATAGAGCTACTGTTAATGCTATTTGTGATACCTGTGGTTTTACAGTCAGTTACGTATCAAAATAACATCTAAGTTTGCTTTCAAAGGCAAAGAATAAGAAAATGACACTATTTAAGATTATATATCACCAATTTCCTGTAAAAAATAAAGCTGTAAATAAATGAATTCATTGTTTATATAAGAGGTAGGATACATTTTACTGACTCAGAATCAACTTTGGAGGTCAAGTATGAGAACTGACACATGCAAGGCATTTGAATCAGTAGCTCTCCGCAGGTTTACAGGAAGACACAAATATAAATATAGACATATATGCACAAAGCTAAGCAAGCATAAACACATACAACAAGACAACGACCATACATACAAGTTAAATAGTTAATGCAAAAGGTAACTATATATATTCATTTTTTTAAGTGCAAACTTACAGACGCATTGGCACTTCACAGACTATCAAAAGGGAAGTTAAATTTGTTGAGTGAAAAAATGTCTGAATGAGCTCGAAGAAGTGTCGAAGTTGGGCACAATCGTTTGCCTCATTACATTGCAGGTGCACATATTATACTGCCATGAAGTTACCCAACACTGAACTAAACAAATTTGGATAGCTGTTTGATTCACCATTCAAACACCATGGCGTGTGTGTGTGTGTGTGTGTGTGTGTGTGTGTGTATGTAGCTAATTAGCGCCACTTCAACACGAGAGGAAGTTACTAAAACACTGCAAAACCAAGGGAGAAAACATTAACACTCACAGGAAAATGATAGGTAACGGTTAAGTAAACACTAGCTTGACAACCACCGTCTGCACACAAACATTACACTACCACTGAAATCCCAAATTACATCTGACATGTCATCTTACCTCTGCGGGCCCGGCAGAGCATGTTAACTCTGCAGAGGAAGTGCCTGTGTGTGTGTTTCCTCGTTGCCAATGGTAACGGTGAAAATGAAACATGGTGGCGTAAAGTGAAGTTTGTGACCGCATGAAGCTAAGCGGCAGGAGGAGGAGGAGGGGTCGGAAATGTGTGGTCTAGTTCCTGTCCTGCTAATATTTAGGGACAAAAGGCTTCATTCTTTGGTTCAGCAGAGAGGAATCCCCCCCGGTATCTGTCACTCTCTCTCTCTCTCTCTCCCAACATTTGTGTGTATCTTCCATTGTAAATGATGAGGGGACACTGTCCACAGCTTCCCCCTCCCATACAAAAAAACATATTCCAGCATAAGGCTTCACTAGTTAGTGGATATCTTCCAAATTTATAGTCTTTAATACAAAATTATAAAGGCACTCAAGTGTCAAAAAAGGCTAGATGCTACACTTGATTTGTCTCGCTCATACTCTTGAAGGCCTGTAAAGGCTATATAAACTTTAGAATACATTTCAGCAAAGAATGAGGACTGTGGATTTTGCCACCCATCACTCACAATGGAAGTGCATTTCCAGGAAGAATCATTACAGCAAGGAAACTTTTCCATTGTTCATATGGGCACAGTATTATCTTTTTCCAGTGTATATGCATTAGATATTAGATTTGAATATATACTTTTAATGATGCAAGACTATTACTTTTAAGATTGTGTTTTTACTCTGTTGCTACTCAAGTAAAGTATCTGAAAACTTCCATCACCCATTATTACATTATGGGATGCTGTAGGTATCTGTAAAAGAGAACTTGGGGCACATGAGCTTATTCACAAAACATTTTTAATAGTTCAAACTTCTGAGTATGTAGATTCAGAAGGGGGAAAGGTCATAATTTAAAACATAAAAAACATGTATTTGTACCAGTGGACACAGTCCTGAATAATGATTACAGTATTGCATAGAGCTAAGCAGTTTTTATTCAAGATCACCAGCTAATTTCAAACACAATTTTCTTTTTAAAATGTCCACAAACCAACATGTTACCCACTCCCCACACTTTAATTGTCAGTTGGATAACCTCAATAAACCAAATGCAACCCTAATAAACTTTACATGTAATTTCATGCAGATCATAAAGGCTGGCAAGTGCTCAAAATCACAGTACTTGAACGCCACCTGCTGGACGTCTGTGTGACACGAATGTTGTGACTAAACAGCTAAGGAAGTTACCTCATATAAACCTTCAGTTTTCTGTGCAGTCTTATTAAAATGTGTTTACGTCACTTTATAGAAACAGAACAGTTGGCTGTTGAGCTGCAGAAAGCGGGTCTGTGTTATCAGCCTGAAAACTCTGAGGTCAGGAGTGAAGTGGGAACAGAGCAACAATTGAAGGAAATCCCCATTGAGACTGAGAGCTTGATAACCTGCAGACTCTCTAGTGGATAGTTAGATTTTCATGGGTTAGTTTATCCAGAACCTCGTCAGGACACTTGAAGACACAGCCAAGACTTTTTACGTCAGAGGAAGGGTTGTATTTCTAATGGCTCTAGTTTCTTTTAATTTAACCTCACAGTCAGTCACACTAACAGCCTGTGTTTAACATAAAGAACATGTGTAGTAACCATAATTGTTGCATAAGGAGATGTATAACATGCTGTGCTTTACAAAGATGGTGCCAATAAGGCAATTGTTAAAAAAGTATTGATCCTTAGGAAATGATGCAAAAGGAAACAACCCTGTTTCCCAGTGTTGTGTCCCACACAGATAAGCAATGCACTTGCTAATTTTAAAGCCAGAAAGGGAAGGAAGCATGACAGCAAAGTTTCCGCCATAGCAAACACTGTAGGGGGAAAAAAAAGAAGCAAAAAACCTGTCTTGGAAAAAGCTTAGTGTTCATCCGTCTGCTCGGAGTCAGTGTGGAATCTAACACCAGCTTCTGGTGGAATAATGGCACATAATGAAACACATCCCCTTTTGGAAATACTAAAATCATTCAATCTTGGTGAGTTTACCTGCATTTGTTTCTTGTGAAGATATAGGAACTGTTTCACAAAGCTGTAGCTACTAACATGTAAGAGTAGCATGATGTATTGTGAAATACAGATTTGATGGTTGTTCAGTTTGATACAACAAATTACTGTATATTTTCACATAAAAAAAATTCTGGTTTATCACCAAAACTGCCTTTCTAAGGACTACTGAGACACACATGATGTTCAGGCTGAAAATATGTGAGCTTCAGTGCACCGGAGAATCAGGAAATGAGCTCTGAATAAAGCATTCAATAGGTTTAGGGCCAGAACAATATATTTCTGCTATACTGTATATCTGCTGCAATGTTATGAACCATCCAGAGCACTCAGGTTGTCTAGGTCATTCTTCTTACTGTCCCCAGGCTCAAAACCATCAGTATGCACCACATATTTGGAACAAAGCAACAACTCCCTGTTCTTTTATATCACATCTTAAAACTTCTATGTTTGCCACCATCTTTTATTAAGTCAAATTTAGGACTGTAACTGCCCCCCCCCACCTTTTCCCTTTGTTTTATTCCATTAAGCTTGTTTCAGATCTTCAATTTAATTTTATTCTTTTAAAACCCTACTTACGTCGTTTTCCTTTCATCTAACATCTTGACGTCTGTTTATGTCTTGAAACGTCTTGAAGTGTGTGAAATTGCCTTGTTGTGGAAAGGTGCTACAAGATACATATAAACTTGCCTTGAAGTGCAGAAGAGAATGAAAATCAAATGATAAAAGCCAGAGTTGTATTTAATGTGTCACAGTGATGATATGGTCAGTGTGTGCTTCAGCACAATGATATTAAATAGACCGTGAACCCACACAGCAGGTATGATGTAAGATTTTATGTAACATCGAGCCCAGTATAGCAGCACCCAGCAATAATAAATCAATACAGCAGAGCAAGAATTCCTAAAAGAAAATCTGGTGCATGTGAGACCTACTTTATTCACCTGATGTACACTTCTTGTATATGCTAAATAAGATTTTATTTCAAATTTGATATGGAGCTGAATCCATCATCTGGGGAAATAATCTTTCCCATTTTTAGAACACAATGCATCCGGCCTCACACGCTACTAAACATTTCCAACCATTATTTTCATCCCTCACCGTTTCCCATAGCTGACTCTCAGCATTGATTTTTTTTTTTTTTTTTCTTTGCAGGCGATATGATTCTAGCCTTCTGTTTATCTGTGCTTGTGGGCCTGCTGCTGGGTGCTTTGGTATATGTTCTGTTGACCTGGGCTTCCAGGCGCAGGGCCACCGCCAGGATCACCAGGCGCTCTAAAAAGAAATCTGGCACTTCACAATCAAACAACCCCATGAGTGGCCAGCTGGGCCTCTACAGAAGCACTTTTCTAAGCGTCTACAGACAGCCCTCTCTGGAGCCGGTGGGCCCCCTGGGGAGTAAGCCCGGCGCAGAGACGTCCACCTTTCGGCCACTGCCCAAGAGGAGCAGGGCTGGCCTGGAGATGGCAGAGGACACCCAGATCAGCATGTCTGATGACACAGCAGCTTCGACCTCGTCAGATTCAGCCTCACTCGTGCCAAACAAGAGACATTCCTTCTGGTTGGGGGGCAATGGACTTAAAGGATTCCTCCCCTCACAGACTCCCCCTCCTGCATACGACAGTGTCATCCATGCATTTGAAGAGACTTGCACTTGAAACTGTCTGCATCAATACAACAAGAACTGAAAGAGAGAGAGAGAGAGAGAGAGCATTCTGGGATTACAGTGGACTTTGTGGCTGTGCTCTGCTCTTTATATCCCTGCGTTTTGAGTGATCAAACCATTTCTGACACTTTTCAGTCCAAAGCAGCAGTGTGTCTTTAACTGAATAAGACTCTTACGCAATCATGTAGTGTCAGCTCAGTATCATATTATGAGATATAGATTAAGGGTGGGACTAACTAATCAAATATTTGCATATCATTTTCTCAATTAATCAGTTGGTTTTTTTCTCTATAGAATGTCACAAAATAACCAAAAATTACCTGTTTCCTGGGGCCTAAGGTGACTACTTTAAATGTCTTTGTTTTGTCCCAAAGTCAAAAATATTCAATTTACAATGATGTAAAACAGATACAAATTCTTTGACAAGCAAGTGTTTTGCCTTTTAGGAAAAAAACGATCAAAAATGAGGGAAACACTGTGTGCCTGATATTTAAAATGATCTTATATGACAATAAAGATTTGATCGTGATTTTATTCCAGTGCTTGTGCTTTTGTGCAACAACGAAACACTTCCTAGAAAATCAGTTTATTTATTTATTTAAAGCAAGTGAATCTAGTGCAGTCACAGGATATTTAAAGGTGAAACGGAGGAGAAAGGCGATAAAAAATCAGTTACCTTATCAATGATATTTAACACTGTGGCAGGAGGGTGGGACAGTCGGTTACAGCACATTCATCACATCAAGGTCTGGTGTCAAGAATGTCACTTGTACTTACATTACAAAGATGGGGTGAGTCGTGAGAGGTTGCCATTATGAAAGAAACCCCCCTTTTGAGGTGTAGCAATAAATCTAGTATTGATTATACAAGGCTGTCTACCAGACTCCATATGAGAACGTATGCAAATTTAGTTGAACTGTACTTACTTACTTACCTTCGGTGAGTGTTGACAGGTTTATTAGTTGTGTTAGTGCGCTCAGCTGATCCATACTTGAAGTCTATTTTCCGTGCTACCTGCCTCATGGCAACCCGCTTTAAAGCCACAACCCCAAAGTGCGCCAGCGGAAAAGTGCCTGGCAACACGACCGCACCGTGCGCCGACTGCCTCTGGATTAACACCTTAATATAGCTCCGTCAGGTACGTGCATAATGTTTGTCCGTGAAGCCTCTTTGATGAAAGCACTTCTTTATTTTCCACCGCAGTTCACCGCTCTCGTCGGCACTGGCTCATTCAGATTGCTGCATGCGGTCAGACATAAGATGCCTTTGAATGAGAGATTCAATTGATGTGATGTATAATGTAGTGAGAGAGCTTCACAGGCGAGATGATGTCTCTTTTACTTCGACTTTAAACGAATGCTGTGAACCTGAATTCAACTCAAGAGGACATTTTTTTTTTTGTTTTTGTTTTTAATCGCCTCTTTGATTCTGATTTTACACTTGTAGTGATCGTCAGCTGCATTAGGATGTGTCAAAGGTGTGTTTCATGTAAAAAGAAAATTGTAATGTTTGAGTTCACATCCTCGCCTGGCTGCTCTGGTGTTTGACGTAAAATAGGAAGATCGGACAGTATCAGTACCCATGGAGACTGCGAGTGCCCTGATCTCCAATGCAGTGTTGCTGTTGCATAGAGACTGAGAAAAACTGTGAATTTCAAGGTTGATGCACTGAATGACAACGCGGCTATTTTAAGCAAGAGCCACCTCTCTCTCTCTCCTTTAGATTGCCTTACTTGTTGAATAACCGTGTTTTTATGCGTCTTTGTTTTTTCCATTTGCAACAGGATTGCACAACTCTCTCCAAAGCCACATCAGGGAGACATGGGATGGGCCGCTGGCATCAAAGAAGCCTCACATCATTTCATGGCAAACTCTGAAGTGCAGAGCTGCTTGATTTAAATGCTTGAGTGTAGAGCTGGACAACATCTGGCTGTATGATGCATTTTACTTCCCCATAGATTTTATAGTAAGTACCAAGAGCACAGCAGCCATTACCCTTCAGTGCAGCATCTGAATGGAAATATGGACACCTTCAATGGAGGAATTTTGACTCAACATGTCCAGGAACTATGAGGTATGTTGATTTGCTGTCATATCACAGACTAATATTATTGTCATTTTCCAGGTGACTTGGCCATTTTCATAAGAGATGGTTACGTGCTACATGATCCACTTGTCAGCCATAATAAACTCATGCTTTTGACTCACACAATTTGATTTTAGATTGTAGATGAAATCCAAATTCAAAAAGAAAAAGATGCACAAGACATGTTGAATATTCAGTGTAAACGTCATGTAGCTCCAATAAAGAGATCGAATAAAAAGACAGGGAATACGTTATACTCTCAGACAGGAGAACACAATGTTTTTTTTTACAATCTTAAAGCTACTTAAGGAGAAATAAAAGGGCAAAACTGTTTGTTTAAGGTTTTAAAGGTTCACCTTGTAAATGGATACACCCTCACGGTAAATGTTTGTAAATCAATGAAATGGAAAATTGAGCTGATTCTACTTCGGTATTTATATGTGAGACATTTTCTTTTGACACAGTGTCAATGCTGTGTCAGTGGGTAGGACAAGGCTGGAAATAATAAAACCCAATCCCAGAAATAACTTATCTCAATGAACAAAGCCAGTCCTGGGGAAAGAGTATTTTATCAGACACTTAACATCAAACATAAGCTTAAGCCTAAAATAGAATTCACATATTTCAATAGAGAAACACTCTCGGTTTTGGTTTACGAATGTAAAAGAAAGAAACGACAGGCAGACAGTAGCGGTGATGTCATGTACAGACAAATCCTGGAGCGGCTCCATAGACAGCGAATAATAGAACAACAGCTAGAACACTATGAGCCGCCACCATGGTGATTTCACTGGTGTTAAGGGCACGTTTAGTGATTCACTCATACTCATGTACTGGTCTGTTCACTTAAATGAAACTCATTAGGATGGAACATCTCAAACAAAGAACCCATGAGCCCCAGAGTTTCAGCCACTAGTTTGTGAATTAAGATGTTAGCCTATGACATCCAGAAACAAACCAAGATAGGTATATATGTAGATAGGCACTGTACTATCCAAAGTAAGTGGTAAGTGCTTTGTCACGTTGGGTTTTCTCTCTAACATTCAGCTGTTCACCTTTAGGCCAAAGGTGTTAATGCTAGACCCGCCCCACTTGAGTAGCCATGGTCATGTCTAGGTAACCAGTCATCTGTTGAGAGAACAGTGTCACCATAAGGTAGCTGCAGCAGAAAATAGTCTGAGGACAAATCAAGAAATTAACATATGAATAACAGAAAAGACAGAGAAGGTATTTATATTAATGCAACCAACAATTAAATCTCTACAATATAATCAATTAAGTAAAATTATAAAAATCTGGAATACCATAGAACAGAACTGCACAAACATACTGAGATCACAGAACATGATCTATTTCTAGGTTACCATTTGTTGTTGTAGCTCTGGAGCTTTCAATCTTATCACATGATCTTCATTAGTAGTTAGAGTTTGCCCAGTTGTCCTGAAACTGTAGATGTTTAAAGCCAATTTTTTTCAGAGCACTGATTTCTCATCCATACCGGCTTGAAACATGAGATTAAAGTTCATTCTTGACCTTTAAGATATTTGACCAAACAATCTCACCACCAGGTCCATTTAGTAGCTGTTCTGGAGCTTAGGATCGTATCACATCATCTTCCTCAGCCGAGGGAGATGATGTGATCTCAAGTCAAGAATGAACTTTCAGTCTCAACTATTTCATGTTTTGCTTCACTGTACTTCTTCTCATGATGTTATTCCCCGTTGTCGCTAATGGATTCCCTACCTGAGTAACCACAGCCCAGCTTCCTGCTGACCATGACAACAGCCAGCGGTGTACATCCCAAAATGTCCTGAGCATCACTGAAAAGCCAGTTTTAAGTAAAAGTAGGGTCACAGACTGACACAAACTGAAAATGTACATATCCAGTTAAATTATAAGGTCAACCGAGGTGTACGCAGCAGCTTCAACCCTGCCTCTTCCTCTGCTTTGCCCACCACAGCCTGGTCACTCAGTAGGGATGTTGGCTGCCGTGGAACACGGTCCCATCCTCTGCAGCGACTCCAACATCCTCTGCCTCTCGTGGAAAGGCCGGGTCCCCAAGAGCGAGAAGGACAAGCCGGTGTGTCGGAGACGGTACTATGAGGAGGGCTGGCTCGCCACGGGGAACGGGAGAGGAGTTGTTGGGGTGACGTTTACATCGTGTCACTGCAGGAGGGACAGAAGTACACCTCAGAGAATCAATTTTAACCTGCGAGGACACAACAGCGAGGTGTGGTCTTCACTTCAGCGTTATCACTCGCTCCACTGTCTTTACTGAAAGTGTTAAATACGTAAAAAGTAATTCTACAAAGAAAAATGAAACAAACAAAACTGAAACATATTTATGATATTCACTATCTTTGATGATAAGACCAAATGAGATGAAACTTTAATGATCTCTGTAGGGAAACCAAAGTGCTGCAGTGGCATATAGTACCAGGATAAACCAAGAAAAAAACATACAAAGCAAAAAGAGGTTAAATAGAATTTCATCCATTACAATGATTAATTATAATGAATTAATTATTATTATGAAAGTAGTAATAAAATGGGAAATAAAAATCTAATATGTATGCAGTATGAAAGTGTAGTATAAAAATCTCACACACACACACTGCAAAATAAATAATGCAAAGTTCTGCAACTTAAACTAGGTGAGAGGAATGAGAACATGTTATCTGTATATCATCACATGCGTCCAGTTTACAGGTTCATATAACAGGAGGTTTATGCCCATATTTGCATCTGTGCATCAAAGTGCTATATGTATATATATATATATAGAGAGAGAGAAAGTGACAGTGTGTGTATGTGCATCATCGTCTGCTACTGTTATTATTATTAGAACATATTTACTGCTGGGTTGAAATGATTCATTTCTCTCTCTCTCTCTCTCTCTCTCTCTCTCTCTCTCTGCTGACTGTCCCTCCAGCTGCATTGCATTTAAAAAAAAAAAAAAACACATTTGGCCTAAAATGCTTTTTTAGTATTATGCTCACGCTGGATATTAATCATGAATGCTCCTCTGTGCAGACGGCCACCTGTGCTTGTGAAAAATAGTAACAGTCAGTGTTTTGGGCCTTTGTAGGTCGTCTTGGTGCGTTGGAATGAGCCCTTTCAGAAGCTGGCCACCTGTGATATGGAAGGAGGTATTTTTGTGTGGATCCAGTACGAAGGACGATGGTCTGTGGAGTTAGTGAACGACAGAGGAGCCCAGGTGAGCAACGAGAGCCCTGGGAATAAAGATTTAGAATTGATGCAAAGGCATATTCACGTGTCCTGTTTAAAAAAATAAATAAATACAAGACAAGACAAGAAAAAAACCAGACCAGGAAGACTGAAGGCTGTAATTTTGACATACACAAATGTCAAGGTGACCATTTTTTTCCCTCCAGGTGAGTGACTTCACTTGGTCACATGATGGCACTCAAGCCCTCATCGCGTACAGGGATGGCTTTGTGTTGGTTGGCTCGGTTAGCGGACAAAGACACTGGTCCTCGGAGATTAACCTGGAGAGTCAAATCACCTGTGGCATCTGGACACCTGATGATCAGCAGGTACACGTCACCTGGCTGAACTTACACGAAAATTATTGAATTATTTAACCTTTATTTTTCCTCATAAAACATAAAAATATCTTTTAATGAGAGAAGTGACGTCTGCAGTTAGATCATTTTCCCTTGCTTTGAATGCTGCCCCTAAATACAAGATTAAATCATATAATGGGCTCTTTTTTTCGCAGCTATTTTAGGCCAAGTACACGATGCTCCCGAGCTTATTCATCATGTCATCTGTTAAAGTTTAATGTGCAATGCCCCCTCAGGTCTTGTTTGGTACAGCAGATGGTCAGGTGATAGTGATGGACTGTCACGGACGGATGCTCGCCCATGTTCTGTTACACGAGTCCGACGGGATCGTTAGCATGTCCTGGAACTGCCCCGACTTCCTGGTCGAGGACAGTACAGAGAGCGACACAGACTCTGATGACAATATTCTGCCTTTAGGTACAAACACACACACACACACACACCCCATGCTCTTATGACAGCTTGCTACCTTGTGTTGACTGAGGAAATGATGTACTTGTTTTTCTTTCTTTGTTTTTCTTCCAAGTGCGGAGGGTTAAGCCTTTGTTAACCGTCACCTTCTTATCAGGAGATATCAGTTTAATGAACAACTATGATGACCTTTCTCCTGCTATAATTCGCTCAGGGCTGAAAGGTAAAAAAAAAACAAAAGGAAAGGAATGTGTCACTGTGATAATACAAGAATACTCATCAGTTGTGTTGATCGTACGACCCATGACATATATGTGTTTTCTGTACTTCACTCCACAGATGTTGAGGCCCAGTGGTGCTCCCAGGGAGACCTGCTGGCTGTGGCCGGCATGGAGAGACACGGGCTCTCTGCCGACTCTGCATGCGCATCCATCATGAGGAACGCCCTTGTTAAGTTCTATAATGTCCAAGGGGAACACATCTACACTTTAGAAACACCTGCACAGGTTGGTCCCATTTAGATTGAGGCGGTCCAGTAGACGTTTCTCTGGGTGTCTGATTTCCATCGCACTGGACTTTATGGTAAAAGGAAATCAAAGTGGGATTTTAATTTTTCAGAAGTCCTTCTTTTTGGAAACCTTACTTATTTTATGCATGTAGTGCTAATTAAGACAATTAGATTATTAGTATAAAACTGATTATAAAAAAAAAAAGATGATGACAAATATGGTGTAAATAGTAGAATCTTGTTTATCATCTACTATATTACACAGCTTGAACACTGACAGTGTTACCCACATGAGTCAGTTTCTATCTGTTCACTAATGGGTGATAACCTTAAAAAAGATCCTTAAATAAAAGTGTGAATAATAACAGAACAGATGAACAAAAGTTGGAGAAACGAGTGCAACACCTTTCTGAGAATTGAGAACCAAGTGTTTGTTGGTAACTGCAAGAAGTCTTTTATTGTGAATGGCTGTTTTTCAGAGGCCCATCACCACCATCTGTTGGGGTCACAGAGACTCTCGTCTGTTCCTCGCCTGTGGACCGGCGCTGTACGTGGTGCGTGTGGAGCACAGGGTGGCCAGCCTCCAACTCTTATGCCAGCAGGGCATCGCCAGCGCCCTGCGAGAGGAGAAAGACGTGGGAAAGCTTAACATGCCCTCGCTGCTCTGCTCTTACGTCACCACCGCTTTCATACCCACCATCAAGGTGCATTGATCCCTACTTAATGACTGTACAGAAACAATCGCACACAACCTCTTACCAACTTTGTTTGCAGCGAAACTGCTGACAGTGACATGTTTTCATTTGAGAGTCCAGAAATCTTACAGCCCTTTCCTCTCTTTGTTCAAGCCCCCAATCCCTGACCCCAACAACATCCGCGACTTTGTCAGCTATCCCACAGCTGGGAATGAGAGGCTCCACTGCACCATGAAGCGAGCCGAGGACAGCCCAGAGGCAGGCGGACCCTGTTACACTCTCTACCTAGAATATTTAGGAGGGCTGGTGCCTATTCTCAAGGGACGGCGCATCAGCAAACTGCGGCCCGAGTTTGTCATTATGGATCCAAAAACAGACAGCAAAGCAGGTGGGCTTTGGGCTGTTACTCAAACTAGAAAACACACACACGTCCTATTCTACGTTTTCATAGGGCCTATTATTTTGGTAGAAATAATTTACCAATGTGCATCCTGGTAGCCTTCTGATTAAAAGCATATAAGAGCATAGCATATAGTAGCCCAATTCTGGCCGGGGACCCATGTTGCATGTTATACTCAACTAACTCTAACCCCCTGACTCTGAATTATTATCTGAGTGAACTGATGTTAAATTTGATCAAAGCCTCAGCACATAGAGCTGAAAGTGTCAAGAGTTTGACATTTTGTTTCTCTCACATGGATGTACACTAAATATAAAGCAAGAGGAGGTGAGCAGATTAGCTTAGCATAAAGACTGGTGGCCAGGAGGGTAAACTAGTCTGGCTCTGTTTAAAGTAAAAAAAAAAAGAAAATCCACCCACCAGAACCCAGAAAACGCCATAACTTTTACAAATTAACATTTAGTATCTCGCTTCTTTAATCCTTACAAAAAAAAACTGAAACGTAAAAACTGCAGTTTTAGGGTTTTATGCTTGAACTGTGGCTATTTCCTGCCTGGGCTAGTGACGATGAGACGGATTTCAATATATTAAAATCTTAAAAAAGGATATTTGAGTTTTAACAGGAAGCGAGAGATAACTGAGCCGTTAACACAGGGGCACAGGATTTGAACTTCTTTCACCGTGCTTTTAACATTATGGAAGCTAGGCTAACTAAAGAGCTAGAGCACAGACATGAGAGTGGGATCAATCTTCCCATCTAGCTCTCAACAAGATAGCGAGTCTGTATATTTGCCAAAACGCTCTTTAACAGAGATGAAAAGGATTATGAGCTTTTGAAATACTGATCGTGTGCGCAGGTGAAGCAATTAGAGAACACCAGTAGACATCATGTTCCTTGTCATCCTTGAAATTAAATCTGTGCCTGGTTCATCTCTTTAAACTTGCGCTCCATTTTAGAACAGCACAATGCTGCTGTGTGCACGTCGTTCACCTTGAGTAAGAACAAATACAGACGCTGGTGATGACAGTTCGTCTCTGATGTAACATGGTCCGAGGCCCGACGCAGGAATAGTCTTGTGTCATGACCTGGCTGCACTGGGGCTGCATTAGGCCTGTGGTCCCAGCAAACGTTTACTTGCTTTTAATAGATAATGTTCTTTCCCATGGAGCGGTTCACTGCCATGTTGTTATATGTTGGTATGTATGACGACTCACCTTTACTGTTTTCTTTTTTCCAGAGGAGGTCTGTGTGAATCCCATGATCTCCTACACTGACAGCTGCAACTGCTCTGACTCCAGTGACATTGAGTTGAGCGATGAGTGGGTCGGGAAGAAGTCACCAAAGTTATCCCGAGGAAACAGGTCACCTAAACTCTACATGTCAGAGCTCTTGTTTTTTTTGTTTTTTTTTGTTTGTTTCTTTTTCCCACATTACAGGCCTGAGCCACAGAGCTGTTTGCAGATATTTTATTGCATTTGTTTCACCATGCTAATGCTAATATTTCTAAGGAAAAGTTCATTTTAAAAAAAATTACCTATTCGTATCAAAGGATGAACATGGAGTCGAGAAAATCTCCCAAACTCTCGCGCGCCAATCAGGAAGGCCAACGGTCGCCACGGTTACCGACAAAGAAGCCTCCAGTTCGATCTCCCAGTCTGACACGTCGGGAGTTTTCTATGGATGGGATCACAGAGGTATGATATACTGGAAACACTGTCCATAGTCAAAATAATATCATTTTTCATAATAAGATTATAATGTATTAATAAGTAACTGTAGTGTCAGAAGATTTTCAGGTAAATGATGAATCATTTAGTGACATATATCGATGTATGTGCTCAAATCTGTTCTCTTACCTAAAATATTTATCTATATGTTACTTTTTTGATGTCAAAACAAACAAAAACAGATACTTTTATGATGTTAATACCGTTTTCTCTGTTAAGCTCATGATGATAATTCACATTTTTTCATTTTTATTCATGTCTTCTATTTTCTCTGTTTCACAGCACAACTACCTCGCTCAAGTCACATCCAACATTTGGGGAACAAAGTTCAAAATTGTTGGGCTTGCTTCGTTCCTCCCTGCTAATCTTGGTGCAGGTAGGTGTAAAAAAAAAAAACAACAAAAAAAACAAACATACACATCACAGCAACTTTTCTGTCAAATTGAACAGTCAACATAACTTTCTTTTATTTTACAGTTATCTATAAGACCAGTTTACTTCATCTACAACCGAGGCAGATGACGATCTACCTTCCAGAAGTGCGAAAGATTTCTCATGACTTCATGAGCCTGCCTGTGTTCAACCCCAATGTGTTCAGTGAGGATGAGGACGACTTACCAGGTGTGAATGAATAAAAGCGTCATACTCTCAGATTGAAGAAACCATCTGTAGATGTGTTTTCACTGACTCACTGTATTCTACATTTTTATATGCTAAAAGTCACCTACATAGTTCTCCTCTGTGTTTTTTATAAAGTGATGGGGCCGTCTGGAGTGGCAGGAGACAATCCTCCCTGTACGGTCAACATTCCCATTGCTCCCATCCACAGCCCGGCTCAGGCCATGTCCCCGACTCAGAGTATTGGCCTGGTTCAGTCTCTTCTGGCCAATCAGAATATTCAGCTTGACGTCCTGACCAACCCTACAGCCACTGCAGCAGCAGCGGCTGCAGCAGCAGCAGCTTCTGTCCCTGTCACCGATCATGGCCAGGATGCAGTTGCAACACCGTACCCAGTGCCAACTAGATACTCAAACCCTGGTCAGGTGATCTTCAATGGGCTGGAGATGGGTCCTCTTCTTCCTGGTACTCTCCCACCCCCACCTCCACCTCACCATCTCCCACCGCAGCCTCACCCACAGCGGTCTCATTCGCAGCAGGCTCGCCAACAACAGTCGAAACAGTCACAACAGATGCAGACACAGCAGCAACAGAAAATGCATCATCATCAACAACAACAACAGCAGCAGCAGCAGCAGCAGCAGCAGCAGCAGCAGCAGCAGCAGCACCACCATCCGTCGCAATCGCAGCAGCAGCAGCAGCAGCAACAGCAGCAGCAGCAACAGCAATTACAGCAGCAACATCAACAGCTACAGCAACTGCACCACCAGCAGACGCTCCATCAACAGCAGCAACAACATCAACAACACCAGGTCCAGCAACACCAACAAATGCAACAAACTCAACAAGTAGCGACGAGCCAACAATTCCATCACCAACAGCAAATCCAACAGCAGCAGCAACAGATGCAGCTGCAGCATGAACAGATGCAGCAGCAGCAGCAGCAGATGCAGCAACAGCAACAGCAAATTCGGCAACAGATTCAGGAGATGAGGCAGCAGCAGCAGCAGCTCCAGCAGCAGCACCAACAGATCCAGCAGCAACATCAGCAGATGCAGAGGCAACACCAGCAGATGCAGCAGCAGCTGAAGATGCAGATGTCGCTGCCTCCTCCTCCATCTGGCTACCCGACCATTTCCTTACAACAGCTACATCTTCTGCCCCAAATGCCTCCTCCTTCCACTGAGCCTGGGCTGGACAGGGGCGAGCATGGACACACTCTGAAGCCAAGTCTGCCGCGGACTTTACCCCCGTCCTTCAATGACACTGATGGGTCTGTGGAGATTCAGATGAGGAAGGTGAATCCTCCTCCTCCATATCCGGGCACTGTAGTGTCTGCAGCTGCAGCAGCAGCTGCAGCTACAGCCGCCGCTACACCTCAGACTCTTGTCACGAACTGCGACAGCCCCAGTGTCCTGGCACCCGATTCCTGTCTGAAGAAGGATGACTTCTTGCTTCACCCTGTCACCTTACAGTACCCGACACCTCTGGGGTATGAAAGGATCACGACCTTTGACAGCAGTGGCAATGTGGAGGAGGTTTGCCGGCCACGCAGGCGCCTCATTCGCAACCAAAATACGTACACCGTGCATGGCATCGGCGGCTCGGCCACACTCAAAGTCACCTCCTCTGAGAATAAAAAAATCCAGCTTCCGTACAGCTCGGCAACACTGAGTCGTCTCTCTGTCCCTCGATACTCCATACCAAGTGGAGACCCTCCTCCTTACCCTGATCCGGCCAATCAGGTAACTGCCACACTTCCTCCTCCCCAGAGAATCGATAGCAGTCTGATCCATGCCACTCTACGTCGTGACCGGAGGGATGTGGGACTTAAAGTGCCACAGATGATGGAAAACTCAAGAACCCTTCCCACCAAGGCTAAAATGAACAGTGCATTAGCTCTTACGTACCAGCAGAGGGTGCCCACTGCATTGTACACATGCACACAGTGCAGCAGCAACAGCAGCAGCACCAGTGTCAGTGTCTCTGGAGGTGGAACCACAAGTAGTGGTATTGCAGGTGGCACGGTGGTGAGGCAGGACTTCCCACCAGGAAAAGGTGCACATCACAGTACAATTATTGTGCACTCCAAAAGTGCCTCACCCCTGGCCTCCCAGTCATCCTACAGTCTGCTGGGTGCTGTCGACAACAGCCGGGACAGAACAGTGTATGTTAACTCTGCCTTCACTGAAGATGAGACTTTAAATCAGCAGTGTCACCTTGAAAAATCTGTACGTCAGCTGACTCTCGGCGACGTCAGTTTGACGGTTAAACGCCCTCCGCCTTACCAGTGGGACACCTCCACTACAGAGGAGTTCTGGCTCACCCCAGAGCAAACAATGTTAGCTCCCCCACCAGGACCTCATAAACCCCCGCCGCTCATCATCAGTCAAGCTCAGCACTTGGACATGACCCGGCTTCCTTTTGTCCTCACAACTAAACCGCCAACCAGTCCGAGCACGAGCACTCTTACTTTCCCATCAGGTTACCAGATATCCCTCTCACCTTTTCCTCCAGGTGTGGGTCACGGCGGACCCCCGCTTCAGACCTTACAGAACCCTCCACCGCAATGCTCTCCAAACGAAGTGGTTGCTCCAGTCCCCTTTGCTCAGCAGGATGCCAATTTAGTCTTGCCACCGGGTTATCCTCCGAACCTTGCTAACTTGGCTTGCTGCCCTCTCCCGCCGATGTATCCTGGAGCCAGCTCGTGTGCCGGCCTCCAGCTGCACCCTGTCAACCTTCACCCCTGGAACCCTTACCCCTGCCCACCACCACCCATGCAGGACCCTCCAGCCCCTCCCCTCCCCACCAAAACTCATCAGATTTTAGAGAAGCCGATTCTCTCCCCACCTCCCCCGACTGCACCGCCTCCACCACCCCCTCTCCCCCCTCCTCCTCCACCTACCGAGCTACCACCGTCCAAAAGTGCCACAGAGGATCTGACAGAGTCTGCAAACAACTTTCCAGAGCCATCATCCCTAAATGAAAGCCCAGTGCCACAGGAGTCAGAGCGCTTCAACAAGAAGAGCCGTAAAAGGCTGGACAGCAGAGCCGAGGAGGCCAACATGCCCAACGTCTCTGAGGGCAAATCCAGAAAGGAAGGGCGAGCGCTCTCTGACTTCAATACGCTCATTTCCAGCCCAAGGCTCGGCAGCAGAGAGAAGAAGAAGCCCAAGGGGCAGAGAGAGCAGCTCAATAAAACCAAGAAGATGAGCAGGACCACGAATGAGTTCCAGGATAGCTCAGAGAGTGAGCCAGAGCTGTTTATTAGTGGCGATGAGCTCATGAACCAGAACCAGAGCAGTAAGAAGAGCTGGAAGAACAAGCGCAGCCTGCGTATGGCCAGTGAGCTGGAGGAGATTAAATGCCGCAAGGCAAACGAAAGAGAGGACCGCAGTTTAGGCAGCCAGGGATTTGTCTATGTTATGGCCAATAAACAGCCTTTGTGGAATGAAGCCACGCAGGTCTACCAGCTGGACTTCGGAGGGCGAGTCACCCAGGAGTCAGCAAAGAACTTTCAGATAGAGCTGGATGGTAGACAGGTAATGAGATAAGAAATCTTATTTCAGGGATGACATCATCAGTCAGTCTATTAGCTAAAAAAATGAAAACATTCATTGGGTTCAGGTTTTCAAATGTGCTGCTTTACTCTGTTTTTATGTAATAATTGTCTGAATACCTTTTGGTTTTTAGGACTTTTGGTTAAATAGAAATTAAATATCTCACTTTAAAATTTTTTCACTATTTTATGACATTTGATAAAACTCGAGAAAATAAATATTTAGCAGATTGATGAAATACAAATAATCATTAGTTGCAGCCATAGGTTAATCATTCAAATTGTGGATGCGTTGGTTATTAAGTGCTTTCTGAAATGTTTGCTTCTTCTCTGTCTCGTGTAGGTGATGCAGTTCGGGCGAATAGATGGGAACGCCTATATCTTGGATTTCCAGTATCCTTTCTCAGCAGTGCAGGCATTTGCTGTTGCCTTGGCCAATGTGACTCAAAGGCTGAAGTGAACAGGTTTATTTTGCGTTGTTGTAGAAGACTAATTCAAAAGAAGCCACAGTGGTGTTGCTGTACACCCCTCAGTGTGGGGGGTGTATCTGGGAAAGTGTGGGTGTTGTGGCGCTTCTGGTTTTTGAAGAGGAGATTAACATACTACTCCGTTTTGCACATGCAGATAATTTACAGCGGTCTGTTGAAGGCAAAGTCAGTTTAGGTCAGTGATGATGAAAACTATATCAGTTAATCCATACTTTCTAGTTCATATATTGAATGTATTCAAGCTAATTTTATTCATTATTCAAATGTTATTTATTAGAATAAAAGAAATTCTCCATCAGCCTTCATTGGACAAACAAAGGTAAACTAATATTTTTAATATTTTAAAAGCAGTTCTGAGGTTTAGTGCCAAAGACATCTTCCCACTCTTTAAATGCTGACCCGTCTCAATGTGTTACAAATCAACAGCTATTAAATTTACACTTGTGCTGTTTATAAAAAAAATAAAAAATAGACACGGCAAAAATCTTGAGGTACAGTGGCATTCAAAATTGCAATTAAAATTTCACTAAGCCATACCACATCTGATACAAACACTGCACTATTTTAATTCAGTTTCCAGTAATTAAGTAAATGAAGTTTAATATTTTATTATGCGTATCAATTATTATTGTTATTGGTGTTTCAGTAAGTTCTTTGTATCTATTCTTCATTCAAATCCCATTTTCTTTTCCGCTGAACATGCATTAGAAGAATATATATTGATTATGTAAGTGTAACATGAAGAGCTGAGTACAGTTAACCATAGTTTGTATATTTTCTATCCATGTTACTTCTATGAAGTGGTGCAATGAACATAAGAAATCATATTCTTTCGGCCACGAAACTGCAAATCATTATTCACAGCCATTATAATCTGATGATGTGTTCATTTTTTTTTTTTTTTTTACACAATTAGTTTAAATCTCCCTTCCCCTTACAATGGCTGATATTGTCAGTAATGGTCTACAGTAAGTCTGTGTGTGCCAAATACAGCCAAATGTGTTTGGCTGAAAGTAAGTCAGTAGGGAAAATAGTACAAAGTGATCTCATGATGCTCTCATCCCCAAACAGAACAATCTGTGCGCAGTAAAGATTGAGATCTTCTCAGTCCGTGTCACTCTGGCTGGCTCTGTGTTGTTTCCATTGGGTGTTTATGATTCTACTTGAAAACTGCATTTGAATGTGAAGTACAGTAGTTTGCCTCCTTGGAAATCAGTGCTGCTTTAGATAGATAGAGCTTGTGTGCAGTAATGCTACCTACATAGAACTGATGTTGTACTCGCAAACAAAAATATAACGCTGCTTGCACTGTGTATTTAGCAAATGACCTAACATCATTATATGCTTAGGAAAAATGTGCGTATATGTTGCTAATTTCAGTAATTTTGTACATCAACTTTACTTTAACATGGTACCAAGAGTTTTTTTTTTGATGTTACACTTGTAGAAAAAAGAATGAGAACAATAAACTTGAAACGGTATTAAATACAACATATTCATAAAGTTGTTAAGATTAACTGTTAGTATTAGGAGTGAGATTCATGTAGATTTGGTGCTAATGTAAAGAAACAAATGTGGAAATTCAGGACATTTGTCATTTGTTATTAGAGGGTTGTTTTAATGAAAGTATTTTGAGAGAGGCTACAGGAAATTTAAGTGCAGAGAGTTTTCATTTACTGTAAGAGCTTTTCATCCAGTGCAGCTTCAGAGACTTCAGCGACAGTGTGTGTCAGTTATCAGCAATACTGCCTAATGAATAGTTGATTGCCTGATTTTTTTTTTTTTCTCTCTTATTTTGTGAAGGAAAACAAAAGTGATATGACCATAGGTTTGCAAGGACCTATAGGCTGGACAAAATGTAATAAAAAAATCTATCGTTCCAAAGGTTTTCATTGTTATGTTTCATTTCCTGTCCGGCTCTTTTACTCTCTGATGCAATGTTAGTGATCCCAGAAGCCCACACCATAGGCTTCTTCCTTCAGTCTACTTGTTTTGCAATTATGAAGGGATCAATTGAGGTGAGGCAGTTTGCAAAAAAAGAAGTATTAGAAGCATTACATGAATTCAGAAGCTTAATGCATCAATATTAGAAAAATGTGAGTGTAAAAAGTTAAGTGTACTTTTACTTGGTTTTCTAAAACTTAAGCGATCTTATAAAACAGTGATAATGTTCAGTTTTTGCTGAAACTGTTAAAGAGGTGTTGATTCAACTGCTGTTGAACTGTATTGTATTACACAGAGAGGTGTGGCTGTTGTTCAGCCAACTCTCATTGACTTGAATGAGGGTAAACACCTGATAGCTTGTTGTTTAATTCATAAGGGAGACCTCTCCAATGAACTATTTGACATCTGTTCTGGAAAAGGGCCACAGGGCATCTGGACCAAAATCCTTTTAAAAATTGATATTTACACAGTTGATGGAGAATCAAGTCTGGATTATTAATGGATTATTAACATTTACAGGTGACTTTTGCTAATGTCTTATTACAACTGAGAAACACTTACTAACAGACAGACTGCAGATTGGAGGGGACTCCCTGATTAATTTAAGTACTTCTTTCATGCTGGAATTCCCACAACCTGGCAACCCAGCATGGTGTTATTGTCTTATGTCTGATATGTAAAGCATTTGTAAACAAGTTTTCAATCATTAATTTCAGCCTTTAAAGCCTCATTAGACTCTGGCACCCATAGTAATGTAGGCTTATTTATCCAATTGGAGAACTACAGTATTGACCAAGATTGTGCCTTATCTCCCAGGCTCCCTACCCTGCCAAATAAAGTAATTGAACTGTTATTAAAATAGAGATAGGATAAGAGAGGACAATGGGTCAAAGAGTGAGAGAGAGAGAGAGGCTACAATTAGAGGTGTGACTCCTTACAACCTGCACTCAGGGCAAAAGTTGAGTAACACAAATGGTTAAAGAAAAACTGGAGAAATGCAGAAGTGATTTGATTCTATTAAATAGGGTCAGCCTTAAAGCAAATTTTAAGATTCATCTTAAATGAATATGATGAAAAATGATGCGTCATAAGCACGATTATTATGAGATTTGATGATCACGTAGCCACCGGAAGCAGGGCTTTTATTTTGAAGTCAGCGAAGGAAAGTGATTTTTCTTTGCAATTTAACATTTGACACTTGACTCCATTGAGGAAATACACAACGTGAGCGCTTCTCTGTCTCTCCGGACTGTAGTTTCTTGTCGCTGGACAGACAGACAGAAGCTGTCTGACTGTCTGCTGCTGGTGTTGTCTGGATTCCTCCTCTCGTCTGTGTGTCGTTATGTCACTGTCTGAATTTCTGACCTGAAAAACTTGGTGAGAAAGCCTGAAAATTAAGAATGGACCCGGACGCTGACCTACAGCAAACAGGTTCGTAACGTTTTGAATTAATGTAGTCTGATAGCAACAATCCCTACGAGTGAATTCACTTTTTTTTTGTTTAAACCATCGACAACAGCTGAATTAACTTGTAACTTGAATTTTCTTCTCACTGCCATTTTCATTCAACACTGTCAGATCTTATTATCCAACTTTTTTTTGTTCCTCTACATTTATTCGTTTCCGTTTTTTTCCCATATCAGATAGCAGCACTCCAGCTGATTCAACAGATCGTCCCACGAGGATGACAAGACAACAGATCCTCACCTTACTATCAATGGCATCTGTCAACTTCAGTTCAATGATTTGCTACTCAATATTAGGCCCATTTTTCCCCACCGAGGTAAGCTATAGAAAAACCCTATCACAGGATACAAATCACAAAGGGATTTCCACAACTTAAGAGCTTTTCTTATTAATGACTTGCAACTAACTTTTAGAGCTTCAGTAAAATCCTTATCAGCAATCACTAAATCCAGTGCTGTGAGTTATAAACGGTTTATAAAGGGTGCCTTAGGGCGCTTTAAACAGAGCCACTGGGGTTTGATTTTCATCTAGTCCACAGATAATAAAAAATGTCTGTCAGTGAGGTTATAGGATCCTGACATCCGATATCAGCAGCTTTGAGTGGAGCTACTTTTTGAAACATGGGGTTGTAACTTACAGAACTGATAAGATTAGATCAGATTTATACCATATATTACTGCTCTTCATTTACACATTCAGCTGTTGCTGTTGTATGTATTTACTTTATACATTGCTTGTGTGTGTTTTTTTTCCCATCAATTATAAAGTTCAGTCAATGTCAAAATATTGTTCTTTTACACTGCTGATGCATTTATAGCACTGAATTGTAACATTAGCATGGGATTAGCATGTAAATGTGGAATTGAGTCTCTTTCCATTGCTAGAACCTGAGGGTGAATGCAAATGACACAAGTGATGTGTAACCTCAAACAGCAGAAGTGAGACAAAATCAAGCGGAAGTGATGTAGAGTCAAGACAGCGTGGGTTTGCAAAGGAAGAACAAGAATAATACACGGAATATGCTTTCCTCAAAATAAAGTCTACGCTATATATCTTAAAATATGCATGTACTGTATATTTGACGTACATTTCAAGTCTGTTGCTGTAAACTACACAATGCTGACTTTTCATCGAATTTCATCGAAATCTTTTAACAGGTTTTTGAGATACCCTGCTGACAAACAGGCTGAAAAACAAACAAACTAAAAAAAATTGTTGTGAAATACTGGACGTAACCTTGTTAGAAAGTGAGTAACTCTGTTTTACTCACTGGGGAGGAGGTCTCAGGTAAAGTCAGCTGAGGTCATGAGTAATAACTGATTAACAAATGTTGTTACATGTCACATGACACAACAAGGTACTGATCAACCATTTGTGGCATCAATTTATAGAAAAACTTTATTGACAACTTCATATTCAGTGCAATTTATTTTCCATTCCCTTCACACATATATGAACCCATAGTGATAGTGTACTGTCAGATAATCATGTGTACTGAACCTTATTAAGACACTGCATACATATTCCCACACAGGCAGTGAAGAAAGGAGCCAGTCAGACTGTCGTTGGACTCATATTTGGCTGCTACGCTGTGTGCAATTTAATTGGTTCATTGGTACTGGGAAAATATGTAAGTGTATGCCATTATTTCTTATCAAATCATGTTATTTGTAGTGCGATGAGCTGCACAAGAGTAACCGGCTCTCATCCTTTGTCGTTGTATCAGATTGTCCAAATTGGTGCAAAGTTCATGCTCATTACTGGACTTTTTGTGTCGTCATGCTGCACCATTCTGTTTGGGTAAGTGTTGATCTCACGAGCTATGTTAATAATGGTGATAGATTACGTATCCTCATACAGTTGTAACATATTTGAATGAGTTATATCATTACTGAAAGGGCCCAGGGAACACCGGTATTATTGAATTAAAGTTGTAAAAACAATCAGATATACTCACCCAACAGAAGTCTCTTCCATATTTTCATTACTGTCGACAAATTTCATGAAAAGACCAAAACAAACAATAACGGATGCAAAGATGATTTTCTGTATTATATTGCTCAGAGCGTGAAAACAACTCGTTGATAGCTGTTTCCAGTATTTTCTTTTACTTACTATCAGGGTTACTGCCAATAAATAACTTTTCTAACTAATGTAGGTCACTCATGAACAGCAGCTAATGGTTACAACCTAGTACCACCGTACAAATGAAATGTTATCAAAAACTTGATGCAATTGATGTGCAAATTGATGCAATATGTGTTTCTGCGTATATGATGTGAACAACTCAATGAGTTGTATACCAAAATTTTGTTGTTTAGTTGTTGTTCCAACTTGAGGGGACGTTTATGTGAATTTTCCTAGTCGGAAACTCATTTTTCCGACACCACACGAATGCAGGACTATCTCTCTGTGGTACAGACCTCCATTGTTTAGCAAAAACTATTAAAAACACATCAATGATGCACATAGTTGCACTGGTTGAGTTGATCCCACATGCTGCAGTAAATACTCACCACTAGTGAGGACCAAATGTGTATCCGCAGATGAAAATAGTCCCCAACAAATGCACCATTTACTCCAGTTTGAAAAACATTTGCTATAAACTACAGTATCCAGCTGTTTTATGAAACTACTGAGTTTAAAAAAAATAAATGAAATTATATATTTGTGACCCATTTTCCTAAATATGCATCTCCATCAGGAGCAAATGGGCTTAGGGCTGAGAGTCACAGACAGGGTGGGGTAGTTAGAAAGTATTAAGAAACAGACTAATGCACTGTTGGTTTTAATGTGTGAGGATTTGTGATTTGACCTGGTGTAAAAATATGATTCTTACTTGTTGATGTGTTCAGTCACCTTTTTGTAAAACACACTGTTCTTCTCAATTAACATCTTGTTTATCCAGCCTGGATTTGATCCAATCTTTCTGTTTTGATTTGCGGTTGACATCAGCTGATTGTCTTCTCTTTCTCTTCTTCCTGCAGATTACTTGATCGGCTTCCTGAGGGACCTGCCTTCATTAGTATGTGCTTTGTTGTAAGGTCCATCGACGCCGTGGGCTTTGCGGCTGCAATGACCTCCTCTTTTGCCATCACAGCAAAAATATTCCCAAACAATGTGGCAACTGTTCTGGTAAGTGCAGACAACCCTTGTCTTCCTGGCATGTTGTTCAGACATTAGAATCATGAGCAAACAAGAAAAGCATTATAGCGAGAGTTGTTTTGTATGTCCCATTTCCCGGGTGTCATGGAAAATAAAAATATGAACACAGTACGCAGTAACAGTTATGGTGCACCGTGTATGTGATTCCTTATTTTAATGTGCTTCATTTCTCTCTCTTTAGGGCAGTTTGGAGATTTTCACAGGACTCGGTCTTATCGTGGGGCCACCAGTAGGAGGCTGGTTCTATCAGTCATTTGGATATGAAGTCCCTTTTATGCTTCTTGGATGTTTGCTAATGATTATGGTTCCTTTCAACATTTACATCTTGCCGACTATAGGTAGCAGTTTGGAGATTTCAGGAAATGATTTGTACATTTTCAGTAACCCCCCCCCCCTTGATTATAACTGTATTTTGTGTTTCTCTCCACTCAGAGGCAGACCCCTCCAAAAATTCATTCTTTAGGCTTCTCACCCATGTGAAAATAGTCCTGATCTGCTACGTGATATTCAATCTCAGTGCAGGTCTGGGCTTCTTGGACGCCACCTTGTCCCTGTTTGCTATCGAGACGGTAATTTCCTACCTCCTTTCTCATAAAGTCCTGCTGTAGCTAGGAACTTTTTCGTGCATCACGTGAATGAGTATTTTTCCCCTCTGTTGCACCTGTAGTTTAATCTATCACCTGGCTACGTGGGACTCATCATGCTTGGTTTGTCGTTACCGTACTGTCTCTCATCGCCGCTGATGGGTTATTTCACCGACAAATATCCTGTGAGTGTCAATTCAACATAATATATTGATAAATCTTTTTTTTTTTTTTTTTATTGTACATCTATCATTTTGAAACCCTCTGTGTGTGTTGGTGTTCATCAGGCCACAAGGAGTTGGTTCATGGTGACGGGAGGTCTTCTCACAGCAGTTGGGTTCTGTCTACTTGGTCCTGTTCCTTTCCTTCAAATCCGGAGGTGAGCATGTGCTACAGGTGGAAAGTAATTGACAGTGTACTAATTTGCTGTCTTGCCCAGAGTCAGACGCAAAGATCAGTACCACTCTCATATCTGTCCATTAAATATGGATGCAGCACATATAGACCTTCCACACACAGAAGTTCTCCAGTGACTCGGCAGCTGTGGGATGCATGAGGATGGTGGAGGATGTGTCAGAGCACCAGGGGGTGGTGAGCAGTTTTGTGGACTGGTGTGAGCTGAACCACCTGCAGCTCAACATCAGCAAAGCAAAGGAGCTGGTAGTGGATTTCAGGAGGGTCCAGGACTCCTGCTGCTCCTCTTTCCATTAGGACTGGACCACGACTCTCTATAGTCAGCTCTTTTTCCTGCAGAGGCTCTGGTCCTTCGACGTCTATGGCACCGTGCTGTGGATGTTTTATGAGTCTGTGGAGGCCAAAGCCATCTTCTACGCTGTGGTGTGCTGGGGCAGTAGCCTGAGGGCGGACGACCAACACCAACAGACTCAACAAACTCAGACAGAAGGCTGGTTCAGTCCTGGGGGTGGAGTTGGACTCTCTGGATGTAGTCAAAACCATCATGGACCATCCGTCATGGACAACATCTCCCACCCTCTGTTGTTTGAGAAGCATGTTCAGCCAGAGAGGTCTCTCCTTCCTGTGGCCATCCAGTGATACACGTCCTCCCCTTTCTGCACAGCTCCATCAGCACTCTGCTGTTATGCTACTGTTAAATTGACTGTTGTTCCACAAAACACTTTTCATTCAGTTTACATTTACACATTACGGTTAATCTACTGTCAAATTCTATTTTGCATGTTTATGTTTTTTGTACTTTTGTCCCCACTGTTGTTCTACCTTGCATATTACGTTTTACTTTCACTTTTGCATTTGTACATTTTTCTAATCACTTAGTCTTTATTTATTATTATTACTATTTCATAGTAGTTTTTATAGTAATTTTATTTTTTACTTCCTTTTTCCCAACTGGGTGTTGAACAAATGTAACAAAGCAAGTTCCTATTCTGACATTAACTTGTATTTATTTCTGTTTTCGTGGTGTGTTTCGTACGTGTGCAGTCAGCTGTGGTTACTGATCCTCATGCTTGGTGTAATTGGGTTTTCTCTGGGCATGACTGCAATCCCCACGTTCCCTGAGATCATCACATGTGCATAGTGAGTGGCTTCACATGTTGTGCACCTACATTCATGACCTCCAGTTTTTTTTTGTTTTTTATTCATACATACTGCAGGGCGAAACACATACTCTAAATTCTTTTCTTTTATTCTCTGCAGTGGGCAAGGATTTGATGAAGGACTAAGTACTCTTGGAATGGTGTCGGGGCTGTTTGGGGCAGTTTGGTCCCTGGGGTGAGTCTTATTGGCTTTTACTGACAGCCAAAAGCAATTATCTGTACTTGAGTAACCATGTCTGAATCTACAAAAATGTTGTGATTTGGATTTTAAAGTGGGAATTTTTTTTTTTTGTTTGTTTTTCTAAGGATGTTTTATGGCCCAACAGTGGGCGGCCTTATCACACAACATCTGAGCTTTGAGTGGGCAGCTGCAATCCAAGGAGGCTTGGCGTTTTTAGCTGTAAGTATCAGTTTGTGCAGTGTTCAAGTATTAGCATGAAGACTGATGTGAGAAAAGGACATATGAAGCCATGAGAATGCACATTCTTACTTCCCGTGATTTGAAAGATCCCAATTTATAATTTATCACCATGTCATTAAGAACAAATGATTAGTTGGTCATGTACTCATGGTGGAGACAGTAGTCTCGTGGCTTAATTTCAGATCTGTATGATGTCGCCAGTGTGGCAGAGACAGTTTGAAATTGTGAAATGCGTTGCTCTACTTGCATGTCATTTGTTATAAGGATGGGTAAATGTGATTCCAAGCCCGGTTCTCATTCAATGGTTAAACACTTCAAGAAGATTGATAAGAGAAAGAAGCGTGTGATGCTCGTTTCTCAGCAGATAATCATGTGAAATTCAATGGTCACTCTGTCCTCAGGCCTTTCTCCTTGCTCTGTATTATGTCTTTCACCGGCCGCAACAACAAAGGTAATCATTAACTTCAAATTATATATGACATTATATTTAGATGCCCCATGTATTTATAAATACTGTATAGTGCGTGGAAGGATGGTCAGACTTTATTTGTGCAGTTTCCAGGAACATGCAGGATGTAACACTTATTTTTATGTTTGAATTAAAGCAGTCCAGAAGATGGGAGTAGACAAACAGATGAAAGCACTCCTCTACTGAACGAATGAACGCCTCAGAAACATGTGGAAGGACGCCACACTAACCAAAACCCTATCTTACCGTTTCACCTACTTGAGGGCATCAGCTTTCAAGTTAAACAAAATGGGTTTTTTTATTGTCATTAATTGCTTTGTAACTTTTTTAATTATAAATTGTAATGATTTTTTCTTGGGTAATGGAAATGTTTTGTTACATTTTTTCATGTACTAGTTTGTTCTTATGAAATGCCTTAAAATGTATATGTAGTGGGTACTGCCTAACAGCCGTGAAACAAAACAGAATAACTGTACACTACTGACTTTAAGTTGGTACATTACAATGCAAATTGTCAGATTATCTTTTCATACTGTTAAGTATTTTCAAGTTGCACTTTGGATGAATGTAACATGAATGAATATAGTGAACCACTGGAAATCACACAACATTTTAAGTCCAGATCACAAACTAAATGTGCCTTTTGTTGTATTAATGATCTTAGTTTTCTACATCGCATGATTGGATTTCATGTTGAAGTGACACGTGTCAAGAGCTGCTGACCACATTCATAGTAATACAAAGGAAAATAACTATGTTTAGATCTTTATCTTTGAAGTGATGCATTGTACAAGTCATAGTTCTAACGATCAAGTTATAAATATAAAACCAATGCTAATGAACACCATACATTAATGTTAATTTATAAGTAATGCAACTTTAATGGCTCAGGTAATTCTTGAAACTAATTTTAAATATTTATACATACATATATATATATATATACATATATATATATACATATATATACAGTATATACATACATATATATATATATATACATATATATATATATATATATACACACACACACACATATATAGTATGTATATATACAGTATATATATATATATATATGTATATATATACACATACACATGGGTGTGTGTATGTGCGTGTCATGAAAGGTGTGACTTTACATATGATTTATATAGAAAGAGAAACAAAACTATTGAAATCAATAATCTGTGTTTTTATAGTTGTGAGGAAATAGCATATGTAAACTGTAAATCTCTTACAGGCTAAGAAAACAGAACTACAATGTTACAGAAATTTTATTTCCTATATTGTCAGTAAAAAGAAAGAAATTATTGACACAATAGTCAATTAGTTTATATAGATGAATAATTTTTAAATGTAAAACTTACCAAAAGAATTCTCAGAATTGTTCAATTTTTGACGTGTATGTAAGTACAATACATAATATAAACATACTGACTGTAAATGGTAAAAAAATATTGAAACATTAAAAATACAACACACTGCATCATTAGTTTTCATTACAAAAATGTGTTTTCTATGAAAAACAATAAAGATGAAAGCACTCGAGTTCAAACAATCATGTCTATGGGTTTATGTATCAGGCTCGAAGGCACTGTTAGTCCGGCCTGTCGGCCTCTTTGGGAGAGGTCTCTCTGTTGACCTGCCTCTCCTCCTGCTGCTGGTCGAGCCAGAAGCATCTGCATCTGAAAATGTGGCCTGAGAGGACAGTGAAGGGACTCCTGGCTTTTTCAACTTCTTTTTCCTTCTAGCTCTGTGGACAAACCATAGTTGGCAATCAACATGTATTATTTATAAATCATGATATAACATGTCAGTCATAAACCTGTGCTGCCTTCCCTTTCTTTAAGAAGGCCAACACTTGGAGCCTCATGCGGTGTTTAGCACCCATGCCCCTGTGAATATAAGTCAAGAACATTTAAGTAAAGTGAGCCACTTACTTGTCATCAGTCAACTCAGGTTCAGTGTCAGAAATAAACTTAAGTTCCCCAGAAGAACTGATTGCAGCAGATACCTTGAAAAAGGTAGAAGAAAATGTAAAATGACCAGGAGACAGATAGTAAACAATAATAAAACACCACACAGACTCACATCCAGGGCTAAAAATACAATGCACCAAAAGAAAAAAATACATGCACACTTCCACCTTGTTCCCAAGTCTTTTATTCTACATGGACCTGACAACATTTCAACCACAAATTATCTTTCTCAAGAGACATGAGGCGACACATGCTTACACATAAACGGCAACCTGAGGAAGACCATTTGTGGTTGAATTGCTGTGGCAAAATGCTGTGTATATTTTTTCCACTGTGGCTGACATGAATTCAAGTTGGCCACAGCTACAGTTCCTCTAAATCAAGGAATCTCTCAAAAGAGAGATTGGAGTGAAGTGTAGCTTTATGAAACAGAAAAAGAGGCACGAGTAAAATGACCTTTTTCTGATGTTCAAGAAATGTATACCCGGCCCCCTCCCCCTCCATGAAAAGGTGGTGATGACAAAAGAACCCTGGACAGACACGACTGCATTATTCTATCTACATACTCTGGTTGGTGTTGACCTCTCAACAGTCCCCTCAGACACGGCTGTTTGTGCTTCTACGGGCTGAGTAACCTCTTTGCTGTAATCCCCTATAACAATAAAATAACTCAGATGTCGACAGTTGATTTACATAATCCAAAAAGTCCATATCTACAAGAAAATAAAATCGACTTACTCTGATCTGCTACATAAGAAGCAAGAAAATATCCCTGCTGCCCATTGGCCAGACGCCCAAACCACCAGTTGTCATTGTCTTTGTAGAGCACTTGGATGACATCACCGCGGTGTAATGTCAGTTCATCAGACCGATTAGCTCTGTAGTCGTAAAGCGAGACAACCTAGATGGGGAACACAGTGGTGGAGGGGTTGAACAGGAGAGGGTAACAGGCTGCATGTAACTGAGCTCACAGCTACAGTGGATGCTTACCACTTGTTGAACAGTGGCAGAGTCTGTTTCCACATGTACGCCTGAAGAAATGTGGTCGGGGTGGGTCTGATGGAGAAAAAAAAAAAAAGAACATTATTTAAATCTGAAGCAGTTTTGGCAGACTTCAGTAGGAGCTGACTATTGAATTATCTCGTTAAAATTCAGTTCATGCAAAAAAGAGAAAAGAAGTCATCAGAATAAGTAGTGAATATAGAATTACACCTTACCGCCTGCAGCCTGAAAGATGAAGCTTCTTTTAGACGCTGACCAACAGGACTGAACCTGCCTGCAATTACAAGAAAAAAAAAACAACAACAACAAAGAGCAAGCATAAATATTTCAACACAATCCAGTGACTTGTGTTTACAGAGATCACTTACGGATACATGTCAACATTACAAGAGGTCCATCTCTTTCTCTGTGTATGGTGTACATGCTTCAGGAGACTCTAAACAACAATGCTGGAAGCACTTGGTCTTGTTCACTCCATGCTATATTCTGTTCAGCTGTAATCTTTGGAAAATATTTGACCTCACGTGTCAGAGAGCTGTGCTAAAGCCATTCATTGGTTAAAGACAAATCACTGTGTGATTAACTGAACAAGCCACTCACGACTTTGGGTGCTCAGTGCTGCCTGGGGGATAAGCTGCTCTGCCAGAGAACCAGAGAACTGCAGCTTGGAGTGCGGCGACAGGAGAGATGGAGGTGGTAATGAGGCATTTAATCCCGTCTGAAAAGAAAAGAGCTGGACTTGAGTTGCATAGAAATTTATTTAATTTCAAAACAGCAGCCAGTATGATTAGGCCTCTTCATGCAATTTTCCTGGTCAGCGGTTAAGAGGTCAATTTGAAGGCGACAATGTCAAAGCTTCCAATAAATACTATATGTAATAAATAACAACCTGAATAACAATGGGCTTAGTAGAAATGTAATTCAGTGATCACCAAGATTTGAATTTATTATTAAAAAGATACTCTCTGTTGCTCTTTAAAGTTCTTTTTGTGGTGTTTTCTTCCTGAATACCTGATAGGTTACATCACCATCTATGACCTCAATAGAGACCAAGTAAACAAAGGTGTGTTTATGGACTAAAATACTCACTGCGCCAGCATCTGATGTCAAGCTCCTCCCTGTGTGTGTTAGGCCCATTTTGTCTGCAAAGCACAAACATGAGATGTCACTGTTGCAAAGACACAGATTAATCTAGGTGTAATGTAAAATGTTAATCATACAGTACCTTGCTCATACATGTATCGAGGAGTCGAAGACCTTTGGTGTGGTTCCTAGACATGTTTTGAAAGGGTGAGTGTTTGTGCATGCTCAAAATTCAAACATTTACAGTCTACTTGTTTCAAAGTATAGTTCAAAGTAATAGAGTTTGAGTATTTACAAGTACTGAATCCAGTTGTTCCTTAACACACTGCATTTTCAGTGCGAGTCTTGTCGTTTGGGCGAACTGATCCATGGCTGAAACAGCAGATCTGTCCTGTAACACTGCGGGGTCGGGTGTGTTTCTGACAGTTTTGGTGTCTGCAGAGGTGGATCTGCTCATTGCTTTTATACTGTGCACTTCCAGCTGAGACACTGTATGGAACAGTAAGACAGAGTTGTGGCTCAGTGTATTTCAGTGACTGTTCATAAGATATTCAGGAGCTGGATCCACAGAAAAAAGTCGTATTTGTCAGGTGTTGTCACAAACCTTTGCGGTCGTACAGGTACACATGGACAGGCTGGCTCTGACCGAAGGCACAGAAAGCTATCATGTTCTCGTGAGGGTGGAACGACACACCGTGGAGGGCAGTGGGGTAACAAAGCTCAGAGTACACAGCAACCTGGTCACCTGGGCAGGCAAAACAACAAACAGTTGAAACCACTATGTAGAATACTGAAGCGACTGGCTTCCTTATTACAGGAAAAAACATGATCCTTACCTGTGTCTGTATTCCAGACATACGCCATCCCATCCTCACTACCAGAGAAGATGAAGTTCCCACATGGTGTGAAAGTGCTATAAATCCTCTCCCTGTAGTTTGTGGCTCCAGTGTACTTCTTTACAGCCAGACTGGAAGAAAGCATATATATGGTTAAGAAATTTCAAACACAAAGCCTACCATAATACATGGTATATGATGATCTATTCACATGTCATCTAATATTTTGTATGATGAATTCCTCTCTTGTCTATTTATAATATTTTTCTTTTTCTTTCTTTTTTTATCATACGGCTATTTCCTGTAACTTCAGGTGTTCGTTTTTAAGTTTTGTCCTATTTACATTCTCAAGTCCATCATCCTCAGGACACTGTCTTTGGCATGGATGAGCAGGCACCGCCCGTTTGGATGGAGCTGCAGCATGTTAATGGGGATACCACTGAGGTCACTCTCATCAATTTTCTGCCCAGAGAAAACACATTTCAAGTTACAACAGAATATTTTTGAGTCTCTGAAAATATTTAATTAGACCACCATTTGAAAAATCTTAAGTATAGTATATATGTTTATGTGCTGTACATCAAAAAAATATAAATCCTCAATTCCTGTACCTTCTCTATACACCAGCGATTACATGACTGTTGCTGCCTACTGTCATTTACTGAAGTTTTCCACACAATGATGAGGCCCGTGTTGTCTGCAGAGAACATTCTCCTCCCTTATTACAACACATAAAGCAAAAGGAACATCAGAAATATGAAGGTGGATTACAAAGCAAGCCAGGTCTCACATTCAGTACAGAGCACAATGATCTGCTTTACAACAGATGGTAATTGATTTCAGTCAATTTTTTCAAAAGGACTTTGGTTTATTATGGTGATTTGTGTATTCAAATCAAACTGATGACAGGGTTCAAAAGCTAAGGCAAGCAAAATAGAGGTTTCATGCATCAAGGCTAGAATGATGGCAATTCTCAGCTAAATATTAAATGTGGAAAACTATATAAAACTAGCCAAGTTACAAACTTTAAATCATTCA